GTCTTGAAAAGTAGGAGTTTCTGCTATTGTCAGATTTTCTACTATGAGAAAAAATATGGGACAATCATGGGGGGAAACTAACTGATTACACAAGATGGTGGTGAAATTTAGACACACAAACACCCTAAAATAATAATAAGGCATGGACATTCCACAATAAATACATATCTAGAAGGTCCCAAATTCTCTGGAAGTTACATCTCTGAGTGGGCTGGTGGTCTGCTTCTTATCGCTAGTACAAATTTAAATAAATTCACTATGCACATAAATATTAGGGCTCATAGCTGGCGGCCTTTTCATACTCTATTCTCTCTATTTACAGTTGTTGGCAGCATGATGTCATAGAACAATGAAGAAACAGATATAGATGTGCATTTCCTTAAACCAAGCGAGTCATCAAGCTCTCGGCTTTTAAGACACTGAAGGAGAGGCTATCACATAGCGGATGAATATAGTATCCACCAAGGAGTGACAAGCCTTCATAGCTGTGTAAGAGTGGAGGTCAGACAGTGTCCAAAGCAATCCTTAGTATGAGAATAGGGATATTACAAGGGTGTCCTTATTTCCATCCTTGCAGTGCTGAGGACACAATCAGAGGTGTCTGTGCTGAGATAATTGGAGAGGGACATGTAACACTGAAGCAATAAGGACAATTAGTATATCTGCAGGCTTGGGAGAAACCTGGAGTAGTTGTAATAGTCCTGTTCCTGTCCTAGTCCCGATGCCGAGAAAGCATGTGTTCTCTGAGGAACACTTATGAAGAATCCATATTTGAAGTCACAAAGTCCAGAGCTCTGGGAATCCAGATGATCACAGAGCCAAGGGCAGCAATATAGGAACCACAGGCATTCTTTCCAGCATCTGACTGCTGCTGAGAGCTCTTTCTAAGAAGGCCGGAGCCACTGGTTCCATCAGTGCCTTCTCTTCTTTGTCCTTGAAGGCTGCAGGTGGAGTCACTCTGGCTTCTCCCACTTCAGGCTGCTGCTCACCAGGTGAAGCTGACTCCTGGCCCATGATAGTTCCTGCCCAACACACACTGACAAAAGTTCTTACTTGTAAGAAAGAGATCTTTCTTCAGGCAAGTAACAGTACAGGCTTAGCAGCAGACATAATGCTCAGGAGTCGTGATTCAGGAGTTTGGGAATAGGGCAATAAGTTCAGAACTGGAAAGAAACAACAAAGATGTCTCAACAAGCTTCCACAGACTCGCTTGCCACGTGAGAACGTTGGGATTGCAAATGCACATTCTCCATTGTTCATGTCTGCAAGGTGGTGCCTGATTCCAGCAGACAAGTCTGAACCTGCCCACTCAGGTTGCTGTTCAGTCACTGCTCCCTTCTGCTGTGCTTCCCCCCTCACAGACCACCACCGCCTTCACTGAGGCTCTCCACTCCACAGGAAGTTTGAGGGAAAGAGCCCGCATCCCTGCTCTCCCTTCCAAACCAGCTGAAGTTTGTACAGAAAGGGGAGATTCCCCTTCTTACAACCCAGGTTCCCACCATTCAGAACCCTATCGGTTTCTTCCTTCTCCTCCTCCTACTGCGGCAGAGCTTGACAGTCCAAACCTGAACCCAACAGCACTGTGGGACTCATGACATCAGAAGAACATAGAGCCTTCTGGGTCATCCCAACAGCCCATCCTGTGCCCACAGTGGCCAACCAGATGCCTGGGGTATACCTGTAGACAGAAGGACCCAAGCACAAGAGCACACATTACTGCCTCTGACCATAGCCATCATGTCTAGTAGCCACGGGTAGCCTTCTCCTCTATGAATTTATCTTTCAAAGCCATCCAAATTAATATCCATCAGCAAAATTAAAGACTTGTTCCACAGTTCTGGATGTTTACAACACCAATGATCTAGCAATGACTGAGGCTCCTATTCTTTCCCTGTGAGGTTAACTCAAAAGTGTCTGTTAACACTTTGAACTAATATTATCGAGTCCACGAAATGACTGCCCACGGCGGTATTGGCTTCTAAATTGCTATCGCTAAAAGGGTGCAAAACCTCTCTGCTGAAGAGTCCCTTTGAGTACGAAAGTTCACACAGGTTTCTGTGCATTTTCTGTGAAATGACAGATACATAATATGTTCGGTTTTTTACTCATCAAGGCTGTTTTTTCTAAGGAGGAAAAACAAGTGGGCCATTATCATTAGACAAAATGGCAGCCTCCAAGCTAGAAAGCATTAACCATAAATTAGTCAATTAAGCATAACCTTTGCTACACTACTACTGGGTCAATGCTACAATAATGTTCTGAGAGGTATTTAGAGAGTTAGGACCTTGGCGAGCACTTTGCAAGACTCCATTATCTGGAAATAAATTACTCATTCCGATTACAAGGCGCTAGCTTCTCAGCAAATGGGGGGGGGGGAGCTGTTGTTGCTGTTCTTGCCTCAGTTGGGCCCACACATAACTTTTCACGCTAACTTGATGCACTCTAATTGTTTCGCAGTCTCAGAAGGCAAAGGTTTATTTTAAATAAGGGGTCTTTGGATTTAATTATTCTGCTTCAGTCAAGGAACAGTGGGGGAATATTTCCTTGGATGATATGTTGACACATGAGTAGGTTTTAAAAGGTGTGACAAAGTCACCAACGCCAAAAAAGGGGGGAGGGAGCAAGCCCTAGAAGGGAGCTGTAGAAACAGTCATACTCTTTTGTTGGAAATGGGATGGGGCGGGGGGCACATCAGAGCAAAAAGCAACAGAAATGCATTATGAATAACAGCAGCTGCTGCTGTCAACCACCACATTAAAAATAATGCAAGGCCTCTGAACAACATACACTTCCAGGTGTGAACGTGTCGTACTGTGACCAACAGGAGTTCAGCCCGCTTTCGTGACAAATAAAGGATAGAGCGTACATTTTATTTGGTTCGCTTTTAAAGGTGAACCTGCCTAATTCACACATTCTGAAGCAGTACGTTAACCGTAGGGCAGCCATCCTTTGGCAGTCACACTTCCTGGAATGCTGCAGTGTGATTTTCAGGCCCAGCAATGTATACACAAATACTGGGGTAAAGTGTGCATAAAAATGCATATATTGGTGAAAACAATGTGCCAAAATGGATTCTATCAGGGAAAATCACTGAGGGGGAAATCTGTTGTTGGCATCCGTCTGCCTCAGGAGACCATGGGAGAGTGCGCCTTCAAGGATAAAGTGAAACCGATGGAGAGTTACAGCGTTTTCTGTGGCTGTAGAGAGACATGCTTTGTTGCATGCGGGGCAGAGGAGGGTGTCCAGTTAGGCTACTGCAGATGCACCACAGCATTTCTTCTCTCTGTGCTCCTCCCAGCGGTTGTTCCTCCCTGGTTACTGTTGTGGATACATAACCTGACTGACTGTGTCTGGTCATTGCGGTTGTCTGCAGAGGATTCCCACATGAGTTGGTCTGACAATGGGCCTGGTGCTTGAAGCCAGCTCCCTCTGACGCAGCACATATAGAAGGCACTGGGAATTATACCAAATTGCATGCAAAGGTGTATATTTTAGGGGAAATGCACACTTCAATGCTGATTAATATACATGAGAACTTGAACTCAGAGGCTCCAGTTAACTGCTATGACAAATAGATGCCAATAGATTTGTTCTCATTGAATTTGTCCCATTTTAAAGTCATCAAAACAAATGCCCATCACCACAACTTGAGGCAACAGTTACACACTGTGTGAATAAATGCGATCCGGGCTGTGCACACACCACATATTCAAAACACATAACTTCCCACCCAAAAAAATAATAATCCTGGGAACCGTAGTTTAAAGGAGCTGGGAATTGTAGCTCTGGGAGGGGTAAGCAACAGGATTCTTTGAGGAAGTCCTGTGCTTTAAATATATTGTGTGTACAATATACAACTATTTTTGGTGCTCTTTCAAAAGCAGTCAGCTAGTGTTATTACAAGAGGGCTAAGCAAGCAAAAATTACCGCTTATACTGTAGTTAAGAAATATATTGTAGTTGGCATTGCAGTGGCTATGGGCAGTACCTAATGCTGCTGCTGTTCCTTCTTTCCTTTCTTTCTTTCTTTCTTCCTTCCTTCCTTCCTATATCTCAGAATTGTACATCAGCTTCATTCCTATGTCTAAACCCCCTAAGAGGATCTGCAGGGGAAACATATCAGAGTGTAAACTGGGTGAAAGCAATAGTTAAGTGATTGCATCAGCTAAGTCTGAAAAAAATGGCTGCGATGAGCAGTGCTGAGTTCCTGGTTCCCCGTAATTTGGACATTTCTACATTCCCACCTCCTAGATGCTTTTGGCTTCTCTATTACAACCCATGGCAGGAAGCACAGGCAAAGCTTTCAAGTATCACTTCAAGAAGGCAGAAACCTGCTGTTCCTATCTACCCCATATAGAGATCAACTGACTGGGTTTATTGCAGAATTAAAGTAGGGGCAGGTAAAGAAAAACAGGCTGTCCTGCCAAATTTCACAGATCAAAAGATGGGCACATTCGTGACACAGCTGTTCACATGCAGCCCAGCTCTTTCCCCGCGTTTCAATCCCCTTTCTCTGTTCTAAGAACAAAAGATATTCACTCACATTCACGCGAGATCAAATCAATATTATCACATTTTTTCCAAAACGTTTTTGGACTGATGTCAGCAGAAATAGCAAAACTGCAACAAAAGTGTTGTTGTTGTTGTTTAAAGGGAATGGAGATAATTGAAATTACAAGATGTCAGTTTTACAACTTCCACGCTGTTTGGTTAACTTCTCCAAATGTTCATTTAATTTCAGCGACGCATAACTATATGATGCGTGGGTTTTGAAGGGAAGCTACGCAAAAACATAATTGCAGACTGCCCTAGAACTAAACAGAGCTTGACAGTTTCCATATTGTGAGATGGGAAAGGTTTTGTGCAGGAGAGGGTTAATAGAGCCAAAAGTACTGCTCCAGACTCCTTTTAATGGCCCTGGCAAAATTGCCAATCACAGCTATGTGTTTCCATGGGAACTAATTATTAGATCATCCTCCTTAAGTCTTCTGACTGGGGCAAAAGCAACCCATTGCCACCAGCCGCAAAGGATGGTGTAATGGACCTGTGTCTCTGAAGGAAACAAAGGGAATAGACTGCAGCTTTCAAGCAGAACTAAAAGGAGAGGGTGCTGAATTTGGGGTGCTGTAGGTCATGGATGTAGGTAAGGGACGCGCGTGGCGCTGTGGGTTAAACCACAGAGCCTAGGACTTGACGATCAGAAGGTTGGCGGTTTGAATCCCCGCGACAGGGTGAGCTCCCGTTGCTCGGTCCCTGCTCCTGCCAACCTAGCAGTTCAAAAGCACATCAAAGTGCAAGTAGATAAATAGGTACCGCTCCGGTGGGAAGGTAAACGGCGTTTCCGTGTGCTGCTCTGGTTCGCCAGAAGCGGCTTAGTCATGCTGGCCACATGACCAGGAAGCTGTACGCTGGCTCCCTCGGCCAATAAAGCGAGATGAGCGCCGCAACCCCAGAGTCAGTCACGACTGGACCTAATGGTCAGGGGTCCCTTTACCTAGGTCATGGATTGCCAACATGCTTTTCCCAGGTACACATGTGCTCAGCAAAGGCATACCTAGGGGTCAGTGAAACCAGCCCAGAAATCTCTCCATGAAGGTCACAAGTTTAGACAAAAACTCGGAGCTGAATAGTAGGAGAAATGACAAGGAAGCATGAAGGTAAACCGCTGGAGATTATGGAGCTCATGACGTAAATGTGTGTGGCAACACTTCGCCACTGTCACAGCTGGATCAAATGCTAGAGAACTGGGGGGGTTTTCTGGGGAGGTGGCACTGATACAGTTCCTTGCCAAGAGCAGAAGGGACTCTAGGCATACCTATGGTGCTGAAAGAGGCCTTCCTCTCCCAATTTCCATTGAAATTAGGCTTGGTTTGAAAGACGTCTTCTATTGCAGCCAATAGAAGGCTTTCCCCAAGCCTAATTGAGAGGGTGGGCGTGGTTGAGGTGTACACACTGTTGCAGTGTAGGCACTTTGCATGCACCTCCCCATGGTCTCTCTGGTTTGCAGATGAGGTCCAAAGGGTTGGTGATCCCCCGCTGTGGCATAGAGTGGGTTGCCAGTGTCTGGGGCAAGGCAAGTATCCTCTGCAACACCCGATAGGCTGGAATGAAGAGGCAATAGCTCAGCAACCTACCTGAGTGGCAGCTGTGGTGCCCTGTGAGGGTCGAGCACAGCGGAGAGAGGGTTGGGGGATTGGTTGGGAGCAGATATCTTTCTAAAACCCGTGCAGAGGGCACCAAAGCAACTGGCCATCATCCAAATTCACTCCTTAGTCCTCCCACAGAACATTAGGAGATTCTCTATATGAGGGGGAGGCCATACTATCTATCATCTATCTAGCTATCTATAGTCTAACAGTATTGCAAGGGGGCTGGCTGTGTCTTTCTGGAGATCTGATGTGAGAGCAGAGGACTTTGGCTACCTCTTGGGAGCCTCTTATGCTTTTCCTCCATCTATGCTCACCTTGTACCATCTATGAACATGCACTAATGTTGAAAAATGCCAATGAACCTGAAATATACTCAGAGTCCTGTAGTGATTTCATGCTCTTTAATGCAGCTTGTAAAACAGTGATTGAATTGCCCCCCAAACCTCAGGCTTTTATATACATTATTTATACAATGAATCCTGTCTGATTGGCTGAGTCTGCTTCCCTTCTGGAGCCTGATTGGTCTTTTCCTGCAAGCCAATCAGTTGTTGCATTCTAGGATCCTACTTGCCTATTGTTCTAGGATCCAAGCTTAGTACATAACAGAACCTCTAGTTACCTTCTTCAAAAGAAGCCAGCTTAAACAAGGTGCTGTGCCCCAGAACCTCTTGCTGTACAGAGAAGAAGAGAAGGCCTAACAATATGATCTTCTGCCTGAATGAAAGCGGTATCACTTTTTCCTTTGAACGAAATACCACCATCTCTACCCAAAAAAAAAAAAAAGCCCTGTTAAGAATGAAATGTGCTGATGGTTCTCTCCACCCACCCATTTTCTGGGTCTCCCTCTCCCCGCCCCCCAGGGGAACTAGGATGCAAAAATAGAGAAGCAAAAAAGACAGCTAAACAACACAATTACAGAAACGTCAACTGAAAAGTATGTTGTTGTTGTTGTTTTTCCCTGTGGTGCTTACTACCAGATAAGTATGCATAGAATTTTAGTTCCATGCTGATTTTTGCTTCCATGTGAAAACAGGCTGATGTGGGTAATTTCAAAGAAAATCACTTATTTAGTGTGGTACAAGGCAAGATAAAAAGATTACAGTTAATGAGGGTACCAGGTTCATTTCAGCTGTCACTTTCTGAATCTGACAAGATTAGTCATTTCATTAATTTTTTCCTTACAACAAAAGCATGCCATAATTACGTGTATACCTGCTTGCTTACAAAAAAAATCCCCCCTCTCTCCTGGAAGAGTAACAATTAACGTCATTAGCCTCCCAGTTTGTCAGTTGATTAGACTGACAGTAGTTTGTCTGTTTTTTCATCCACAGATACAGATTTTTAAAAATTGGTTTGACACATGGTATTTCTTAATTAGACATCAGTGTAATTTGGGGGGAGGAGAGAAAAAGTGTCAATCTTCCCCTAGTTCAGGATTCTAATGAAAGCCATTTGCTACGAATAAAATGGCTTCCACATGATGGCGGCAGAAGGCAGGCCACTATCTTTTTATTTGCAAAAATATTTATCTACCGCTATGTCATAGAAAATATATATCACAGCAGTTTACAACAATATAAAGACTTAAAACCAGACACTAGAATCATAAAAAGTTAAAAGCATTAATAATAATAAAGTAAAAACAAGCATTCAAAGTCTGAGAGAGGAGGCCATCTATGTCCCTCCCCATTTCTCAGCTAGCAAGCTAGATTTCCTTTCAGACTTGGTGGGAGGTTCGAGCTCTCTCCACCTATGTGTCAGAGACTGTGCTGAGGAGGGCTGCACTGAGGAAGAATGGTGGGCGCCACCCCCTCCCCCTGATTCTGATCCTGCATCTTCCCAGGAGCAGGAGAACAGCATAGATTTGGAAGAGTGGTTTGCAGAGGGGCATAGTTCAGAAGGCAGAAGCTGGGATATACTGGATGGGGAACAGCTAGGAGAAGAAACACTGGAAAAGAGAGGGTTAACAGATTCACAGTCTCTGGACAGCGTTCAAGCCCCATCTCCAAAATCACAGAGAGCTTAGAAAGTGTCAGAGCAGAAAGTGCAGAGGTTATAAACTCAGATTACAAGATGTAGGAGTGGCATAGATTAATAGGGACAGAGGGGGGGAGTATCCCTTAATTGGGAGCACCACCATTTCTAGGAGATGTGTTCTTTGCTTTCTCGCGGTGATTATTAAATATTCTAACTGGTAAAACGTTCCTTTCATTTGATCTATCTACTGTCATGGAGGGGGGAGGAAGCCAATTCCCCGAAGCCTGACAGCCTCTGTGGAATGGAAGCAGAGTAAACTGCAGATGAAGGGTAGGGCCAGGGCTTTTTTTCAACCGGAACTTTCCAGAATTCGGTTCCAGCACATCTCAGGTGGGCGCCATTGCCATTCTAAGAGAAAGATGGAGGTTTCATGGTGAGTTTGGGCACCTTTTTTCCCCTAGAAAAATAGCACTGGGTAGGGCAGAACAATACCATACATGTCATATCCAGTTGGAGACATTTAGAGGCGCTTGAGGAAGATGGTAAATATCCATCTTCTCCGGTGCTGCGTTTTCACAGCATTTTGGAAGCGGAGGGGTGGACCAGATTCTGAAAGGTCATTCCTTCCTTATCATAGGGAAGCTGCTGTGGCTTCTATCCCCCAGGGAGGACATCATGAGTGCTGACTGCAAGTGAGCAAAATATTCTTGAGAGGCTCCTGAGGCAGTGAAAGGGGTGTAAGAACACTCGTGAGAAGATCATCCTGCTGGTGCGTCAAAGGGCATGTGTGGAAAAAGCTCAGTGAACTCCATGATCCAAGGCAGCTGCTGTCGTCCACTGGTAGCTCCGCCACCAGCAAAGTAGCCGCCATGACTCATTTTACATACATAATAGCTGCAGGTGTTGATATTTGCAGCTTGTCACAGCGTCTGCGGAGGATAAGTAACTGTTCTTGTAAGAGCCGCAGGTAGACACCAGCGACTTATACAGAAATGATTGCAAAAGCTTCCTTGGTTCTTTTCCCTTTTGAAAATTCTCTTGTTACTGAGAGCTTTCAACATAGTAGAAGTCGAACCAGAGCTGTCTTTCCTGTAGGGCTTAGTGGTGCGTCACGCCAGGGCGCTGGCCTCTCAGGGGAGCCCCAGCAAGTGGGGGAGCTGCGCGGCTTTGCCGGCGGCCTCCCCTTTCCCTGCATGCCTGCCAGCTGTGACCCACCAACCATAAAGCTGGCAGGCGTGAAGCTTCCCTCCCAAGCCTCTGCAGGGATCTCTCTCCCGCAGCGGCATGGGGGAAAGTTGCCCCCCCCCAGATGGCTGGCAGTGTGCAGCTACGGCCACCCCAACACTATCCCTGGTAATTTGGGGACGCTGGGCGGATATTTGCACCCCGCTGCCGCATCTGAGTCGAACTAAGGAAGATAGATAAGAAACAAACCAACAGAAAAATAAAAAAGGGAACAAGGAAGAAGAAGAAACTATTTGTGTATATAATACCAAGCTCTCTATCCCAATTATATATTGATCCTCATTCCACACACAGAAGAGCGAAGCCTCCCAGCTCTCACCTGGGAGCTTGCCCTTCTTCCCTCAGTCTCACACCCTCTCTTCGGCCTGTCTCTCACGCGGGACCCTTCATTGTCATCTTCCTTGGTTCTTTTCACCATCATTTGCCCTGTAAACACTTCTGTCACTGCTTGGTGGTGGTGGTTTTGGAAAGGAAATCCTACACTAACAAATGAGTCTTTTCCATTTCAGCAGCCTAGAGGTGTGTACACACTGTGTTTTAATCATGGAATCGTAGAATTGTTGAGTTGGAAGGGATCCAAAGGGTCATCGAGTCCAATCCCTCAAAACTGGAATCATGCGTATGTTGTATAGTTTATCAGGAGCTCCTTACTGACGTGGGCACCTTTTTTGGGTGTGTGTATGTGCTGTACACAGAATGCAATCCCTACGCCGCCCCTGCCTCACACCATTTGTCAATCCAAAACGCATTCCTCTGGAATAGTTATAGAGTAATCCGTTTGTGTCTGAGAATGCGCTTCTCAAGCCCTCGCGGCATAACTGTGCGCACAGAAAGCACATTCTCAGGTCAGCTCCTATTGAGGCAAACCTCAGGGCTGGGCCATTCTGCCTCGCCATGTTTAACTTGTCCACGGATGAAACTGGGAAACTTAGCTTTCAGCAGCTCTGTGGGAGCACAGAAAGCAAGCTTCGTGCAGGAATAGCCAACTTAGTGACCTCAATCTGTGGACTACAACTCTTATCAGCTCCTATTAGCATGTCCAATTGCCAAAGATGGTGGTTGTCATCGTCCCAAAGATCTGGAAAGAACCACACTAAATATGCACAGCGAAGCAGTCATGTGAGTAATCATCAAAACCTGGGCTGATCCACTCAATTCCAAAATTGCCTGGAACTCATGTAGGTGCTCATGTAGGTGTGGGTTTTTTAATGACAGGCAATCCCGTCCCCTCAGCCTTCAAACATCAGGAAAATACTTACTTAATATCAGCAGAATTTGTCATTTCTTACAGATTTGATAGTTGCAAAGATAGAATATCAGCCTTGACAGTCAATGGGTTTTAGTTTTTAAGGCGATTAGCTCTTCTTGTGTGTAAAATTGACCTTGGAACTAAAATAACGCCATTTCCCCCCTTGTACTGTACATAGTGCCAGACATGCTAGAGAAATGGGCAGTCTAGCATTCACTTCCTGTTTTTAACTGTAGGTTTACATCTGATAGTCATGAAGATATACCTGTGAGTAGTTTTGGGTACCAATAACATTCCTGAAATGGGTATGGTTTTCTGTTTTGTTTTTTCTGAGGTGGCTATGAGTGCTCTGAAAGGGAAAAACAAAACAAAAGACACTTCTCTTCTCCAAATTCCGTCACAGAAATACACCGATTTATTCCAAAGGACTGTTGGTGCCCTTTGGCATTATGTGAAAAAACCAGCCTTATTCCGAGGCTGCTCTCAAGATATTTCATACTCCATCAGTGGCAGCATCTGGAGCCAAGAAACAACGGGCAGTTAAGTTATTGGCCTCAGTAGCAATAAAACTGACAAAGCAACTCATTCTGGGTGTCAGCAATGCTGGTGCCTTTCTGCAGAGATTAGCCGTACAGACCTGATGCTGTCGTAGCTAGGCAGTGGCGTAGCGTGGGGGGTGCAGGGGGGGCCGGCCGCACCGGGCGCAACATCTGGGGGGGCGCGCTCGCACTCGCAGCTCTCTGCCCCCTGCAAAAATCCACGGGTTAGGGGGCGCAAATTACTTGCCTTGCCCCAGGTGCTGACAACCCACGCTACGCCACTGTAGCTAGGGGCAATTAATGAGGTTGAATCAGACGGCAAGCTGGTCGCCTGCAGATATGGATGTGCGTGCCGGCTTTGTCACATCTATGTATTTTCAGGGAAACAGCAGCTAAAATAGTCCCTGAACAACAAACGGCATAAGGAAAGGTACTGAGCCAAAACAACAATGCATCAGAGGCCGAGCAAGCAGGAGCAGAACCCTGAAGCAACAAGATAGAAAATAAATATTGTCGCCCACAATTTGGGAGGCTCGTAAAAAGAGGCCAGAACACAGCAAGTTTATAAATTGCCTTGGTCCATTAGGAGGTACACAACTTTCCCATTGATGCCAAAAAGATTAATATAATTGCACAAATTAGTTTCCATTTTCCTCCCGTAGTGTATATCCCAATAGAAATTTGAAACCAGAAAAGTTGACATGATGAAAATGGATGTTTTCAGAGAGTTAGCTAGTTACTAGTACCTAGCTACTAGGGGGGGGGGGGGAGAAACAATGCAGTTTGTATTTAAAGCCAAATCTATCAAATTCGCATTTTCAAAACAATATGAGAACCAAACGTGGCTATTTGAATTTTGCAACCAAACAGAAAAGCATATCTTAGGTAAAAGTATACAGTGGTACCTCAGGTTACAGATGCTTCAGGTTACAGACACTTCAGGTTACAGACTCCGCAAACCCAGAAATAGTACCTCAGGTTAAGAACTTTACCTCAGGATGAGAACAGAAATCACGCACTGACGGCAGCAGGAGGCCCCATTAGCTAAAGTGGTACCTGAGGTTAAGAACAGTTTCAGGTTAAGAATGGACCTCCAGAACGAATTAAGTTCTTAACCCGAAGTACCACTGTACATTAAAAAAGAATATTAATGAAAATAACATTGAAATGCAAGGAGAGCTTGCTTGCAAAAATGTACACATTATTCAAAACTGCATATAAAAATGTTTATTAGGAGAAATTAGCACTAAAATGCTGAAGAACTTTCATGAGGATTTAAAACAACAATAATAAATTGCGGCAGGAATGTGTAGAGCTGAATTTAAGATTGGAAAAATGAGAAACAGAGAGATCTGAAATGGACAGATCCTTCCATGCCTACCAGCTACTGAGTGAGTTGGAAAATTGCATTAGCCTTATAGCATCCACCGCATTGTCAGTGCAGAGGCAGGAAATTGTCAGTTCTACCTTGGCTGCGTACAAACCATACATTTAAAGCACATAACTTCCCTCAAGGAATCATGGGAAATATAGCTTACCCCCTCACAGAGCTATAATTCCCAGCACCCTTAACAAACTACAGATCCCAATATTATTTGAGGGAAGTAAAGTGATTTAAATGTATGGTGGACGCACAGGCCTTGTCTAAAACAAAAAGGCATTCATCACTAATGTTCAAAAGGAGCAAATGTTTTACATGTTGCTAAAGTCCATTCTGATATTCACACTCAGGGCTCATCTACACTTCTGCTACACTTTCTAGAAAGGGCTCTGAACAGTTTCCCATTTGCCCTACTCCTTTCCCAGGAAACACCTGCTCTTAAGTGCTAAATCAAAGCAAATGCCTTTCTGGAGAAAATCCAAATTGCCCGTTTGCTCCTGATGGAGTGCTAAGAGGAAAGCAGTGGCAGAAGAGGAAGTGTGAATAAGCCCTTAAAATTCAGCACTAAATGCTTGGCACTCTTTGCTTTGTGGATTAAACGTCAACAGCAGAACAAGACAGGAGAGCTTAAGGACAATACAGTGAGTCCTGGCAGTGGAAATGCACATTAAAAAAGCAGTGGGTTTCAGGTGTTGTAGCAGAAGCTGGGTGATACCACATAAAGCCTCTTGCCATTGTCCACCCTGGGTAGCGGTTAAGAGCGGTAGTCTCGTAATCTGGGAAACCGGGTTCGCTTCCCCGCTCCTCCACATGCAGCTACTGGGTGACCTTGGGCCAGTCACACTTCTCTGAAGTCTCTCAGCCTCACTCACCTCACAGAGTGTTTGTTGTGGGGGAGGAAGGGAAAGGAGAATGTTAGCCGCTTTGAGACTCCTTAGGCTAGTAATAAAGTGGGGTATCAATTCCAAACTCTTCTTCTTCTCTCCTTCTTCTTCTTCTTCTTCTTCCGCAATTCCATCTTTGTGGTTCAACTATTGTAAAACACCAGATCGAAGAAGAACCCAAACCAGTTCCTGTAGGACTAACTGCAGTCAACAGGTTCACCAGACCCATTCAGCCAATCATCCATCGCTCACCACCCTTCTGAGAAATACCCCACCCCACCCTCCCACTATATATAAGGGTCTGCTGACTTCTGTTTCAGTGTATCTGAAGAAGTGTGCATGCACGTGAAAGCTTATACCAGAACAAACTTAGTTGGTCTATAAGGTGCTACTAGATAATTTTTTATTTTTTTAATTTCTATTTCGAAGTTTTTAATGTTTGACATTTTATTATGTTTTTGTGTGTGCTGGAAGCTGCCCAGAGTGGCTGGGGAAACCCAGCTAGATGGGCAGGGTATAAAAAATTAATATTATTAATATTATTACTAGAGGGGCACACCAATGGATGCAGCCCAGTATTTCTTTTTCTGTGGATTTGTATATCTTGTGCTTATAGAGTGTGGTGGATTTTTCCCATTTTTTAAAAAAAACATTGGTGACCAAATTATATTTTCAAATAAAAACTGCACTCTGTACTCTTCCAGTCACCTGAATACTGCCACATAATCTGCCTGTATATGCCAAATTGTTTGATGCTATTTAGCTGAAGTAGCAAATGGGAAAAGGTTAGAATTCTTTGAACATCAACACGGTCTTCTGTATTACCTGGTTTTATTTGCTCAAAACACGGCAGTGCACCTGAATTCAAAGAAAATGAAACTCTGCAAGTGTGTCTCATTTGACTTCCCACAGAAATTAAGAGTTTGTTCCTTGATGCGGGAACTGGGCACCAGGGGGTACTTTTGCCAGCAGGAGTGCATTAATATGCCCTTCTGACTCCACACTTGCAACTGTGAGAGATTATTGCTCAGGAGGAAAAGTCAGAAGCAATGCCATCGAAACCTCCACTGCAAAAATAATAATTTGGGTCACTGATACTATTATTCAGAGGCTATAAACCCCTGTAAGTTTCTAAAGTAACAAAATCCTAGCATCCTATAGCATGGGATTGCCAGCACCTTTAAGTACACTAGCTATATAGCTAATTTCTTCCAAAAGTCCTGCAGTGCGTTAGGAAACATGAAATGATTAGGCATCAGGATATATATTTTTTAAAAAAATGCATGCATTTTCAACAGTCTTCTGAAAAGAAAATGTGTTCTTCATACAGTGGTACCTCAGGTTAAGTATTTAATTCGTTCCGGAGGTCCATTCTTAACCTGAAACTGTTCTTAACCTGAAGACCACTTTAGCTAATGGGGCCTTCCGCTGCTGCCACGCCGCCGGAGCACGATTTCTGTTCTCATCCTGAAGCAAAGTTCTTAACCCGAGGTACTATTTCTGGGTTAGCGGAGTCTGTAACCTGAAGCGTTTGTAACCTGAGGTACCACTGTATTTGTAGGATTTTTCAAATTCCTAACTTGCTTCCCTGATCCTCTGACATGAGAAGCCGCTCCTGGGGTACAAGGCATGTGAAAATTGGAGATACATGGAGTGATAGGAAGGGGGGGTAGAGAGAGGTAGAGGCTGGCTGCTTAAACTTCCTGCAGGACCATAAAAACTATAATTTCCTGTAAATGTGGGGTTACTTCCATACAGGGCCGGCCCTATCATTAGAGTGAGACGTTTGCCTCTGGTGGCGGATGCTGGAGACAGGGGTGGCAGCCCTCTGACCTTCCTCCAGAGTCCCTGGATTGGAGGACAGAATTGTGTGTGCCACGCCGTCTGCCTTGCACCCCCTAAATGCACCTGCTCTGCTCAGGTATGCTGTAGGGCCCCATCCTGTTGCCATCATTGAAGCAAGCTTTAACTGCCATAAGATGCTGCTAGATAATTTTGTTTGTTTGTTTGTTTTTATTTCGACTGCGTCAGACCAACATGGCTACCTACCTAAAATTAAAAGCTTCCTCATACTCACAGAAGGCCATGAAGCTCACTGTGTGACCTTCGGCCAATCACTTTCTGTCACCATAACCTACCTCACAGGGGTGTTGTGAGGAGCTGGAAAACCATGTATGCCACCTCAACCTCCTCGTAGGAAAGGCGGGAAACCAATGAATTGAAATGGAGGGGGGTCTTTCTCATGCAATTCCCCATGTCATCCTGTTCCAGCTGTGTTTATAGCAGGTGTGGTTGCACAGTGAAAGTGGATTCAGCTGGATTGAACTGACTCCCATGAATACAAGGTTAGAAATGTAAAAAATGGGAGCAGATGCAGGCAAAACAGCTAGTTAGAATGAATCTAGGAGCCACTTTCCAGGGCTGGAAGACTGGTGATCAATTTTGGACACACACACCAGATTCCACCCTCAATCTTACAGTGGAACACACTCTCACGGGAGGCCTGCCTTATTACCAGGCAAAAAAATTTTTTTTATTCTCCTAGGAATTTTAACATCAATTTCATACTTACTTTAACATCAATGGAATCTTTAAGTTCTTACAGATTTGATAATTGTGGAGATAGACGATCAGTCTTTGCCGGCTGATGGGTTTTAGTATTTGAAGTGATTAGCTCTTCTGATGTGTAAAATTATGTGTCTGAGTTTTCTTCTTGTGCTGGGTTTTCAATAGTTTGATGTTTGATTGCAGCATCACGTTTCTAATCGTTTTATACATACTTAAAGCTGTATGTTGCCTGGAGAATTTATGAGGCATCTAATACATATAAGTAAACAATCACCTGGCAGCAGCCATTAACATCAACACAACTGAGAGACCAGCAACCTTTGAGCATCTCCCCTCCTTGGAATTTTTCCAACCCAGCTGATCAATAGAAGAATTTGTATCCAGGAGCTTTCACCCAAGATTGCTTCTTTCCTCCTGCTGCCCAATCTTTTTTCCTTTTGTGTCGTGTCTTTTTTAAGATTGTAAGCCTGAGGGGCAGGTGGGGTTCGCCATCCTGGGAAAGTAGCCCATCTAAGAATGGAAAACTCTGGCCCTAAACCTCTGTTGCCTTGTTGGGTATCTCCAGGAGAAGAAAAGGCTAAGGAGTAAGTGGAGTCCCTAAGAAGGTCGGATGACGCCTTGTAGCGTGTTCCAGTATAAGGAGCAAAAAGTCTGTCGTGAGCTCCGTGGGGACATCTTGGCAGGGCTGGCCAGAGGGAGCAGGGAAGTGATGAGAGTGCAGAGCTGGGGAAGGAAGGGTAACAACAGGAAGGTTTAAAGGAACTATTGGAAACTCAAGGCAGTAGAGATATAAGTTGATCAGAGCCCCACTGAACTTGAGGCAACTTGAAGTCCCAATAAAAATTTATAATTTGGCGGAATATTTGGACTATACGATATGTATTTGTATAATCTGGAATATTTAATGTGATTTGATTGGATTGTTAAAATGGAAAATTTAATAAAAATTATTTTTTTAAAAAAAGAGACAGAGTGCAGAGCTGAATCCTAGGGTATTTAAGAGACAAAGAGCGAGTTATCAGAGGAAAGGCCCACCTCAGCAAAACTGTATACCCAGACCACTGTGGCAGAAAGCCACTTCCGACGTAGAAAGGAGGTGGGGTTGAGGCCTTCACCCTCCCACCATGCGCGCGGGGGCTGGCTCTCAGCCTCCGCACGATTGAGGGAATCCCAGTTCGCGTCATATCCTGGCCAGCCAATCAGCTCGTAGCAAATCGTCACAACTTCCTTGGTATTGGCAGTTAGGCATTCGTATTGTTATTATGTAGATGGAAGGGGGGGACGAAGCGCCATCACCTCCCCCGCATATTGAAGGGTAGTCCGATAAAGCATTCCGGGGGGCGTGGCCCTGTCCAAAGCCTAAGGAGGTGAGGGCCTAAGGCATGCCCCCGAGCGGTGACCCCGGGGGAGTTCCTAGTTGATGTGCATCAGCAGGACTCCCCCTACTGGTGGTTAACCCTTCCCGGACTTCAAGCGAACAGGCTGAAGCCGGATAGTCGGTTAGGACCAATGCCTAAGCCAATACCCCTCATCACCTGTAACCAATAAAGTTGTGGCCATATTTAGCCCATTAACCTTAAATATCTGTGTCATGTGTCTTTATTTCCACTGGGGGGAGGTGGGAACTCGCCACGCAACCACTTCACTTGCCTCTGGGGAAGCACCTGACACTGGAAGATGTGTCGATATGGTCAATCGCAAACTTTTGGACCAGCGCCTTGTCGACGTGGGGATTCAGGGCACAGTCCAACAATGGCTGCACTCCTTTATCTCTGGTTGGGGACAGAGGGTAGCAAAAAGTCTCTGGTCTAGACTCCTTTATCAATATTTGGTTCTTCTCCCTACTCCTCCTTTTAAAAAGAATATAGACTGTCAGGAGAAAAAAAGCAGCATGTTCCCCAATCATTCTGATGTTCTCATTTATAGCATCAAATGTAGTTAATGGTTTTCCGTTGTATTGTACTTCGTACAAATTTGCTAATTTATCTACGATTGCTTGTTTTGGAACTGCAAGGTCAAGAATGACCTATTGGAGTAATTAACTTTCAACTGAGAAAGCATGGTTGCAGGTTGATGTAGTTAATAACAGTTATAAAAAAAAAACCCCGCAGATTAAAAACATAGGTCTTAATGATTCCCAAGTTGTGATGTGCTTTGTGGTTTGGCTAGCTCTCATCTTTGAGTTGTTAAATATATTGATTAAAAAAAAGTGCCAGCCTCTGTGAATACAAAGGGGCTGAGGCATATGAGTCAGAACAGCTCAGGGGGTGAGTAAACAAGTTCGGCAACAGTCCTGACAAGGTGAACAAGCCATGCTCGACTCAGACAAACTCCGGGAAAGCTGGCAGAAAGAACCATGGTCAGCCCTTGCTGGTGCCAGTAACACACCAACCTGTGGGGAATTCTGTCTTGACAGGAAAACAGAGCCATACTGAGATAATGGCCCCACACTGCAGGAGCAGAGATCTCAGAAGCAGTGCCGTCTGGGAAGTAAAACTTGAGTCATGTCCCCAGGCAAGGAACAAAACCAAATAAATGCCAACAACTTCAGCACAGAGATCCAGCTTTTATGAGGCTGCACATTTGCTCCATGAACTGATACTTTAACTGAGTACAGTGGTACCTCGGGTTAAGTACTTAATTCGTTCCGGAGGTCCATTCTTAACCTAAAACTGTTATTAACCTGAAGCACCACTTTAGCTAATGGGGCCTCCCGCTGCCGCCATGCCGCCGCTGACATTTCTGTTCTCATCCTGAAGCATAGTTCTTAACCTGAGGTACTATTTCTGGGTTAGTGGAGTCTGTAACCTGAAGCGTATGTTACCCGAGGTACCACTGTATTATTCACTGAGACGAGCAGGAGCCTTAAAAGCACAGCCGGGCTCCTCTTATGCTACAACTTACACAAAAACACAACAAATCTGCCACTGCTCCAAGTTTGCAGGCCAAGATGACATGCTGGTTTCTAGAAATTAGCAGCAAATGTCCCACGTATTTAATAGCTTGTGATGCACTGCCTTCTGCCCAAAGGCTAGCACCTCATGTGTGCAGTGGAACTTGACTGTTTGCTTCCAAAACGCAACCCTCTGTGCCAGGGGTGCCAGCTCCAGGAGGCCCTGGGTGCCTAGGCACCCATAATTTTTTTGCTGTGGGTGCCCTGCCCAGCCACCACCTTACCTCAAGTGTTTAGGTGTTGTGGCGCTGACTTGGGCTGGGCCTGTGCCTCCACCATGGAGGCCTCTTTTGGCAGAGGATTTTTACATACTGCTGATTTTTACATGGTACTGTCTGCTTTCAAAGGTCTGCTAAGTTTGGAAGGAACTGTTTTCAGTTGGCATGGAGCAGCGGTGCCAACTTGGGCCCCAGACTGTGGATGCCCAGCATCATGCTCCTGTTTCCTCTCCATCCGAAGGCAGCAGTGACTAAATAACAGCAGCTTCCCATTCCAAAGGTTACCAAAACAAACATGGACCTTTTATTGGGTGAGGAAACAGCAGATTGAAATAGAGGGAATAAAGATCTAGGCTGCATGAAAGTAGGATTTAGAACTAATTTGGAAGAAGGGGGCAAAAATATATAACCAGGATTAGGGATGGGCAAATTTCTAAACCTAAGTTCAGTTCTCCAAATTTTACCTCAATTTGCAAAGCTTTAAGTCCTTGTGAAAATTTATCAGTGCTTTAGTGCAATTGTCTCCTGATCTACACATTTCTGCAAGCAATATCGCCCTAATATGTAGCGTTTTTTGTATGTCATTTTCATGAATATATGCCCTTTAATGCACACTTTACCTTAGTACATGTTTTTGTTTATATTATTTGGATAGGGAACTGCAGTGCAAAATTTGGGGAAGTGCAAATTTCTAAAGATGACTGTGCTTCGCCCTTTATATTGTTTCAGAAAGTGCAAAGAAGGCAGATTCACCTTTAAATGCAAAATGAATTTAATTTCTCCCCATCCTAAATGCCGGTTCTCTAAATTTCTGGATTGGGGAAACAGGCAGTGTTATGTACGGAGTTGAATAGGATCCAAAATGCAGCAGTCTGATTGGTCCTAGAACAATAGGATTCAGAATGCAGCAGTCTGATTGGTCTTAGAACAATAGGACCCAGAATGCAGCAGTCTGATTGGTCCACAGGAGCCACCCAATCCAGCTCCAGGTGGAAGTGAATCCGCAACCTGATTGGCCTACAGAAGAATCCCGGAATTAGCTAATCACGTGGGGCCCATTGTGTAAATAATGTATATAAAGCAGATATTCTGGGGGGAACTTCCATTCCTCCTCACCACTATGAGCTGGATAAAGAGTATGAAATCCACTCTCGACTCTGAGTATATTTCAGGCAGGAATAAGACTGTTTTAAAAAGCTTTTCCCCTTCTCTCCTAATAATTACTGCTGGGATAGTGACTCAGAGACAGCTCAGCTCTCCCTCCCCACCAGCTTTTGCTTATGACTGCATGCCACAGAATGGTGCAATACTTTTCCATCCTCCTCCTGATGTGATTTGGCACAGCAAACAAGACAAGGCAGCAGATTTCTATGGGGCAACAGGGAGGAATAGGAAGGGCAATATCAAAACAAGCCTCTAATCAAATGTGCATGGCATTTTGGCTAGAAGAGATATGTATGTTGCTTGCAACCAGTCGCTTTATCCTGAGAGAACAAGAGTCTAAATGCAATTCACAAATGTACTAAAATGAGACTAAATCCACAATGCCAAGCCCAGTATTCAGAAATCCAAAATGACTTGCAGAGTGCAACTGGGCTGATACAAAGCAGAATAAGCAACTGTTTTCTGCTAGGAGTAATAGAGGACTGAGTTTACAGTGGAAAGGTCCAGAGCTTGGTAATAAAGCATATCCTTTGCATCCATCAGACCCTAGATTCAATCCCCATCAAACCCCATCAGAAAACCTGGAGAGCAGCTGCCAGTCATTTGGATTAACACCAAGCTAGATACACCAATATTCTGACATGAGATAAGGCAGCTCTCTGTGTTCCTATGGCTCTTCCCGACAGCAAGCATAAAAAAATGAAATTATGGTATTAAGCTATAAATTCCTATCCTCCTTGGAAGGTGAGGATAGGGGACTATGCAAGCATGAAAACAACTTTCTGCTGAAGCAGGGACAGGCCAATTTTGGTTTCTCCCAGTTTCTCATTTTTCCAATCTTCAATTCTCCACATTTTCAGATCAGAATAATTTTCTTTCTTCTTTTTAAATAGTCGTGAAGATTCATCAGTACTTTCCTGCATATTTATCCTAATGTAAAGCGCTCTCGCTCTCTCTCTCTTTTCTTTTTCTTTCTTTTTTGATAAACACTTATTTGCCTGACAATTGAAGGAATCATTCAACGTTTCAGTTCTACCACAAAGTTACTCACAGGGCTAAAAAAAAACACCAAGGCACTTAAAATTTAGGATTCCGGTGCCTCGGATTTTCAACATTTCCCCAACTCAGGCTATTCCAACGACACAGTTTAATCAGATAGACAGCTCACAGCATGAATTTAACACACATTAAAATGTACAGGTATATATAACCACGTTACATGCCGCATAATTAGAGCGGAAGTAACAAGCAACCAGCTACACAGTGGGAAGCCCTGGTGATGCAGAAGCCTGTTGTAGATTTCACTGTAGCTCTATTTTTTCCCCTGGCACCCTGTGATTACACTGCTACTATTGGTTATCAAGATGTCTGCCTGTGCCTACAGCTAATCCTCCAGGGAATTAAGCTTATGTAACAAGATTTATATTAGCATAAATTCGGAAGCTTAACTGAGAGAGGGAGAAAAGATACTGACTTTGTATCAGAAACATAAGCACTAAGTAATGTTCCATATGCAGTTCACGCGCCCAAATTTTAAGGGGCATAGCTCAGCGGCAGAGCATCTCTTTTGCAAGCAAAAGGTACCCAGTTCAGTCTGAGGCATCAGGCCTGGGAGAGTTCCCTGCCTAAAACCCTGGAGAGCTGCTGGCAGTCAGTGTAGACAATAATGAGCTAGATGGATCAACGGTCGGATGCAGCAGAAGACAGCTTCTCACGTTCCCAACTTGGTTCCTAGATTCAACTGTGTTTCAGGTAGAGAGCGTTATATGTGGGGGCTGCCTCAGAGGACAGTTCGGAGTCTTCAGCTGGTGCAGGCTTTGGCGGCCAGGTTGCTAACCAGGCAAGGTAAAAAGGTAAAGGTAAAGAGACCCCTGACCATTAGGTCCAGTCGTGGCCGACTCTGAGGTTGCTTGCCACCCTCCAGACCTTGAGGCACTGCAATCCTTAGCCGTTTAAGGCCCTACAGGTCAAAACCAGCACTTCAAATAGGGACTGGGCCAGGATTAGTGCAATATGTTCAGACTACCTTGCCCGGTTGGGACGCGCGTGGCACTGTGGGTTAAACCACAGAGCCTAGGACTTGCCGATCAGAAGGCCGGCGGTTCAAATCCCCGCAACGGGGTGAGCTCCCGTTGCTGAGTCCTTGCTCCTGCCAACTTAGCAGTTTGAAAGCACGTCAAAGTGCAAGTAGATAAATAGGTACCACTCCAGCAGGAAGGTAAACGGTGTTTCCATGCGCTGCTCTGGTTTGCCAGAAGCGGCTTAGTCATGCTGGCCACATGACCCGGAAGCTGTACGCCGGCTCCCTCAGCCAATAAAGCAAGATGAGCGCCGCAACCCCAGAGTCGGCCACGACTGGACCTAATGGTCAGGGGTCCCTTTACCTTTTAGACCAAGGTGGTCCAATGCGTGCCCCTAGGTCCTCATGCGGCCCTCCAAGCCCTTTCTGGCGGCCCTCGGCAACATTTGATGCCCCTTCCAACCAGTCTTTACACTGCCTTCCCATAGCTGAGTGAGGTACTGGGCTTTAGGAATGAGGTGTGAGGACTCTTGACAGGGTCCTAGAGTCCTCCCATTTCTTTCCCAAAGCCTAGTTAGTGCTTTCCCAGCTTTCCTCCCCCACCCTGTACAACAAGACAGTGTGTGGCCTGCAGGTTCCACATTGAAGTACTTGGTATGAAAAAGTTGGGCCGCCCTGCTTTAGATGTATTGTTAAAAAGCTTTGGAAGCTGCTTGCAATCTTTTTGGCTGACATGCAGAAATAGTAAGGAACAGAACTTATGAATCATAAAAAATGACACTGCAGAGAATGATGGAACTGGTGACTCAGTCTACCAAGATTTTTCTTCTAAATGATACTATTTACATATTTTATGTATTCCACTGCTGTGATCACAATTTTCAGTTGCCACTAGTGGACAACAGGCACAAACGGAGCTTTTAAGAGAGAGAACTCTGTTGTGAACTAAACTAAAGCACACATACCCAAAGAAGTCAAAGCTCAAGATGATTTTCAAAAATGTCAAGGTATTAAAGTAACATAAAACAGTTGAAGTGCTCTTCAGTTAAACATTTTTAGCCAACTGTTGTTGTCTGTAGCAGGGATGCTTGATGGATTTGATTTCTGTGAACTGACCTAATCTGTACTTCCCAGCTAATGTTATATGGATTGAAAGACACATTTCACACATATCCAAATTTGTGATGCAGCTCTCAGCTCAAAAAGAAACGTACCAAAATGTGTCAGTGCATATTTTAGGATCAAATATGTTTAGAAATGTGTACATTGTGATCAAATATATATTTATTTATTTTCATGTGGTTGTTTTTTTTAATTGGAGATTAATGTGGAAATTTTTACTACTACTATTAACTGAATTTATATTCCGCCCTATACCCAGAGGTCTCAGGGCAGTTCACAGAACAAAATCAAAATACAAAACCACGAAATATATAATCAAAATAAAAACCCAATAGCCGCCCCCGCCCCCAAAAACCCCATTTTAAAAGGGCAAGGGATGTCAATCAAATCAACCGAAGGCCTGGTTAAACAGGAACATTTTTGCCTGGCACCTAAAAGTGTATAATGAAGGCTCCAGGCGAACTTCCCTGGGCAGAGCATTCCACAGATGGGGAGCCACTGCAGAGAAGGCCCGTTCTCATGTTGCCACCCTCCAGACCTCTCGAGGAGGAGGCACACGAAGAAGGGCCTCAGAAGGTGATCTCAGGGTCTGGGTAGCTTCATATGGAAAGAAGCGATCCTTGAGGTATTGCAGTTCTGAGCCGTTTAAGGCTTTATAGGTCAAAACCAGCACTTTGAATTGGGCCCGGAAACTAATTGGTGGCCAGTTGCAATCGGACCAGAAAATAGAGCAAAAGGGACTTATGAACACAAGTGCAATGGAGAGATCAGAAACAGACTGGATCTGTCCCTTTAACTACCTGTAGTTAATGTAGCTGCAATAAAACGTGTTTGCTCAACCTTTTGGAAAGTATCATCAAATACAGCTCAGATGAAGCGTTTTAACTGATATACTTGCACACTTACCGAAATTACATTTCCAAGTGACCCCCCCACCATGCATACTACAGAACCTTGCACAAGAAATAAGTGATGGGTCTCCCAGGTTTCCTTCCCCATCACAGACAACAGATATCGCCATGCTGACTTGGGCACAGTATTCCCTAGGATCACTGGCTCACCTTTACTAAAGCCCTGCAAATATTAAATCAGAAGGTGGTACCACCCATAGCATACAGTGGTACCTCGGGTTACATACGCTTCAGGTTACAGACTCCGCTAACCCAGAAATAGTACCTCGGGTTAAGAACTTTGCTTCAGGATGAGAACAGAAATCATGCTCCAGCGGTGCAGTGGCAGCAGGAGGCCCATTAGCTAAAGTGGTGCTTCAGGTTAAGAACAGTTTCAGGTTAAGAACGGACCTCCGGAACGAATTAAGTTCTTAACCCGAGGTACCACTGTATACACCTCACTCCTTCAGAATACTCTGATGGCTTTCATTATCAATGGAGACATTTTAAACATATTACTGAACGGCAACAAGGATGTGGCACAATCACTATGAGAGATAAAGAAATACTGATTCAGATAGGTTGAGAACCCTACTGATACATTTCTTTACATTGCTTCTGCTGACACATGAAGACCTTTTCATTCACTTGGGTGTTTTAAATCAAGGAGGTAAATTTTGTTTTAAGGAACTTTCTGGTTTTAATTTTTGTTGCCTTACTGTTTATTTTTTTAAAAAAAACAGACTTTTTAGACTGGTTTGTTGATAGGCAGCCTCTACTGGGGATGAATAGTTCAATATATTTTTAGTCAGTGTCACTTTTGCATCTGTTCAATCCTAAGTCTATTCTGTCATGTTTTCTGCATCCCCCCCAAAAAATGCTTCTCAAAATTCAAAAGTGTGCAGTCGAAATCCACATAACAGTCTGGGAAGTATAAATTTTGTTGATGTGCTTAAAAAGGCACATCAAACTAAATTCTCCAACATTTCTATCCTCTACAGCAGGGGTCAGCAACCTAAGGCCCATGGGCCGGAAGTAGCCCACGGAGGTTGTTTGACTGGCCCAAGAGCTGCCCCCGAACTGAGCCAATGGTGCAGCACGGCACAGGGACTCGCTTCCGCGGCGCCGAAAAACGCGTCTGCGCATGCACAGGCACTGAAAATCATGTCTGAGCAGACACAGACGCCGAAAATCGCATCTGCGCAGACGTAAAAAATAATGCGCGATCCGGCCCATGGAGGGATCTCCGCAGGACCGATCTGGTCCAGGCAAGATAAACCTTGCTGACCCCTGCTCTACAGAGCAAAACCAAATGAAGGAGCCCCTCATTGGTATAAGCAGGAAGTGATGTTCTGCCTCTGCCAACCAAAACAAGAAGACACCCAACTCAATGCAAGTTAATAATTGGCCTTGCAGGACATCAAATATTAGGTTGGTTTTCTTAGTGTTGCATAGTATATCTGACACCTTCTTAACTCTAAACATCCAACTTAGTCTGAGTGAACCCACTGAAGTCTACTCCAAGTATGATTAATGGACTTCATCCATATTCCACAATTTTTTATCAACTGGAATGAAGTAGCTTTACATTTTAGTAGTGTTTTTATGTGATTTGCCTTTTAATGAAGCTGCCTGTTATTTATATACACTGAGCAAAAGACAAATTTCTTTGGGGGGGGAAATGGTCCCATAAGCATTTTGCCAGTCCCATTTTTATTAGCTTTACAAATGTTTAGAAATGGCTTCTCTTCCCAATATTAAAAAGCTGCATTGTACATTCTTTAAAGCTGCATCGTGCTATATATATATATATATATATGCATGCACATTTTTATATGACCAGCCTGACCCAGTCACGAGCTGTTCCCTACTGTATGCACCACACACTTGTTTCTGGCAGCTATCCTGCCCCAAAGGACCAAGTAAAGAGCACCACCTAGTGGTCCGATGCGAAACTGTGATACAACACTGAAAAAAGAAAAGGGGGGGGAGAGAAGTCAAGTACTTTCATATCCAGCCTCTTAAAAGTTTGTAAGAGATTTAACAAGAACACCAAAAGTGTAAACCGCAGGCTCGCTTCAAAAGTTTATTCAAAGAAGTCTCATTTCTCAAAAATGCTCTTTCCCAAAACAGATCAGGGGGTGGAGAAATATAAGGAAATAAACTGAATGTTCTATACACAAGTATTTCACCAACATCCTTGTAAAAATGTGAACAAACAACAAATCCAGCAATCACTGCTCATCAATGAATATGGCACAATGTATTATTTATAGGTTTTGATGTATTTATCTTCTGTGACAGCTCTTTTCAATGCTTGTTTTAAAGAACCTAATTTTAGGTTGGCTAACCAAGTGGTAGACTCCACTCTTTCAGGACTGCTAATGCCAGCAAGTTCTTTAATGGGGATAATGTGCCAGATCACTGGAGCCAAGCTCTACCTTCTCCCTGAAAAGCAGCCCCTTCTGCTCAGAGACTTAAGCAAACAGTTCCCTAAAACAACTTGGGAAGTTTTTTGTATTGAGGAAAGGAATACCTGTAACCCTGGAAGGCAAGTGGGAAAGGTATGTGATGGGAAAATTAGGCGTTTGCAAAACTGAAATTCGGGCCTGGTTAGCAACTATCCTAGATGCATATCAAATTTGTTAAAAGAAATATATGCACTAAAGAAGGAAACAAATACATATAAATTTTCAAGATCTTCTTGTTCTGCCGTTTAAAGTTACAAGTCGAGAAAACTCTACCTCTTGGACCCAAATTATACTAATCTAGTTTGGCTTTGCATTTTAAACACAGGCATCACTGTTTGTCTCCATATTATCTGGAAAAGGTTTTGTCACATAGTTTTTGATGGCAGGCAGAACAACTTCATTTTCTGTTGTTGCCTCTCCATTTCCAGGTTCAGTTGGCTCACTTTCCACTGAAACAGGGATCACTTCATGCAACAGGAAACAGTCGTCATTCAGCACCTCCTCTGAGGTCATTCGATTGTTAAAGCAGAGGAGTTTCGTGAGCAGAGATTTAACTTGAGTGTCCTTAAAAAGAAAGAAAGAAAAAGTATTATTATTTGAGGTCACCAATCCGCCCAAGTCCTGTGACGCGTGCAGATAATTCATATTTATTTTAGAAATACTTATATTCTGCCTTTAAAAAAAAAAAACACAACTCCAGGTGGTTTACAGTAATAAAAATATCAAATAGAATATACCCAGAAACAGTACATAAAACTGTGGTCCAGGGGAAAGAGCATTAACATAAGAATCCCAGAATTCAGGAAAAAGTAGCAAAATCAGCAAAATCAACACTTTGTATGGCACCCAAGATGCAGAAGCAACCACCCCTTTCTTCCATGCGCCTGGATTGGAAGAGAGAAGTTACCTGTCCCCTTTCTTTCTCCACCAAGGAAGAGATGGGTAGCTTCTTGCCTGCAACCTGGGTTTATGCCAGGAGGATGGGCGTGATCACTGCTAGCAGACACACTTATGGAACTATCACCCATATGTACTGTTAGAAAGCGAAGTGCTTAGCAATCCTTGGCACCTTCAAGACAGCAGCAGAGATTACTACTATAATTACACTGAGGGTTGCCCAGTTGACAGTGACCCATGACGGGGCCTTCTCAGTGGTGGTCCCCTATTTGTGGAATGCCCTCCCTTAGTGAGTTGAGTCCTCACTATTCACTTTCAGAGGAAAAATAAAAACATTCCTGTTTGCACAGGCATCAATTTCATCTTCCCCGAGTCAGTGTACAGGCATGTCTGATATTCAGATTACTTAGCCTTACTTTACCATTAATTACACTTGCCTACCATTCATAATACTTTCCAAATGATACGTTTCCATTTTCCTGACGATCAGGGACCACATTCCTTCTTCTTTACACCAACAATTGTTGCACTTTGATCTTGCACCCAGATGTTTTAAATATTTAAAGATGGATCATTTAGTATTAACTAAACGAAGTGATTTAGGCAGTTCTGCACTATTATTTGAAATAGTTCGTGTAGGTAAGAAAACAAACATACCATATAGTGGCCATCCACTTCAGGAGTTCCATCTCTCTTTATTTTAAACTCCTGTTTTCCAAGAACCAGCTATAAATTTTAAAAGATGACAAAATTAGCTCAAACATCAATTCTAGAAAACCAATTTATGTTATCCCATTCTATTCTGACAGTCACTTCCAGTTTAAAGAGGGACAAAAAAGGTAAGCAAAGCACAGTTCACTGTATATTTACACCCCCCCCCAATTACAGCTCTTTGTGCTACATTTATTCTGCTGACCTAAAATTTATGCTTCCTTGCCAAAAATAATCGTTGCACAAAACCAGATATACAGTGGACCCTCGGTTTACGTTACCTTCAGGTAATGTAACTTTTGGGTTGCGAATGCGGCAAAACCGGAAGTGTACACTCCCGGGTTTCACCATGCATGCATGCACAGAAGTGTGCCGCGCGCATGCGCAAAAACGCTCTATCACGCTACGCACATGCGCAGAAGCGGCACCTCTAGATGCGGATGTTTCGGGTTATGTACGGACCCCTGGAATGAATTAAGCTCATATCCGGAGGGTCCACTGTACATTTGACTATTGTCTCAAATAAGTAAAATATGTAACCTGCAACATCAATTATACTTCACATAAAGTCTAGATTTCTTAGTGAATCCCTATATACTAAGGGTGAACTCAAACGTGGAAGCCATGACTGATTAAAATGGTATATAATACTGCTTTAAATGTTTAGTGTAGATGGGGCCTTGATAAGGGGCAGCATTCAAAGATGGAATATTCATCGCCTACAGTCTGAAGATGCACAGCCTACTCTACCATTTCATTCTGTTGCATGCGTAAAGCTGATCGCACTTCATATTCATATCCATTCCCAAATTCAGAGAACAATCTGACAACCTCTTTAAGAAAGCAAAATGGGGAAAAACGAGAGCCCCTGGCTAAAATCTGTAGATGATCGAAGGGACAAAACAAAGACTAATAAATGTAGATCTACTTTCACACTTGAGCAGTTATGGCAATTTCGCTCACAGCTTCGCTTGCAACTTTAGGGAACACAATAATTCAGCCTGCATTACATTACGAAGCCTTTGCATTTATAAATGAAGAGCTACATACCCAGTAAAGGAGGCAACCAAAAGCATACATATCTGAAGCGGGAGAAGGTGGTTGTCCCTGCCTTACTTCAGGAGAAATTAAGTTCAAGCCATTCAGGAGCACAGAGTTCATTGAAGCACGCTGACTCTAAAAATTTAAACCCCACAGCTTGGAATTACAATTGAACATTGCCTATAAAACAGATGATCTATGCTAGCCTAGGCAACAGCTCTGAAAATCATCCTACCTCCTGAATTGAGAGAGGAAGCAATGCATCTATTGCATAGCCACCTTTCCATTCTCAGTGCACTGGCACTTTGGGCACTGAACACACATATGCCACTAACTCACTCTGACACCAGGAGAAAGGGTATGTGTCCAGAGGAGGGCAACCAAAATGGTCAAAGGCCTGGAAACGATGCCTTATGAGGAACGGCTAAGAGAGCTGGGCATGTTTAGCCTGGAGAAGAGGAGGTTAAGGGGTGATATGATAGCCATGTTCAAATATATAAAAGGATGTCACATAGAGGAGGGAGAAAGGTTGTTTTCTGCTGCTCCGGAGAAGCGGACACGGAGCAATGGATCCAAACTACAAGAAAGAAGATTCCACCTAAACATTAGGAAGAACTTCCTGACAGTAAGAGCTGTTCGACAGTGGAATTTGCTGCCAAGGAGTGTGGTGGAGTCTCCTTCTTTGGAGGTCTTTAAGCAGAGGCTTGACAACCATATGTCAGGAGTGCTCTGATGGTGTTTCCTGCTTGGCAGGGGGTTGGACTCGATGGCCCTTGTGGTCTCTTCCAACTCTATGATTCTATGATTCTATGTATAATGCATACCCTCTAGTCGTGTTCTGTGTTTAACATGGTATGCGTTTAGCACCTCTTTCCTCCATTCCCTACCAGAGAGAGCCAAAGCTCTGCTAAGTGGAGGGCTACTGGCACTTTAATGAGTGTGTGGTTGGCCCTAACCCTGTGGAACTCCTTGCCAATGTGGGTTCAGCAGGAGTCATCGCTGCTTGTTTTTAGACACCTTCTAAAAACTGTATTACTCAGACAGGCCTTTCGAACTTGAGTTTCTATCCCGACCAGCTATCACTGATGTTTTTGTTTTTAGTCTGCAAACTGCTGTGTAATATTTTATGAGAAACGCCTGTGCATCTTCCTCAGGCCAGCTCACGTCACCAGACAAGTGTGTTATAGAAGCTGCACATTTAACTCTTCTAGGAATGCAAGAAGAGAGGGATATTCTGGTAGCAGCATTCTAGAGGACAGGTCAGAGTCAATTGCCTCCACCCCCCCCCCCACATATTTACACTTCATTTTTTGTTTACATTGTTTTAATAATTGCCCCCCCCCCAAAGAAAATCCCATTGGAAAACCACTAAATTTCGCATGTGCTCAAAAGCAGAGGAACTGCGTTAATTAGCAGCAAGGAAGAAGTTCATTTGTTTATATTTAAAGGATAGCTTCTTTACCACTGATTTGGTGAAGTCAAAGTCTCCAACAATTCCTTGCTCTCGGTTTACAGCAAATACGTTGTTTTTATGCAAGGATCCGTGGATTATACCAGCTTTGTGTAGCGTATGCAGACCACGAGCTACTCCTTTCATGACCTTCAAAGTTTCCTAGTTAAAAATCATAAGAGATGAACCTCAAGAGTCCCATTAGTCTTTCAAACACAAACTCCATTGGAAGTAGGTACAAACCCACTTATGAAACTCCTTGCAATGTGGCTCTAAGTCAGGATTAATCTTCAATAAATGAGTTACTCCTGATTGAGGAAAAATGTGTTGCCTACAATTGTTTTAAGCAACTGCTAAATTCAGAATAGTCTGAAAAACATCAGAGAGCATGCAGCAAAGCCCACAACAACAAAAATGAAGCATAGGTACATGGGGGCATTAGTGACCACTGAATGGGACCTTTTGGACAAAATGCAAAGGGTTTTATGCTTATATTTTGCATTTGGATCCTTGGTGTTACATTTGTGTTATAAATCTTCTTTGTTGTACCAGGACTATAGCAATTCATTTCATTTTTTCCGATACCAATTTGTTTGTTATCACTGTAGAACTCATTAACAAATTATAGAGAAGAGGTAACATTTTAACCAGAGTCTCCTGTAGTAAACTGTACTGCAACCGGAATCAGACTGTCACTTAATATAAAAGGTAAAGGGGACCCCTGATCGTTAGGTCCAGTCACGGACGACTCTGGGGTTGCGGCACTCGTCTCGCTTTACTGGCCAAGGGAGCCAGCATACAGCTTCTGGGTCATGTGGCCAGCATGACTAAGGCGCTTCTGGCAAACCAGAGCAGCGCACAGAAACGCCGTTTACCTTCCCCCCGGAGCGGTACCTATTTATCTACTTGCACTTTGATGTGCTTTCGAACTGCTAGGTTGGCAGGAGCTGTGACCGAACAACGAGAGCTCACCCCGTCGCGGGGATTCACACCGCTGACCTTCTGATCAGCAAGCCCTAGGCTCAGTGGTTTAGACCACAGTATATTTAATATACAGTATATTAAAATATGGCCAAATAAGTATATTGTTTTTTGAAAGAAACCGGGGTGGGAGGACAAACAGCATTGAAGCAAAAATGAAGCACTAAATGCCCTATTTTTGAAAAGCTGGATTCACTGCATACCATAATGGAACAGTTTACAGTAAGAATTGAGTTAATCAGCATCTTAATGAATAGGGGGGTTTTCTCTCTCTCTCTCCACCCTACTCCCACCCGATCACATTACTTACTTCTGGATTTAAAGGTGCGGTAGTCTGCAATATGCCCAGGCTTGCTTCAGCATAATATGGGACCATCAGGTATGCCAGAGGATCAGACTTAATGGACACAAAAAGTAGTATGTATGTGTATATCATATATGAAATTACTGCAACATTTCTACAATTGCTTAACACATACTGCAATAAATAAATAAACAAATCTCAAAGTATATATGTACCTTTATTCATCATAGAAAGGCTTACTGATTAAAAGTATTAGGTTAAAAGATTTATCATTTATTTTTTAAAAAAATAACTGCATTGACAGTTTATAACTTGCCTTGCATAAAAATAGAAACATCAGCTGCATCAAACCAGATTCTTCCTTCAGTTCTCTCCAGAGTCTGTGATACTTTGCTGCTCTTTCTATCACTTCGGCTTCAGTATTCATATCCACAGCATATCCCTAAGGTGGTTAAAAAAAAAGTTGGCTATGAATTGGATAGGTATACTTTGAAATAATGATATTTTTCTCATTTTAAAAAGACCCTAAAAAGTGTACGAACAACTTGTACACCGCATTTGAGATGCAATGCATATACCTACTTCTTACTTTGTGAACATTAAAAGCTGTGGGGCTATAAAATATCAAGATGGCTGCAATTTCCTTGTAGCATCTATTGTATTCTGCTTTGTGATTTATTTTACTCAGTTCTTTTATTTGTGAATCACTTCCCAAGAGACATCATGAAGCAAATTACAATATAACATATATGAAAGAAAATTTAATGTATATTAAATAAACACAGAAACCATTGCATATATAAAAACAAGTATAAATATACAAACAGTTTAAAACAATAATGGCACATACATAAAATCCATTCAAATCCAAGACAAATACCAACTGAGATTAGTGTTATGTTCATCCCATTTCACAGTGATGGTGCCGGGCAAACCTAGGAACCAGTTAAAATAATAGGACTGGAAAGGATTTCTATCTGTCCAGAAGGACTTGCTCTAACTATAACAACTATATGAACAGCTTCTGTATATGCAACTAAGGACTGAGACTTTCCTCCCCAATCCCCAAAAGTTCCTAAGCTGTATGAAAATGAGCTTTCTAATAGGTTGGTTGTAACTAAGCCTAACTCTCCATAAACTAGACTTAAAAGGCTGATTTCTTCAAACTCAAAGATCAAGGCTCCAAAAATCCCCAAGTGCTCAGGCACAAAATCACATTCTAGAGACCTGAAATGTGTTTTTTCGGCTTAGCAGAAGACCAACAAGCACCCAGATGTTTAATAATGATATCTCAAAACCTGAAAGCTTTCCAGTTTAGCCAATGACTTGCCTCTTATTACTAGCTTTTTAAAAAGTGAACTTGAAAGTATACCTTTAAGAGAACCTTCTGCCCTTGAACTTCTGAGCAAACCAGAGGACGTTTTGTGCTCAGTTCTCTCATTGGTTCAGCATCTAGAAGATCACGCTCCAAACTGACTGTCAGAAGTCCTCCTGAGTTCTGAACAAACAGGATTTGCCAATCACCTTATAAATCCCAACACTGCACAAAATATAAATATGTGTAGATCACAGAATAGAGTCACATTATCTATAAGTAATAAACAAGGTGAGGGACCTGTATCCTCGGGCTGTAACCGGAGCACTCCTGCACAAGGCTCCACAACCAGCAGGTTGGAGCAGGAATCTTGCAGCATTGTTTAGGGGGAAAGGTAGCCATATCTCTTTATTTCCCAACCCTCCTGAAACTTTCCTTGTTGTGCTATAAAGGGCTCAGGTTTGAAGCAAGAGGGAAGGTTTCCGTAGAGGAGAAAAGGGATTTCTCCACATAGAAGTGAGCTTTTGGCACTCCCCTCAATCCTGTTGGGTACACTAAGTGGGTATCCACCGTATACTATAAGCTGTTCTTGGTCAAAACAGGCCAATGCCCTCCTTTTCTTTCCTGTCAACTAACACCATAATTCCACTGGTCTTGAAACCACTGAGCCTAGGTTCTTGTCATGCAGCAGGGGCCGGGGGGGGGGGTTGTGGGCTGGGGCTGTTTGTCTTTTCATTTGCAAACTAAGGCTCCCACGAATGTGCAGAAACCACTTCCTATTTTGGGCTGGTGCGTTTCTCTGCCAAGTTGACAGCATGTCTAAGTATCCCCCCCCCCCCCAATTTTGTTATTTTTAAAAAACAAGATGTGAAGATCTTAGCACAATGGTACCGTTTCTCTTCCATCCAGAAGCTGCTGTGATCTTAAAACAGGATAAACAAGACCTGCCATTTTACCCTTTTGGTCTAACAGGAAATCACGTTATTGGCTTTACTGCCAGCAAAACAAGGTGACCATGAACAGCATCAGGCAATTTTTTGAGAAGAGCTAATGGATAAAGGATAAGAAGCACCCTGAGAACGGCCTGGTCACAAGGAATGGCAGGCCTGGCAGATGGCTAATATATAAAAATAATGCAGAACTTAACAATCATAACCTAGAACAGGCGTCAACAACCTTTTCTGAACCAACAGGCACATTCTGTGCCTCAAATTTATAACAAAATGGCTGCCATGAGGGACATGACCTAACGTAGATTGAAGGGGTGTAAAACCATAGCTGTTTCCTCTCTTGGCCTTCACCCCCAATATTTAGCATGGCAAGTAAGCTATGTCCTACTGGTCATGATTGCAGAGATCGCATAATAGTTATTCCCTGCACACACCCAAACGATGCTATTACAGTCAATAGCAGGAGGCATTTCCCAGTAGCAAAAAAAAAAAAAGGGTGGACCACGCTGCACTCTCTTTTGTGTTCAGATGTCTCATATGCTTCACATATAAAGAGCAACACATCCACCTCTCCATTTCTATCCCTCAACTACATCTCTCCCTCTTTTTCAGAGACCACACATCCCTACATTCCTCCTCTCTCCCACACAGAGAATACTTGAGTGCCTGCCCTACATTCAGAAAAGCTTCTCCCTTCCCACCAATCCAGAACAATACACGAATGCCAACAACTAGGCACCCACAGGCACCGAGCTGGTAATTCCTTACCGATATCCACTAGGAGTTTTTTCAGAACGTTCTCTCCAGAAATGCCGAAACAAAACATCTTTCTTACCAATATATTTCTTACCATATATTGTAGAATTCCTGCTTCAGGATGAAGAAGCGGTAGCTCAGGGAACCATTTCTGTACCAAGTGATTGAGCTTCTCCTAAATTAAGAAACAAATTTTTGCAATACCCATCTCAGCATGAAAACAGAACACAGTGATAGGTTCGGAACTAGATTAACCTGTGGCATGCAAGTAGCAAATTTGCAAATGAAGAAGTGATTCACAGATAAGCATCAGTACGTAATTAGATTCCTCTTCACATGGTACTGCTGGATTTATACTCATTCCCCAATGCAGAAGTCATACACTTTATGATACAGAAGACACAGCTACTCCATTGAACACAAAGTAAAGGCCCTCCACTCACTCCTACTGAAGGTGTTAACCCACGTCTGTGCCCCCCCCCCAAAAAAATCATCTTCCTGTGCTTGTCATTTGCAGCCATGTGATTTACTCCCGAGTAAGAGACTAAAAGTCCAAGGGAACACACCAGAGTGGACTTGTTGGCATTTCTAGCTCTGCATTTTACACATAGTTTTCACCACCCCTCTACCCTGCCTCCAGCCACCTTTTTTAAAAGCCAGCAATCCATTTTCCCCCCCTGGTGAGAGGCAACTTGTGCAACTGATACACCGGGGGGGGGGGGCAGTATGAGAGGCATGGCGGTGGTGCTTGTGCATTCTGGGCTGTGAATTGTTGAGATGATCTTTGCACTCCTTGGTTCTTTGCCTCTTTGCAGCACTCTACACCCCTTATCCTCCTCAGCTGCCTCCTGGAGATAGTTCAGTTTTTGTTTCTCCTGCACAACACATCTCCCCCAGCAAACCTTTCCACAGTAGTGTTGTTCCTTGGATTCCGAACACCTTGGTACTCAAATGTTTTGGCTCCCAAACACCGCAAACCCGGAAGTGAGTGTTCCGGTTTGCAAACATTCTTTAGAACCCAAACATCCGGCACAGCTTCCAATTAGCTGCAGGAGCTTCCTGAAGCCAACCAGAAGCCGCACTTTGGTTTCCAAACATTTTGGAAGTCAATGGATTCCGTTCGACTGCCAAGGTACAACTGTATACACTTGGGATTTGCCATGCACTGCATAGTCACGAGGGAGTAAAGCTGACCCAGGGAAAACCACATCAAAACACAGCATTTCAGTAGAAACTACAAGATAACCTGTGGATTGTAGGTAACGTCATGTGTACATGGATTCAAAGAACAGGGATGAGAACGCACTGAAGCCAGAGTAAGCCATAAAAGGGACATGCCCTTGGTTTTTGATAAGAGAAGTTTATAACCATTTCTCCACTCGTGATAGCTTTTTAAATTTACAAGTTGCGTGCATAAGCATGCCTTCACTAGATTCAGAAATGCTCATCCTCTTCATCCTACTCAGTAAGAATGTATGCAATTCATTCTGAAAAATCAAAAGTTTATTCAATGTAATTACTTGTTTCAATGGTGCTTATGCAGTTGAACACTTACGTATTCTTCTTGTTCCTTGTATATTTCCTCAAATACATTATTTCTTAGTCCAGTTATTTCTTCTTTTATTTTTGCCATTTTGGGCTCGCTGTCATCATCAGACTAAAAGGCAGAAATGTAAAATCATCACCTCAGACGATTAAGGTATTATTATATCAGGTAACCATCTTATAATACATTGAGAATAACTACTGGTTTTCAGTTAACACATTCTAGGCCTGAGCCACCAGATTTACTGGACATACTTTCCTGCTTTCCATCTGTTAGGTTAATACCCTTTCTTACTCCTTGAAAGTGGTGTGGAGACAAAATTAAAATGCCACAGTTGGAAAGGGCACCGGGACTCAATTCTATGGCCGAACTGTCACCAATGTCTTCTTCTCAGAAATAACAACTTATTCACGAGGATTAATAAATGTTTTCATATGCCTGGGCTAATTCACAAAACTATCAGCCACTTCTTCAGTGGGTCAGGAAAGAAACAGTTCACTGAGTTCAGCTTGGGAGCCAAGCGACTGAAAGCTGGGGAGGGAGAATCTGACTTCTCAGAATGAGTTGGCCACCCTGATATAAAACATCCCAAAAGGTTGTCCTGCGTTTGGATTACTGATGTTGTTTAATTGAAAGGCTACTTATCTCTAACAAAGTAAGCTGCAACTTCTGTGCCAGTGCCCAACACACATACAACATGCAACACAACACCACACACATAAGGACAGGGCGGAAGAAGATGAATAGTGTCAACTTATTGTTATAGTATACTCAATATAGTATATGGGGACCAGAAAGAGGCCTTAGATGGCACCAGAAAGAGGCCTTAGATGCCTATACTGCTGCAACTGAGATGAGACCAAGACTACTTTTCAACGTGAACTCATTAGAGAATGGAAAACTGTTAAATGTGCTTTTGTTGTTCCGAGCTTGCATTTCTTAAATGTGAGGAACTGCTTCCCTTCCGCTGGACTCTCTAGAGTTACCACTAGATTTAAAAAGGACTAAACCAATTTATAAACCCCTGTGAAAGAGGTGGGTCCCTCCCACAAACAAAACACCTTAACTGTCAAAGGCCAGGGTAAAGACTTGCATCTTCAGCCTACAGCAAAAGCTGTACAATAAAGAATCTGGAGACAGTTCTGTGGGTGGAGAGCTCCACAATGCAGGTACTGCCATAGAGAAACCCCTCACCCAAGAAGCCATTCCTGAAAACTCCCAAGAGGGTGCCCTCTGCAGATCATAACACCCAAGAAGCTCGGAAGGGATGCAGGCAGCCTTCCAAACACTGAAAGGCATAGTGCCTCTGGTCATGGAAGCAGTATGTGCTCCATCATCACTAGCAGCCATTGATATCCTGAGGAGAGCACATGCTAGGATAGTGTGGAATCAGTATAGTGCGCATGCGCGCGCACACACAGAAGGAAAATCTGATATCCCGTTGTTTTATAGGCCCATTATTGCACAAGCTCACTGCTGACATCCCACCCACTCAGCAATGAGAGAAACACTGTCTGATCTACATAGTTTTAATCTACTTTTCCTTCGGATTTTATTTGCCTTAAGTTTTACGTGAATAAATTACATCTTTGTTAAAAAATGAGATTTCTCAAATGCCAGATAGTATCAGCTTTTCCCACATACTCAATCCATTTTTTTCCCCAACGGACGGTAGGGGCAGAATGCTGTCCCTCGTCCGCTAGTTCTATGTTTCAGAAAAGCCTTTTAAAAACAGCACTTATTTCCATACTTCTTCCAAGTTGTTTTTTTCAACCAGCTTCCACCTCAGCTGAGCCTTCAGCTTTTTCACTCTCTTCTTAATCTGTAGCAAAACGTCAACGTTGGGACTTGTCTCCAGCCACTCCACTATCTGCTTTTTGAACTAATGTGTAAAACAAAAAACACAAAGAAAACATGGAAGTGAAAGAACAGCGTTTTCATTGCTCAAATTAGTTTCAAGGAAGATTGCTATTTGCACACATCAGACTCATCTTTATGTCTTAAATAGCAACAGAGTCTTTGGCAGCGATAAAACAATATCTAGTTTAGTGGAATCTATTAATGGGTCATTTTATAATTACAAGCCAATTTTTCTTTTGAAGTGGCTGAAGGGCAATTCATTGACAAAACAGTATCACCAAAAAGCTTTCCTAAAGTTTCAAGACATGGTCTGCTTTAATTCTGAGAATACAAAAAAATAACCAAGTATGACAAACTGACCTCGATGCTGTCCAGATACTTGTGATATATAACGCTTAAGAGATTGCTTTCTTGGTTGATCTTCTGCATAACTTCACTGTACACATTCAAGATTATTTTTTTATCTGCTTCATCTAGCTCCTAAATGGAAACAGACACAAACATACAGATAACATACCTGCAGCTAGATGAAAGTTGAGGATTTCAACACCTATAAGGCATGAAGGCTATTCTTAATGGGAAGGCTTATCAGTTTTTATTTGTAAAATAAATAGAGGCTATCAAGCAGTTTAAATTAATGTAGTTTGACATTTCCATGGGACACAACCTCCACCCCAATGTTCAGCAGCTCTGGTGTGGTGAGTTTGTCAAATGATTCAATCAGGAATAATTCTGGGCTCCTGTTTTGCAACAGACTGCAGTAAAAGGACCACAAGTTGAACTGCAAATTGAACCATTAGCTGAACTGTAAATCAGAGGTTTGCTGCTTTTTATCTTGGCTTCTTCTACCTGGAACAGTTAACAATGTATTAAAAACCAAGTGTAGGGTACACATCAAAAACATTCAGCATTTGTGTATTTTACTACCGTCTTTGGGTATGTTATGTTCTGCTGCCCCTCAAAAGTCGCTTTTAAGTCTAACCATCTTTTTATTTGAAATTATGTATGGAGCCATGAAAAATATTTTCAGAGAAGGAAGAAATAAGGCTGAGCAAAGCTAAGCAGCTTTTCAAATGCATACTCCATATAAAGCAACACTATTCAAATAGAAGGCAACTGAGCTCTGATGTGTATTAGGATGTGAATCCAATTAATTTCTGCAATTGCTGATCCAGCAAGCAACAACAGCATGGAGGCCTACTTGCATTAAGTGGTCTTCCCTAGCTGGATCAAGGCACTTGGCTCCTGGAGATAATGGGGCACTATGCAGTTTACTCTGGGGTAGGGATGTCTGAGAATGTCACAGCACTCACTATAATTATTTTCTTAGTCTGCAAACATGTAAATTATTGTTACTTTCTGCATTGGTTCTTACACTTCCCCTCTCCACTGAAATGTGTCGAAATTGGTTATATAATTAAACAGTTTAGTTTTGGCCATAGACAAACAATATACATTTGCAAGACACACAATATACATTTCAGTGGAAGCTGAACTGCAGCCGAACAGAAATGGCAATGATTGCGTGGACAGGCGGAGTCTCCCCAACCCCAGGTGACCCCCAGGTGGAATAATGACTCAAGACACTATGTTATGGGATTAAAATTGGCCACAGCTTTATTAAGACTTCAGATGTAGGGTATATCTTGGCTTAGGCATTGGGCGTTTATCCCTTCCAGTCCCCGGCCGGGGAGCTGGGGAACATCAGGGTTATCCAGAATGAGTGGGGATTGGGCTGGCTCTGGAGAACGTCTGTTCAAGCAGAGAGTCCACCCCGCATTTCGCCGTAGTCGCAGGGGAGAGCAATGACAACCTATTGGCCAATGCCTCCCCTCAAACAACCCCTTTAACGGGGAACCCTGGGATCACCGCTGGGGGGAGCGTGGGTCACCGCTTCACGCCCCCAATGGCAATGACTGTGATTACCCCAGGCAGGGCGGAAATCACTGCCTCATTACATCCCCACAATGGGGGTTAGTCACAGCCTCACCTGCCAGGCTCAGAAGATAAGCATGGCAAGGTGCTTTCATACACTGAAGCAAATTATTCAAACCCTCATGATGGTCTCGGGGTAGATGGAGAAAAAGACCTTGCTACTTCTTTAGCTGCAAGGGAGACAAGGGACAAGGGAGAAAATGGGCCTGGAGAAGTTAGTGACTATCAAATTCAATTCCACCCCCATCCATTTGGGCCCCAAGCTGAAGGGGAGAAGAAAGCTGCTGGCTTCAATTCAGGGACAAACTAGTTAACTAAACACAGGAAAGATGGCAACTCGCAACTCCCACCCCTTCTCAAAGTGAGATTGTAGCTTACAGGCCACCATGTTAAATTAACTGGTAGATTTGTGACTATGGTCTTTCAGTATTTGACTAGGATTGAGGAATTTTGTTGCAGGAAATCCTGCTTCAAACATTCCACTGGAAATTTCAGACATGGCTTTTATCCAAAAGACATGAAGCCACTACAAAAGTGCTGTAACAGAAGAAAGCTAACTTACAGTTAGAAAAATGCTCAATTCTTGAGAAATGTTCAACTCGGCATTCTTGAGAACTTCATCCATGTTGTCACCTACATCTTCAAATTTCAAAAGTATGCCTGACGTCATGTCAAAGAACTTGGAAGGTAAATAGTTAAGAGAAAAAAGGAGTTATCTATACAAATATTAACAGTGTTGGCAAAGTAAATAATGGACCCCAAAATGTGGAACGCCCTCCCTATAGAGGTGTGTCAGATGCTGTCCCTTTAAAGCTTTAGGCAGTCATACGTTTCCTGCTTCTTTACTAAAAACTTCGAGTCAACAGCACTTTTATTTGTGAATTTTAATAATGTATGTGCCATCCTGTTGCACAGGAACACATACTTTCTACTGCTGCTTAGTGCTAAAGAACATGAGATTGTAGAAGGTGCATGAACGATATTATATTTGGTGATTTTGTTGTAAATTGTCCTGATGCTGCAGAACAGAAGGAAAGCACACTCTGGTCTCTGTCACCAGCCGGGGAACAAAAGATGACTGGGATAGCTGCCTCCCAGGAAGAAAGGAATGGAAAAAGGGAGGTCAGTCTGACCCCATCCATCGCCCAGAGAAGCAGCAGTTGCAGGAGGCTTGCCTCTCTCCCCTTCCTGCCAAAGAGAATATTCTGCTCCAATGCTTGTTTTCCTCTACCCTCCACATTTATATTTCCTTTTGCCTCAGTCTAAATTGTGAGCATGCAGGCAGGAACAGTATTGGATTTTTTAAAAGCTCTATAAAGAACTTATATGGGCTTAGAAGTGATCATTAATCATTATCATCACTGAATGCAACAAGCTGCCCCAGATTTTTTTTTTTTTGGAAGGATGATTATATAAAAGTGGATCACGCAGTCAAAGGTTACGGAGCAAAGACTGTAATAGGAGCTTCCCTAGTCATTAAATTCAGAGTGGTGAAAGAATGTTCTATCAGCTGCTCCAATGCGTATGCTACATCACACGAATGCTATGTTCCCACTTCACCTTTCAAGTTCCTAGAAAGCTTCCCGAGTATAACCCAACAGTGTATCCACTTAATGATAAACACGGTTTCGTTTCATATTTTAACACAAAAATCTGCCCAAAGTAAGAGCCAAAACAATAGCAGAAAGGGAAATGGCCAAGTATCCATTCGTCAGAGTAACCCTTCCCATGTTCCATTACCAAAAAAAAAAAAAAACCAGAATCATTGGCCAGCAAATCTCAATTTAGATAGCTAATGTCAAAGGGCCAAGTTACACGTTATTGTTGGAGCTCCACATTTGAACCTCCCAATGTGACCCCCCCCACACACCAAAAAAGCAATGACAAAAGGTCCTTATCTGGGTTAAAGTCAGAGTGTAGGAAAAGCCCAATATTCTTCCCCACCCTACCATATAGGCTTGATCCAAATCCCTGTCCAAGAGATATCATTAACCATAGAAGGGGAAACTTGCAGGGCCACGAATTGTCCCCCCTCTGCAGCTAAATGTAGTCACTCAGCCACGGCTTTTACAAAATAAAGTAATACCTGGAGACCTTCCAGCAACACAACATGCAGTTGGGACCAAAATCATGATCTGAACTTTGCTTTTTTATTATTTCTACCCCCCTTTAATAGCCCTGTGAGGTAGTTTAGGCTGACAGATGGTGGCTGGCCCAAGTTCACCCGGTGAATTTCATGGTTGAGTAGGAATTAGAATCCTGGTCTCCTAGATCCTAGTCTAACATTATACCCACTACAAGGGTGGGCAGCTGTTTTTCTGCCCAAGGGTCATGTTCCCTCAAGGTAATCTGTCAGGGACTGTATAGGGTTGATAAGGAAGGAGCCAAAAAGCAATTCTCTCTTTTTTCACACATGTGAAATCAAGGCCTGTCTTAAGTCAAAGTAACATTGTCTTTACCTGGATTATCCTGCTGAAACAGGTCACCAAATTTTGCAGAGATGCATCTGTGGCATTTCTGACACTACTGAATTCCTCCAACTTAATGTTTTTCCACTCAGCAAACTTCTCAAAAGCTCCTTCAGAACTCTCTACTTCATAAACCTGACCATATACGACTTCCAAGGAATCCTGCAATTTCTGTGGAATATAAAAGTAAAGAACAACAGGATTGGGGAGCAGAGACTGAAAGTAGGAGAAGACTATACTGAATAAAGAAAGCTATACAGTATAAAATGAAAGAAAAACACCTTCGGCCTTGGGGACTTTGTTATATGAGCATTTCTCTAATGGTTCTTGGGGAGGAGGGAACCAGCTTAGTCTGTGCTCTCCCCCCCCAACTGTCCCTGGACTTCCAAGTGTACCAAGCGACCTGAAGAAAACTGGGTTCACTTGTAATGCAACACGGTCCTTAAATCAAGAGGCTGGAACAAGTCCCCAAGATATGAAAACATGTCAAAGTATCTAAGCAAAACGGCCACGAGAGAGGAAGGATGGAGATGGAACATTTCTAACAGCCCAAATCTCTGGTCCCCAATCTGATGCCCAAAGACACCATGCTACCTTTGAACACACAACCCTGACAACAGCGAAGGACCCCTGCTATAAAAAATTTTTAAAAATAACTGAGTAATTTTGGAACTGTGGTAAATACATATTTTACAAAGCAGTAGGGAGAGAAATTTGGGCACATCCTAGGAAGGAAAAAAATAGTGAAAATTGCTGTCCCGAAGTATGTTTTTATACATCCTGCAACATAAAAGTGATTTCAAATGCCCATTTCCAAGAGTTGATGCAACAGGGTTTTTTGGCAGGGGGGCATTGTTGCTGAGAGTGCTGCAAACTGGCCGCTATGTCTTGGGGTTCAAACTGTCATGAACACCAGACTTATAAATCATTGATTTATCATAGAATAAAATTCTATCACTGAATTTTATAAAGGCTTGTCAGACACACAGTAAAATGTATGTTTGCTGCAGCTCAGCAAAGTGTTTGTAGGCTGCCACCTTGTGGGCATAGATTAACATAACATTTGCTGTACTGTACCGCACTAGAGAAAAATTTCCTCATCGGCTATGCCAGATGCAGTGACCTTCGTGTAACTCAAATGGATGCAGAAATGTTTTAAGAGACTACGATATGCTGAGTAAAAGACACTACCTATTTTATAAATGGGACGCGGGTGGTGTTGTGGGTTAAGCCACAGAGCCTAGAGCTTGCCGATCAGAAGGTTGGTGGTTCGAATCCCTGCAACGGGGTGAGCTCCCGCTGCTCAGTCCCTGTTCCTGCCAACCTAGCAGTTTGAAAGCACAAAGTGCAAGTAGGTAAATAGGTACCACTCCAGCGGGAAGGTAAACGGCGTTTCCGTGCGCTGCTCTGGTTCGCCAGAAGCGGCTTAGTCATGCTGGCCACATGACCCGGAAGCTGTACGCCGGCTCCCTCAGCCAATAAAGCAAGATGAGCACCGCAACCCCAGAGTCGTCCGCGACTGGACCTAATAGTCAGGGGTCCCTTTACCTATTTTATAGATAGGCACAAAGCATACAATTGGTTCATTTCTCACCCTACACATCTATTTCAAAGAGCACCTAGACTGGTTAACAGCATGTAACATTTCACATGAAGTTCTACTTTATGTTTATTTTCTAGCCTTTGTGGACTAAGCGTTGGGGAACAGGAATAAGTAACACCCTCTGCTTCCACCATTCTCCAGTAAGACACCAGACACAGCAGAATGTGATATCAATATACCTTCAGAAGCAAGGAAATGTTCGATAGGATGTCCTATCATGTTACCATGTACGGGACATTACCAGCATAACACTGTTTTGATACAAGGTGGCCAACTTTAAAAAAACAAAATAGTGCACAGATAGGATATGCATGCAGCTCTGTTCCCAACCTGCAATGTTTCCAAGCGCTCTGAAAGGGGTAAATCATCCACTTCCATAATATATTCTTGCACTGTAGAATACAGGTTCTGCTGCACTTCATTTCTACGTTGAATCAAGCTCTGCACTTCGTCCTGTGTTGAAGGGAAAAGCAAGGTCAGGAATAAACCCCCCAAAACTCTTAATTCACTCACAAGGCAATAGACTACTGAGTATGTGGTGAGCCAAATCATGCAAAAATTAACTTAACTTTCACACAATCTTGCATTTGAACCGTAAAGTGCACACTAAACATCTAAGAGCAGTGGTCTCTTTCTGGAAGCACACTTGCTGCATTTTGTTCAGGTGCACGATCTTTCCCAGACTTAACTCAGGGGAAACTACATCTGGGCAATCAACAACCAAAGCTGGCTGTCCCCAATGTGAATTTGCTAGAAACAAATTACATCCCTATCCTTCCTCATCCCATGAAAGCAGTTATTATAATGTTTTCAAAACTGATTCTGGTGTATTTATGCCAAAGCCATAAGGGAACAAACTATCCCAGTAGTAGCCACCTAGAGAAGAAAGCACAATTAACTGCATGCCGTCTAGCCTCAGGAGGCTGCCATTTGCATCCTGGGAGAAGATTTTTTTAAAAAGGAAGAACTATGGGAGCTAGGTTAGGGAGTAGTAAACGATCCAATCCCATGTGCCTGTAATCTACTATCATTGGGGCTTCTTACATGCGCATGGTATCCCCTTCACAGGTAAGGCCAAGTGTTCTTTTCATTGGTTAAGAGGTAGTCTTTACTTTAGAAACTGTGTTTTCTGTGTAGCTCAGTTTTCTAGAGAGGGATCCATCTGAGAATGCTCTAATTTACCTCCACCTAACTAAACCAAGCCCAGAATGCAAAGGGAGCGCTGAGGCATCTTTCCGGTTGCTGTCTGCAATTACAGAGCTACTGACACAGAAGGCAGCTAAAAAAATCACTAGGCTCAGATGCAGTCAGGCCTCAGTGTATACTTAAGCAAGCAGACAGTTTCTCAAGGACTTAAGTAGAGCTCTTCCTTTGCTAACTACAGATGAAGAGCAAAGACAGCAGCTTCAGATTACTGTCCTGGTTGATGCTCTCGAACATTTTGCAGCCTACTGACCCTACTTGTATGGCAAGAGCATCTGGGCTACAGAACTACTACCACCTGGATTGCTACAGATACACACTCATGAGAAACAAACTCTGTGACAGCTGGGAGAAAAGAAATTATTTTTACAATCTAATGTAACCTTTGCTTCAGGTAGTGAGGTGAATATATTATATTCATGGGAAAGTGTACCTGCAACTCATCCAGTTAAGTGAGAAAACAATTCATGCAAACTACTGCTTGTGAGACTGGCCTCTGGCTGGTCCAAAGGTTTGTTTACAAAGGGTGTATAAGGAAAAGACTACTGAATCACCACCAACATTTACTGGTGCTTGTGTGCCTACCAAATGTAAAGAAGGGCTTCAGCTGCAAGAGGAAAAACTCTCCAGCAAGTCCCAATCTGCAAATGCATTCGCAGACTCACTAAGAGGGTACTGGCATCAATCCAATATCACTGGAACTACAAGTGCTGCGGTTTTTTACCTGCCCGCAATACAGGCTAGCACAGGTCACATTGCAGCAGGAAGAGATGGGAGTGCAAGGTATGCTAGTTGACAAACAGCTACCATTCTTTTGGGATGTCTGATTGCTTTATCTAAGTTCTTAGCGTCTCCAAGCTTTAAGTGGCATTTTTTCCTTGGCTGCATGCTGCCTGGCTAATTTGAGAGTTGTTATGTTACTTAAAACTTTCATCAAAACACTTCTAACTCAGCTATCTGGCCCTTTCCAAGCCACGTTCTATGACCCTCTCAGGCAAAAACCACATTATAGGCTTGGGATTTGGGAGAGAAAGTGTGAGGTGTACTGCAAGCAAGGAATGACCCACAGAGAAAAAGGGGGGGGGGAGCCCTGAACTGTTAGTTGACTTTCAGTAGTTTTCTCCTGCATTTCCAGCACTCAGAAGCCCTGCTTGACTACCCTGTGCCCAATGGGTTGTGTGGGATGGGAAAATTATTATATTATTCTTATAATAATAGACCATGCATCCCCTTCTCTCAGCAAACTCAGATCTAGCATAATTATATCCCCCATCACTGAACATGTCACATGTCAAGTTAATTCCAGAAATGTCTTTTTTTTTAAAAACTATAAACAAAAATGATCATTATAGTTTATGCCTCAGCAAAAAAGGGCACAAGCTATTCTACATACCACACATTTGCATGCACATATTTCCTCTTGAAAAGCGTTATAGTCAATCCAAATTTTCTCCAGTTTTTCCAAGGACAGGGGAGCAGCAAGGCATCCTTCGGTAACCACTTTAATAGCTTTTGAAAGGTCTTCTCCAAAACGAGCATTCAGACTGACTTGTCTGGGTGAAAGAGATTTGAAAATGAATAGAGCATTTAAGCTGCCTTATCAACAGTTGTACTCTCATTTTTATATGTAATAGACTATTTTATATATATATATACATACACACACACACACACACACCTCTCTCTTTCTCTGTGTGTGTAACTATCAGGAAAAACACAGAAAATCATGGAAAATGCAGCTTAATTAAAATAGTAATAACTTATGCCTTCTTTCTGGTTAGACTGGACTGTCTGATTTTACACCCTTGTAAAAAAGAAAACACAAAATTTTGATATATGGCAGCCTGTTACCTATCAGAATGCTGCCATCTGGTATGCGACCAAACAACGATCTGCTTGGAACTATTATTTTATGGGCAAACCACTGACATAGGGGATAAGTGCAGGTATAACTTTTACCAATAGGAAAGGGTCCCCTTCTTTTCTGTCTTTAGCCCATGGTACTCCGTAGCTTCATTACATCCTGGATCCCCATTTACATCGGGATAAACTTTCTGCCCCACATCAAGATGAAGGCAGCACAGAGAGAGCCAGCTTTGAATGACTTCAGTCAATCAGATGGTGGTTTGAGGGAGCAGCAATGTCCGATCCAAAGAGACCAGAGGCAACTTCTCCCTCTCATTGGCTCACTGCCTATTAAAAGTAGGGCCTCTCTCTAGGGACCAGATCACTGCATTCCCAGCCTGACCACTCACTCACTGTGTTTCTTTACCGCATTATCCCATGCTGCACATTGCTATCGATTTAGCATTAGCCACCAGTTGATGGGGCTAGGAAGCAATTTTGCCCGAGATGACAATGGGCTTCAGCCGACCTGTGGTTTCTTTTGCCTTTCCTATCATAATTATCAAACTACTTTCTCTTTCCTTTTCCTTCTGGGGGCTTTATTTCTTTCCTTTTTCAAAAAAATCAATTTTTACTGAAAGTTTTCCACATAAAATACAATAAAAACTGAGCTAATCTAAAGAGAGAAAATTAAAAAAAAAACAAGGAGGAGAAGGAGAAGGAGAAGAGCAGCAAAGGGGGAAATACAAACCCCTCTATCACAATTGTATCATATCCCTTATTCCACACACACAAAAGTAAACCCTCCCAGCTCTCAACTGGGAGCTTCCCCCTCTTCCCCCAGCCTCCCACCCTGGGAGATCCTCTCTACCCTGCCTCTCATGCAAGGCCCTTCTTCTCCTGTCTATCATCTTCTTCTGTCTATCTTCACTTATCCAAAACAAGGAACTTCAAGGCGCTTTATTTCTATGATGCAACTGAAGCTGTATTCTACATCTGGTGCTGGGACATCAGGAAAGATCCCTGGGCGAAGAGGTGAGAGGGGTGGGCATTCCGCTCCCTCACTTAAAGAGAGGTCAGTGCACACCAGCCTGTCCACTTCATGGCTTGGTGTCATTGCTATGCCCTTGGCTGTTTGGGCAGCGGTCACTGGAACAGCTCAAGCTGTTAGGAAGTAGCTTCCCAGCTCCTACCAGGAAGGCTGAGCCACACATTTCTGACAGCACATGGGGTGTAAGAAATAGGATCCTTGCCTGTAACTCGCCCACCCCTGCCTTACTGCTTATATGCTGCACCCTGTAAAGCTGTAGCCTGCCTTTTCTCTTGCATCATTCCTTCCCCTCTGCTCAGCTTTTACTGCTACCTGTGGATGCAATGTGCACTTAACACCTAAACTTCATGCCAGTGAAGATAAACATTTCAGAAGTACAAAGAGAAGTACAAAGACAACCATCAGCTGTCCAAGGAGTATATTGGAAGAGTGATGCTCTTCCTCACTTCCTCCTTGAGTTGTATGCACTTTTCAGGGAAGAAAGCCTCCAGCCAGTGACTCAACTTCAAAAGGCAGGGAATATGTCACTGAAACTCAACTAAAATCTGAACTCTCTGACTATTACTGGCAATCAAACGCTGTTCTACTGCATTAAAATGACAAATTATAAAAACAACCATTTTTTAAACGACAAAATGATTAAGGCTCTTCTCCAAACAATGCTAGAACAAGGTTTGTTATTTGAGAAGAACCTTTTAAAAATTGTGATTCACAACAGAAACCCATCACTGGGAAATATGTTTTAGTTGAGGAGGAGAAATGTACACTATACCTAGCTTCTTTCAATTTCTCGAACTTGTCAGCCAAGTTTCCCACTGTAGTTCCTATATATGTTGATAGAGCGTTTTCCAACACCTCAAAAGTTTCCTTGTATCTTTTCTCCTCCTATGGCATTGGAGAAGAAAAGGATTCGAGCATTAGTATCACACCATTTCTGCCAAGCACCAAAGCATATTTTTAACTTAAAAAAAATATCATCAAAATATCCACATGCAAACATGGAGCTAAGAGAATATAAGGGCAGTAGACTTGGCTTTCAGTGACTATCAAATGCAGAATTATACTAATTTATGCTGCATTTGTATAAATAGCCTTCCTCCAAGGTGCTCAGTATTACATGCAATGCATTGCCAGATGACCAGGCTTTAATTGAAGAACTTTTGCACTGTGCAGTGTGTTTTTATGTTTGTGGCACACACACAGCTTTTGGTTTCAGTCACTTGTCTGGCATAACAGGAAGCAAATTGGAAAGCAGAGGAGTGGCACAACTGCCATCATACCCTGAACCAACCAAAGACCAGCTTTGGTCCTGCAGAGGAATTTCCAATTAACCTAGAAAGTCACTTGAATTCTGCTGCCTTAGGCTATAATATTATACAAACTTTTCAAGGAGGAAGTTCACTGAAATCAGCGGGGCTTACTTGCAACTAGGCACGTAAGGGATTGCAATCAGGCACCCACATTTACCATCCATCGGGTTTGGCCAGCATTCCTGTCTGCTGAAGGAAAACAAGGTGGCGACCATGATAGGAGGCATGGGAAATGGGAACCATAAAAGGGCGGGCAGTGGGGAGGAGAGCCATTCTTTAACTAAGTACTTCCTCTTCAAGTAGCACAGAAGAATTAAATCTTCTGTGTATCAGTTATATCATCAACAGGAGAACCCAGATCACTATTGTATGGCTACCAGTTAAGCAGGGGCAGCCCAGCCCGTTTTACCACCTTAGTGGCAACGCTGCACACAGAAACACCCCAGCTCTTGCTGAACTCGGCAGGAGCCAAGCTGTTCCGCATGGCGTTGCTGCTCGGTTTCTCTGCCCTGGGGGCAGGGAACATCTCCATCTCACTGGTGAGAACAGGGCATTCTGGTGGTGACAGAAGTGGTATGGTGGGCAGAGCTCTGCCTCTTGTGCTTCCGTCGCCTAAAGTGGGTGCTTCACCCTGCCTCACACGAATGCCAACTCTACAGTTAAGTATCTCTGGGATGCAGAATCAATCTATTGGCTGTACCTCCAGATCACAAGTAAGCTTCTTAACAGTTGACTCCAGTTCTTCACACTGATGGAGAAGATCCTCATTTTTCACTCTGAGAGCCTCTTTCTCCGCTTTCAACTTTTCATTCTCCTCTATCATTTTCTGGTCTTGCTTTATTTTTTCCAAGCTAATGTTTGAGACCCTTCTAAAGTCGCAAGTCACCATTTTCTCCCTATTGAAAAATAAATACAAAGTTGATACATGACTTCAAGAGATTCCAAGTCCAAACTAGTGCCCTCCAAATGATTTCGACTCATCACCTCCAGCCAACATAGCCATGCTGACTGGTGATTTTGGGAGTTGTAGGTTCAAAATATCTGGAGAGCACGAGAGTGGCGAAAGCTGGCTTAGATGCTTAATTGGTAAAGACCACCTTTATTGCACATGTTCCCCCTAATGCTATTCTTAAAGGGCACTCTCGATATACCAGGGAAATGGAAGCCTTCTGCAGCCACAGATAACTACCAGATTTCCCAAGGGCAAAACAGGCACTGCTGAAGAGGTGGCAGCGGCAGAAAAGGTGCAAATTAGTTGTCATTTCATGATGTCTCTAGCCTAGGAATGGAGGTCCTCTGTTGGCCAGATGAGGGCACTGCCATGAATTATTCATTCAAAGAAGGTGCCACACTAGATTGGCGTACTAAATCAGAAGCAGGAAATGACAACCCCAAACCCAGCTGGAATCACAAACTGCCTCTGCAGCCAGAATTACATCTATTTATTTCTCAACTCCAACCAGCCCCTGATGGCAGCAGCAGCATGGAGGGTCCCAGCAATGTCTCCCACCACTCTTGCTTGCGGCGTCCGTGTCTTTATTTAGCTGTGTCTGCTTTAGACCGCATCACGTTTAATTCACCTATCTTCCTGCAGGGTCAGACATTTATTTCCCAACAATGCTATGGCCAGAGAAAAGGAGGTGGGGAGAGTGAGGGGGAGAGAACAAAAAAAAAACCAACCAAAAAAAAGGAAGAAAAATGTTTGGCGGGAAAGAGGAAAAGCAAGAGCAAAGGAAATGACAAATGCACAGGTGGTGAGAAAAATAAAGACTAGCATAAAAGAGAGCCAAGAACAACACAGCTAAGAGTGGTGAAGCAGAGAGCTGAACAAGTACTGTATTTCTGCAGGGGGCATCAAAATGACTTGGGAGGAGTGACTCAGGAGCTGGCTAGTTAGCACAAAATTTGGTCACATGTCCCTGTCAGTCCAAGACTTTGGGAGCAGCTGACCAATGGTTATCTGGATTCCTCCTGCACACCGACCAGGGAACCAGAATGTAACAAAAATTCAGAACCAATCTGCAGCCTCAGAGGTTTAAGCACTGGATCACTTGAATTAAAAAGTGCCTCTGGACATGTGTGGAATGCCTCTCACCACTACATAACAAGCACCAGCCCAACACAATCAGGGATTTTAAAGCAAGATCTTCCAGTTAAAAGGCCATGGTTTCAAGGCCAGGAGCCCCCAGCATCCTTCAAAAGCATGTTGTATTGGACTTTATCTCAAACTACATCTCAGACCACCTCTTACATCAGAAAATGTTTTCCCACTGTGACTTACTTAATAAAAGGCACATGGTTTGCACCGTTTTTCTCATTCCTTCCATTCAGTGGTGGATTGTCACCAAAGCCCATGCCTACTCTGTTGCTTAATGGAGAGCTGGCTCTGCTGGACCACACTGGAGCTGGAGAATTTGCATTCCTGGATTGGCAGAGAGAGGAATCCATTTTTGTATCACAGGAATTACTATTTACAGGAGACTTGCATCTTTCAGCAAATCCTTTTTTGGCCATTTCTTCCCCAATATCCAGTAGCCCACACTCTGCTTCAGCCACAATGGTACCATCCTGATACGTGGCTTTGATTCTCGTCTTTATTTCTTTTTCAAAAATCAAGCTATGCAGAAATCTCCTGGCCTGCAAAAAAGAAAAGGGGGGGGGAGTTCAGAAAAGTTTATGAAATAGTTTGTTGTGTAAGTTTTACAATCAAGGCTGTGGTATACATGCAGCATTTGCAATTGTGCAAATTTATCTGACAGGCGCAGATAGATCTAATTTTTGATCTTTGGAAATCAAGTTTACGGCTTCAGAGAAACCTGGGAAATGTATGAGCTGTGCTCAGTTAAAATCTCAGAAGCTATAAAGGGGCTGATAAATCCTTTCAAGATCCAGGACTGTGGTTTACCAATCTGCATTGCTTTCAGTCCCTAACTCAGGGTTAGCAGAAACCAAGTCAGGTATGCAAAGGTGTGGCAAGCATTTTTATAACTTGAATAAAGAATACACAAAGCCACTCTTATAATCAGCTCAAGCATTAATTTGACACTTGTGTTGTCCACTTACCAAAACTGGCTGACCACACTTAACGAAAAATGCAGTAATAACCCAAATACAATAATGATCCAGATAGCAAGAAAATGATGTATGTGACATAAATGAGCTTCAATGAGCCTTGGTGTCACACACTCCCCCATCCTGCATGGCTGTGAGGAAGAACTCAAAGACTTCTGCTTTTACTTTCCCTTAATTGCAATTTGTTGTATGGTTTGGCACAACAAACTTTGGTAACACTAAATAAAGTTCAATTCCAACAAGCCAACTGTGGCGTTTGCCCGTTCGTTTGAAAATGTCTGTACAGGGGGAGAGAAAGAGTTAATAGGTAGACCAATAGAAAAGCCAGAGGCAGAGCGACCTGTTTATAAAAGGGCTTAGCCCGAGGTTAGTTAGTTAGTTAGTTAGTTAGTTGGTTGGGAAAAGGCAGTTGGGAAAGCAGTTGGCAGACAGTTGGAATTAGAGAGACAGTTAGTGCAATTGGTTCTTGTGTGAGGGAAGGTAGAAGAGTTAGAGACAGAATAAAATAAGAGGGTAAAGAGTAAAATTTTGAATGCAGTTAAAGTTTATTTGTGTCTGCAATAAACTACACTTTTCTTTGTTAACTTAAGAACCTGACTGAGACTAAGTGATTTACCGGGGAGGACCTGGTTGGTGACAGTGGATTAGTGGTGTACGGGTCAACAGTCCATGAGACAACCGGGGGCTCCGTACGAACGCCACATCAACTTCAACCCAAGGGGTACGAAGTTGGCTTGTTGGAATTCATCATGGTAAGTATTAACAACAGCTCTCAGTTCGGACGATACAGAAAACTGCGGTTATGTAAAAGCAGAGGCAATGCTCCAAAATCCTCCTCTTGGTCATATAGGATGACTAAAATGTAGCACACACACCCAAGGTGCACTGCAGCTTGGATACACCACCATAAAGCATGGCTTAACAGGACACGTGAATGGGGCCACTTAAGTTTGAAATGACAAACTTCATAATCAAAAAAGGGAACATAATATAATATTACATCTATAAACCTAAATTCTACAGTGAAAAGGCAAGTGTCAGCTTATTGCAAGATTTCTAGAGGAACACAAAACCCAGGCAAACTGCAATCTTTGGCAACTATGAAGAAATCAAGCAGGTGTTTTTCTTCCTGGTTTCAAATACAGTCATACCTCGGGTTACAGATGCTTCAGGTTGCATTTTTTTGGGTTGCAGACTGCCAAAACCCGGAAGTACAGGAACGGGTTACTTCCAGGTATCGGCAGTTGCGCATGCACAGAAGCACTAAATCGCACTTTGTGCATGCGCAGACGCGCCGAATCACAACCCGCGCATGCACAGACACACCGCTGCGGGTTGCGGACACTGCGGGTTGTGAATGTGCATCCTGCACAGATCACGTTCGCAACCCGAGCGTCCACTGTATGAGCTGTATTTGATTCCCTCTACTCCAATGGAAACTGCTTGACCACCAGGGTATGTTTTGAGAATTCCATTGGGAACAGAAATAGCTGCTGTTTGCAATTCTGCCTGAAATTCAGAACAGAAATCAATCCAATCCAGGGACTATGATTGGTATTTGTTTGTAATCTTCTTTGGGGTTTTGTTGTTGTTTTTTAAGATTGCAACCGATACATAATTACTTCTTTTCTAAACACTGTTTTGACATTTCCTCTACACTGAAATGGACTGTGTGAAATAATTATGTTAAACCTATGTAAATAGTTACATAAATTAAGTAGGAGACAGCAAGATGGACAACATAGCATTTGGTGGAAACTGAACCACAGCACTGATTGTAACACGACAGGTTAAAACAGAAATCAACTGCCTTTTTACATTCCTGATTGCTGAACTGTTCATACACATGTGAAAAGTCTGTCTCACCTGGTCAAAATGATTTAAATCTTGATTAGCTGAAATCTGTAATCCCCACAGCCTGTACTTTTTCGCCACACTAGGAAACTGCAAGTTTTCTGGAATCTCAACTATTTCTGATCGATTGAGAACCTCAGAGTTTCCATAGTCTATATATAATACCTGGCACTGTAATAAAACAAAAACCAGTAAAACAAATCAATAAGAACCAATTGCCTATTGGAGTTATAGCTTATGGTGTTCACAGTACATTATGTCTACCCGGAAGTAAGCTGCACTGAGTTCAAGGGGACTCACTCCCCAGTTGTCTTTGCACTCCTACATGCACACAACTTTAACTAAAGAAATAGTTAGGAATCTGCAACCACTACTAAAGAAGGTTAAGCACTTACAGAAAATAATTTAGTTATAGGAAGTATTTCTGCACACATCTAGCTACTAAAAATAGAATTAAAAAGCCCAAAGAAATGACAGTAATCTTATGTTATTTGAGAAGTTCCTGCCCTGTTACTTAAAATCCAAGTTAGCAGTTCCTTAAAGTTTAGTACAGAAACTAGGCAGAAAGATGTTGGATTAGCTAGGCCTGATCAAGCAGGGCTCATCATTAGACTTGAAACCATCAACATGAAATAGCACTATCAAGTAAGATTTGGACTCAATGATTTCAGGAAGACAGTATCCAAGCTATTATCAACTAAGATTTGAACTTAAAAGATTGCAGACTGTATTTCGGAAATCAATCTGAGTAGGAATTCCTTGCCTTTTCAATATTGATAACCTTCAGTACTTTGCATCTGTACCAACATTTATCTTCAGAAAAGCATCCTCCATAGATCTGCAAATTAAAAAAACAACAACCCACAGGTCACTTCATAAGCCTGCATGTATTTGTAAGACATTTTCTTCAGATGTTTTTAATTCAGTGGTTTATTCTGTAGTGTTTAGGTGGCAGGCAACCTTCTCATGAATACAGATATAGAGCTGCCTTTTGAAGATGCTTAAATGTTTGAACACATACACTTATGCAGAAGTATGCAGTATAACACTAGTTCTTAAGGAAGTCACTTAAATATACTGTCAACCAAGCTTACACACAGTAGAAAATTTAACTCTGCATTCCAAAAGTGTTACCACTGTAATAAAGATAACAATCAAGACGAAAATCTTCAAATTCAACCAAAAATGCCAAATGAGCAACTGAATAGCTGATACAATTCATCTTTACCACTGTAACCCCACTTCCCGAGTCAAAAAACACAACTGAACTTTTCAAATTTGCATACACAGGACTGTAAATTCAAATGATGCCTATTAGATGTTCTTATACTTATAGGAACCAAGAAACAACATGTACAACTTACCCTGGTAAGATCAGGATTGCCAAAGACTGGGCTGGCTAGAGGACAGATTTCAGCTAGAGAACGGCTAGTCTTCAATATGTCGCTATGTCTATTAATATCCTGAATGGCACAAATTAAACTTGAAGTCAACATTTATATGAAAGGCCTTTTACACTACTAATATAAGAAGGGGTACAGTTTTAAGGCGTGCTCATAAAAATATGGGCAAAGACTTGCTTTTGCCAAATTTAATAATTAGTTAGTTGCCCTGATCCCACTTTATTCAGTTAGTCATTCATCACTTCCCACAATCTTAACCTTACCTGTGCCCAAAATGTAATAGCATCTTCAACATGGCAGCTAACAACTGTGGGCAGAAAGAATTACAAGTCAGCTCATGAATTCAGCGTTAAAGAAGTAAAACAATATTAGTATGTGTACCTTTGTTATATCCTGAATCCTCTTCCATATCAGCAGAACCTAAAACAAGACATGATCCATGAGAAAAATGTTTATGTAACGATAGTCCAAAGCGGAGTGCCATGTTGATTAAACATGAGATACACAGCTTAGTACCCCTATAGACTCTGAAGTGTAAATTTTACGTCACTGTTTCGTCTCCTCCTCCTTCCCCAGGATGTTCATCAGATACCATACGATTGCCTCCAGGAAGATCTAGGTGTCACAGACAGTCCAACTGCCTACCTGGGGATGAAGAGATTCTGGTGCTACCTGGCCTGACCTGTGGGGGGGGCAGGTTTCCCCATGGCCACGGCAGAACCTATAGAAAACAGCTAGAATAAGGTTACCAGACATCCCCATTTCCCGGGAACAGTCCCCAGATTTACAAATCAGTCCCCATACAAAATCCATTGACGTTGAAAAGTGTCCCCAGATTCATTGAAAAAAATCTGGTAACCTTAAGCTAGAAGTAACTTATAAAGACTATAGTATGGAGTTTTTACATCCTTCTCTTCCTCCCACTACTTTCAGCAATCCCCATTACCCAACTTCAGCACATTTCCAGAGCCTTAAAAATGCACGTCTTACATCAGAACACAAATCTATGTGGGAGATTTTTCAAGAATGAAGAATAAGGCTACCAATGGCTACTAACCATTGTGGCTATATAAGTAGAAGCATTACACTCAAGTCCTGCCTAGAAGGCTTCCCATAGGCATCTGATCAGTCACTGTGAGATGCGATGCTGGACTAAACGAACCTTCGGCCTGATCCTGCAAGGTTCTTATGTTCTACCAACTTTCTCCACACCGTACATAACGTTACAAGGCTCACATCATGTCCCACCTTACACACCTACCTTCTAAACTAAAAAGTGCCAGCTGCTTTAGCCTTTCCTCATAGGCAAGGTGTTCCAATCCCACCATAAATTTGGTTGCCATTTTCCAGCCTTACAATATCCTTTCGGTATATGGCAACTGTACACAATATTCCAGTCAAGGACATATATAGGGTATTTCAATACAGCCAGTTCTATTTTCAGTGAATAATCCCTACCATAGAATTTCCCAATAATCCCTAGCATGGAATTTGTATTCTTTGCAGCTGCCAGCAGACTGCATTGACACTTTCAATGGATTATCTACCATGAACCAAATATCTCTTTCCTGATTGAGCTCAACAACTTTGCGCCCCCACCCCAATAAAGCAGCTCAGCAACTTTCGTGGTCTGGATTTTCACTTTCTGAAATATGGCAACCCTAGATAGGGCCTATTTGCACCTTCAGCACGCACATTTCCAGAGGTGGCTTCCCTCAAAGATGTATCCCAGCCTTCCCTTCCCCCTTCTTCTTCCCAGAATCCCCTTGCCCTTCCCCAGAGCAGTTACCAGGGCAACCTTCCAAATCCCCAGTCTCTGGTCATACCTAGGGCCCTTGTCTTGTTAACGACCCTTAATGGCTCCCTATTCTTCCCTTAATGGCCTTAACTTGGCCACTCTATTCCGAACTTAAAAATGGAAAACATAATGCTGGTGGTCAACAAAAGAGGTTTAAAGACTGTCTCAAGGCAAATCTTTAAAAATGTAGTATAAACACTGACAACTGGGAAACACAGGCCTGCAAGCACTCCAACTGGAGAACACCCTTTACCAAAGGTGTCATGGGCTTTGAAGACCCTCGTCTTAGCAAGGGAGAAACATGCTAAGAGGAAGGCACCTTGGCAAATCCACACCGTAATCAGCTCCCGCCCGCAAACCAATGTCCCCACTGTGGAAGGACGTGTGGGTCCAGAATTGGCCTCCACAGTTACTTACAGACTCATTGTTAAAACAGTGCTTATGGAAGACAATCTTACTCGGCTATGAGTGATGCTAAAGAACAAGGAGACGACGACCCAATAATTCCTTTGCATCTTGTATTTCTCCCTTCCCACCCCAAATAATAATCCTAGAATTTTATTAATTTCTATGTCCTAAGTCTATTCATAAACCTACAACATACAGCAAGGACAGTATGTGTAAAAATGTGAGCTGTCAGGTCTCCTCCACACCGAAGTTTTACCACATGTGTGAAGACACTACAAAAGGCTTTTAGTCTCTCCCCCCACCCCGCCCCTGAAACCCGAGGATGTTAATATTGGCTGGCCTCTCTTTCAGGAGAGCCGTCAGGTTTGCAGAGATAAAAGTACCGGGGGGGGATAAAAGCGCTATATAAATGCAAAAAACCTGCCGTCCACCTGCCTCAAAACACACACACCCATCCCTCACATATTTAAGATTCAAAGGAAAGCAAAGGCACAGGGTAACAGGCCTGTTTTTCCCTCAGATGCAGCCTTTCCATAATCTGGCCCTTGAAAGAAGACGCCCCGCCATTTTGCTAAGGCTCGACGACACTTACGCGTCGCCCTCAGCCGCCGCCTCCTCCTCTTGCTCTCTCTGCCCGTCCAGGAACGCACCAATCCTTATGAATGGCACAGAACCTTGAACGAGAAGCGGAGTCGGCGGAAAAGTCACCGAAAGACACCCCCCTCTCTCCGCAAGGCACCAGCAAGCGCAAACTTGCGCCCTTTGCAAGCCACGCGGCTGCCGACGGTGGTTGGGAGGATGGAACAGCGCGGACTTCGTAAGACTTGCGCGCTTTCATAGGCCCCGCTGCGCCTCCTGTTGACGCACGGGCGCGTTGAGACGCAAAAGAAATAGTAATAATAATTTAAAAGTCCCAGGGCGCTCGACGGTGCTACTGGACGGCACTGAACCCCCGCTGATTTCAATGGGACTTTCCTGCGCAGGGAAAGGAGCAGTATTGAACGCAGAGACTTTGGAGAAACAAATACGCGTATGATCTAGCTGCGATCCTAGGCACTTAAGCGACTTTATTTTATGTTGTGAACCGCCCTGAGATCCAAGAATGAAAGGCGGTATATATAAATTTAATAAATAACACTTAAGTTGCTGGGCGGGGGGGAGCATGGTTGGTGCAATAAATGCTGAATTCCTAAACGTGCGAATTCAGAAATGCATTTTTTTAGACTTTCTTAGTTACCCCTTGAGAGCCGTATCCCTATACCGAGTTAAGCGCAGACAAGCCACTTGAATCAATATTTGATTTCAAACAGCGATGCTATCCCGTCTTTCAAACAAATTCCAGGGTGGGTCTACCTGCAACCTAACATGCTCCTATTTGTATCCGCGGCTGGGCGCTATGGAAAGGGTTGTGTGGAGGACCCGGGGAGGAGCTGCCAAGCCCGACCACCCCCTCAAACCGGAGGCATTGGCAGATATCTGACACCTGAAGGCGAAGGATCTCTACGGTGAGTGGAAAGATTGCAGGCGCACCATCAAAGCTGAAACACAGGACGATCAGTACACGGCGTCTTTAGGGAGACATGCAATTGAACTATGTGCTTACAGAATCTAAAGGGGTTTGCAACCCGATCTTTCTTATGCCTGTTTACTGGGAGGTCGCCTTGAAGCTGTTCACTTGTTCTTTTCAAGCGGTTTTCCTCATAACGTGACTTGCCTTCCTTGAAAGGGCAAGTAGCAAAACCCTCCTTTCTTCCCATCCAGTATGCATGGACTGTGTAGTTTCTCTCTGAACAAAAGCTTCTGAAATAATCAAAGCCTAACGCTTGGTTGGGCCATGTATTCGCTGTTCCACAGGACATTCCCCACCACACACACGTCAAAAGGATCTGTAGCAGAACTGGAGAACTTTGAGCCCTTTGTTTGTTGTTAAAACTCCAACCACCATCACCCCCAGCCAGTATAGCCAATGGTGTAGGAGTGTGGGAGTTGTAGTCTCAACGTCTGGAAGGCATAGGATGTCCATATCTGATGTACTGTGCAAGGGTTGAGAACCTCAGACCTGGGGGCCAAATGTGGTCCTCTTTTTCTACACTGAGCCTAGGGGGTGTTGCAACTATGATGTGTCGAATTGGGAAGAACGGAAAGCGAGATACAGGAGGTGCTGATTTTTGGTCTTGCACAGACCACTGCTGAAATTTGAAATATCAAAGTCTGCCTCTTGGCCACATCCCTCACGATTTTGTACCCAGTGTTTTTTGCCTGGCTGGAATGTGTCCTTCAACTCTGAAAAATGCCTCTTGCTTGTGTGGATGGAGGATAGGAGTGTGGGTGAGCGTAAAAACTAGTCTGGACAAAGGTAAAGTGTACAGTTGCTGCTCTACCCACTTTTGCCTCTGGTCCCCACTCACCACTGGCACGTGGCCCTGTCTTAAAAAGAGTTATGCGCTACAGAGTAAAAGAGAAGATAAAATGTACTTTATGAAGTGCACTGATTGAAAATGACTGTACTATACAGTGGTCCCTTGGTTCCCAAACGGCTTAGTTGACGAACAAATTGGCTCCCGAACACCGCAAACCCAGAAGTGCTCCAGTTTGTGAATGTTTTTCGGAAGCCGAACGTTCATCTTGGCTGCCGGCATTGTTTCTGGGGCCAATCAGCCAATCAGAAGCCGTGCCTTGGTTTCTGAATGTTTTGGAAGTCAGACTTCCAGAATACATTGAGCTCGAGAACCGAGGTACCACTGTATTAACAAATTCATAGAAGTGCTTATAACAATGTACCCCTAAGCACCCTTACTAGGAGGCAAGTGTGAGCACACTCAATGAGATTTACTTCTGAAATAAACAGTTTAGGATCACACTGTCAGGCTGTCGTTTTAAAAGAAGTTGGGCTGCAAGCCTAATTCCATTTACCTTGAATCCAATGGGAATTCAAATTGAAATAATACTAACACCAATAAGAATGTTTCTAAGTAGACGTAGTTAAGGATTGTGCTGTTAGTTATAAGTTTAATTGAACCAAGTAGGACTTGTTTCAAGTAAATTAAACGTGTACAATTCGGCTCCACATATCTGGTATGCCAATATTTCTGCTGTATAGCTTCATGTTAAACCTGATTAGTTTTCTTCAGCCTCTAATGGAACTACTGGTCACAAACCTGTAAGTATCAGCAGGTGGCTATCAAACAAGCTCACTTCTTAGTATTATCTCATCCTGTTTTGCTCAATAAAGTATACAGATAGATTGCTTATTGTTCACTGTATTGTTAATGTTAATTCCTTTCATAGGATGAAAATCATAACCTTAACAGTCTAATTTTATGAGTATTTTGGCCCCATGCTGTCCTTTCAAATCCAGAGTTTTTATCACTGGTAGCTTGATATTTTTATTAGAAATAGATAATGATCACATTTTAAAACTTTGAAGGAAATAAAACAAATCACCCTTTGACTGGTGTAAATTTTTGTAGAAGAAAAGAAGCTCCAAACAGCTAAAAGAACAGGGATATAATTTTATTATTTGATCTCTGTATTCAAACATGTTTTGCTGATACTTAACATGTGAGTGAGGAAACCATTGTCCTTGGCATATTCTATCTAGTTGGATGACATTATTTTTGCTTCCATGCCTAGAAAGAAATTGATGTACTACCACATATTATCTTATAGAAAAATCTTCACATACTGAATTCATTAAAGAAAACGTATCTAAACACTAATAAATCACAATGAATAAAAAATGTATTCTTTTGTTTTATTGGTTATCATGAATTTTTTGTCACTGGACGCTTTCCTTTCTGTTTTGCAGCAGCCTTTTCTTGCTTCAACTGTGATGAAAAAGAAAAAAGAAAACATTAAAATACATTCACTTATAAAATAACCTCTTTTGACTTAAAGACCTAGCCAATTATAAAACAAAGCAGCTTCAAGGAGTGAGCTACGCTCATTTTCCTGCCAAATTTCACATTGCCTGTACTTAGCTGCAGCCAACCTAAATCCAGCCACTTCTCTACCCTATTAGCATTAATGCCATTTCTCACTGTGAGCCACTCTGGTGTGCTACATACTTTCTGGTTTCTTCCTTCTTTTCACCACTTCTTTTCACAGTTGAAGTGGTTGGCCACTACAAAGCAAAACCAAGATCAGAGTACAGTAGACCCACCAGATACGAACTTAATTTGTTCTGGGGGTCCATACGTACCCCAAAAAGTCCGCATCTAGAGGCGCCATTTCTGCGCACGCACGTGGCACAGTAGAGTGCTTCTGCGTGTGTGTGGCAAAACCCAAAAGTTACATTACCCGAAGGTAATGTAACCCACGGGTCCACTGTAATGTTGAGACTGCAATAGGAGATGGTGGGAGCACAAGGAAAAAATAATCATTATTGCCATTATTAATTTATTCATTTGCTGCTTAATGCCCAGATGGTTTACAAAACATGAAAACGTAACTGCACAACATTGTTAGAAATACAGACTATTTAAAAAAAGACACCATAATTAAAATATACAATAAAACAATTCCCTTAAAACAGCACAGCAATTAAAACAACAGGCTCTGGCCAAGAGATCAAGTGAATGCTTGGGTAAGCAGGTATGTCTTCAAAAGCTGGTGGAAGGCCAAGTCGGAGGAGGCCTCTCATATTTCAGCAGCGAAATTATGCCACAATACCAGAGCCACCAGGGAAAAAGCCCACCTCTGCGTCACCGCAAGCCAATACTAAGCAAACTTACCACAGGAAATCATTGCTCTCGGTAAATCCATTTGACCAGTTAGCGGTGTTTATCTGCTTAAATTTCTATCACTTAATAAATTATGAGAAACCTGATATTTCCTTCTCTACAACCACATTTGATTCTGAGATACCAATATAATGCCCTAAAGTATTTTAACAAAGTTATATAGAAATTAAAAATGTCTCAAATTCAGCAAAAGCGAATTATCTTCAGCTTTAAAGAAATGCTTTTGCTTTAAACTACGTATGCAATGGCTTACCCGTTCCTGATACTGTCTTTCAAAATAAGCCATGTCATCTTCGTCAGGTTTTCTTAAAGAGGCAACTTGCATTGCTGTACTTGCACCTCCTTAAAAGCAACATACTTTTAATTAGATAAATTCTAGAATTGTATCTGGGCAATATCAAATGTTAGTCATACTCAAGTAGATCAAGGGGTCTTCTCTGTTGAGTATGGCTCAAGTGGATATCATCTCTTGTTCCAGAGCTTCTCAGATCAGAATGTATTAAAAATTCATTTCATTAGAATTTCGTAAGCATACTTACTGGAAAGCAAGGCTCACTTAAATCAATTGAACTTACAACCAAATAAACATGCTTAGCACCTCTAATCTCTCCTGTAATCACACTTGCCAGCACATGAAATTGAAAAGATAACTACCATCTTGAATCAGCTTGTTTGACAAGAGAATATGTGTAAATAAGGTTCACTCCTGCTTTTGACTTGCCCTCATTGTTCAATCCTTAGTACATCAAACCAGAACATACTAGCAAATGCATCAGCCCACCTCAAACGCCTATTTATAGGAACAGCATCCATGAGAAAATGTATCCCAAGTTTAACACCAGACATGGTATGGTAAAAAAGGTAAAGGTAAAGGACCCCCTGGACGGTTAAGTTCAGTCAAAGGCAGCTATGGGGTTGCGGCGCTCATCTCTCTTTCAGGCCGAGGGAGCCGGCGTTTGTCCACAGACAGCTATCTGGGTCATGTGGCCACCATGACTAAACCACTTCTGGCACAACAGGACACTGTGACGGACGCCAGAGCACACGGAAGCACCATTTACCTTCCCGCTGCAGTGATACCTATTTATCTACTTGCACTGGTGTGCTTTTGAACTGCTAGGTTGGCAGGAGTTGGGACAGAGTAATGGCAGCTCACCCCATTGAGCAGATTCAAACCGCTGACCTTCTGATCGGCAAGCCCAAGAGGCTCAGTGGTTTACACTACAGCACCACCCGCATCCCTACTGGACATAGTAGTTTCTCTCAGACCCTCTGTCATCTCCCTCTCCTCTTCCATCAACTCCCTGGACTCCAACTGTACAGGGAATCCTGGAAGGAAGCTTATTCTAGTTGTCAGAACACAGGAACTGTATTATGTACTTCCCAGTCCTCAGAAGATCACATACACCCCCTTGCTCTCTGCCAGAGTACCCTACCAAGTCTTCATTACGCTCTGCCTAGAGTGACTTGAGTTTTCTTTTTCTGTTGAATTTGCACAAAATGACTAATGCAGTTTGGGTTGGCCCAGAATGTTCTACCACTTGAGACAAAACAGAAAATGGTGCCGCTTTATCACTACCTGAAGGAGTCTCAAAGTGGCTAACGTTCTCCTTTTCCCTTCCTCCCCCACAACAAACACTCTGTGAGGTGAGTGAGGCTGAGAGACTTCAGAGAAGTGTGAATAGCCCAACGTCACCCAGCAGCTGCATGTGGAGGAGGAATGGAGACGCGAACCTGGTTCCCCAGATTACGAGTCTACCGCTTTTAACGACTACACCACACTGGCTTAACTCGAGATACCACTGTGATGGAGGCTGGAGAAGAACAAGCAGTGGTGGGGCTCAGGGGCTCCGCACCGCCCAAAACGGCAGCGTGGGGCTTGCATCTGCCAGGCGTACTCCGAGGGCAGCTTGCCGCGGCACCCCTCTGGGCGGATTGTTGCGGCGCCCCCCACCCTGGGCGGAGCGCAGATCACTGCGGCGCCCCCGTGGACGGCTCGCCCCACCCCCACCACTCTGGGTGCCGGAGCAGCTAGCTACGCCCCTGGTGGGGTGACAGAGAAATCAGGTGACAAGCGCGGGAGGCAGCTAGCAATGCATTCCTCAGAGGCTCAGATCTGCCACATGTACCCACTCCCAGGTGATTGCCTCACTGAGCCTCATAGGTGGGCCAACCTTGTATAGAGTACCTTTCCTTAACTAGGCACTCCAACCCCCTAATTGCTGAACCGTCCCAGGAGCAAACACATTTTAAATGTGTGCTAAACTTAAATCCCCTAAAGGCTGCAACCATTACACCATCGCTGATGCTAGGTCACGTATCTGGAAAGGCAGCATTTATTCAGCTGCTCACAGTGTATTTAATCAGGTAACACATTGACTACTTAAAGAAAGAAAAGTAATTCCATTACCATCTGTTAACTGGGGACGTCCTTGCGTGGAACTAGAAGGTCCCTGCAATGCTTTTAGGAAGGGATGATCCATGTTGGTTACAGGAGATTCTAGGAACTCGATGGAAGGTGCTCCTTAAAATGAAACCAGCAGTTTAGGGAGAAGAAATTCAAATTAACCAGAAACATGAAGAATTGCAGCCACCGATGAAAAACAAATTAAAAATGTTGCTGATTCAGTAAGACGAACAAGAAGCAAGTCCAACAAAGCTAGCCAACTCTGTCTTGAAAAAGAAATGTGGTGATCTACCAGAGATAGAAAATGGCACCCTGAATTGAAGACCAGTTATTGGTCTCATTAAAAAACACTGAGCATTTTAGAATTATACTTGTTATTAAATTAAAACAAATGTTTGAAAATATAGATAAAAGCATAACGAAAACGGGTGTGTGCCAGATTTATTACTTTGGCTTTGGAAGGAGCTAAGTGTAATATGCCCATGGCTCAGATTTTATCACTTGCTGTCTGCCTATGTTCTGTTAATTTGCAGCTGATGTTTCCTATTTTGTTGGTGGTGGTATTCAGCATTTAATTATTATATTGTTTCATGTGCAATTCCTCCCTGGGGTCATTTGAAATGGGGGGGGGGGTTATAAATTGTGCAGGGAGGAGCTCTACTATTTTGGTCACAGGCTGTGCAGCGTTTTAAAAGAAAGCACCAATCACATTAGGCCTGGAAGAGCATGGGCAGTCATGAGAGTTGCTATGAAATGGGCCAGGATTCCTAACTTTGTATTTATTTAGGAAGAAGGGGGCAACATCCTGCTGCTATAGTTTCTAAGTCATCTTCAGATACAGCTCCCTGTACTACAGTCAATCCTCAAGGCTACAAAAATGTGGATAAGAATGACAAGACCCCCTCTGCGTCAGAGCCCTTGCAACAGATACAAATGATAAAATCAGGGGTCAGCAAACTTTTTCAGCAGGGGGCTGGTCCACTGTCCCTCAGACCTTGTGGTGGGCCGCACTATATTTTGAAGGGAAAAAATGAACAAATTCCTATGCCCCACAAATAACCCAGAGATGCATTTTAAATAAAAGCACACATTCTACTCATGTAAAAACACCAGGCAGGCCCAAAAAATAACCCAGAGATGCATTTTAAATAAAAGGACGCATTCTACTCATGTAAAAACACCCTGATTCCTGGACCGTCCGCGGACCGGATTTAGAAGGCGAATGGGCCGGTTCCAGCCCCCAGGCCTTAGTTTGCCTACCCATGATAAAAATGCACTCTTCACCAGTGCCATTATCTGCTTTTCCAGGACAAAGTAGGCTTAGGAGAAATCCATGGATCTGTACCTGTTTTGCTAGGATGAATAGTACTTTACCCAAAAAAGACACAGCAAGTCCCCCATGAGAACTTTGGAATCAGTTTCAGGTTATTTATTATTTTACTTTATCACTTGTCCCCAGCTTCCAAACTGATAAGGGTTAAAATGCCAAGAGAGTGGTAGTCAACCAGGTTTTACTCAAATTTTTGAAATAAATTAAGACATCTAAATTAAGTCTATAAATGTCAAGAGGTCCACAATGAGTAAAATTTAGCTGAATACCACCCATAGATTTGGGAATCATCAGTTTGGCCACACCCAACTTCAAAGCTCCAAATTATCTCTGCCAAAGGCTTCATATGAATGTTAAACTGCATGGCAGTAAGGCCAAGGCTTGAGGGGTACCACAGGTCAAATCCCATGGTGCTGACCTTGTCTATCCAACTGCACATTGCTAGGAAAAACATACCATTCATTTTGTGGGGCATCAGACTACCGGATTGGTACCTCTGCACCTATATTTATAATTTAAAACTACATAGACGTTGCAATCTGGTTAAATTATCCGATACACTTTGGAACTATCAATAAAGCAAAAAACAGATAGATGTAAATTCAATTTTTCATTTCAAGTCCCCCGATTCTTACCTATCCCACTGTCATCAAGTCTCATGTATCCTTCTGCTAGTGAACTAAAGCCAGTTAGTCCTCCCATGGCGGCATATGGGACATCTTGCCCCACTGGTTTTCCTTGGGCTAAGCGTTCCTCTTTTGTTTCCACTACTGTTTCATGAGCATATGTTGGCTGCCCACATCCACAAGTAAAGCAACTGTGAAACCCTGAACATTTGGAACCTAATTCAAAACATTTTAAGACAGCATCAGATAGACCAAAATATTTGACTCCCATTCACTCAGTGGCAGTTTTGTTTGAATATTTCCTCTCTGCAGCACTGACTACACAAACAATTGCTACAGCTGGAAATAGCTTAATAGGATGTGTAAGTGTATTCTTTGAGTCCAGGGCAGACATGGTGTAAATCTAAGGCCTACAATATTCGGCGATCATAAATACTATTTATTCTACCGGTACAATGAAACATATTTAAACAATAATGTTCAGGTGGACTCTACTTATACAGAAAGCTGCCAGTGGTAGAAAAAGTATCCTTCAAAAAGCCCATGTTCAGACTCCCAGATACGGAAGTAGTATCAATCAGGAAATGGTTTAATAGTATGCAAATTAACCAGATTTGGAATGTGAAATACAATGTTGAGCTTGCATGCTGAATATGAGTTTTCTAGTTACAGAAGCCAGAACATTTTCATTAGTACTCTCCACACCTACAAATATACATGGTTATAGTATCACACAATGCCTCAAGGGACATATCTGTGTAATGAAAAGCTGCTACACTTACATATGACATGCTTATTTATCCAAAACTCACTCACATGTGTTGCATGGAAACCCAGGGGCCGCACTGTGCTGATCAGCAAAGTGCTTACATCTACAGCGGATGGGCTGAGTCCCATTGAGAGGAATGAAGTTATAAGATTTGCATGGGCAACGGCCCACCCGACAGGGTAAAGAAATAGGACGTTCCTTTGGGATCTCTTCAAAGTCTGTTTTGTGTTGTTTATACCTGGGGAAAGGGAAATGTAAACATACTATTCAGTGATCATTTGCTTTATTTATTTATCATTTATTTAGAGAATTTGTACCCTACTCTTCAGGCAAAAAGGCAGACCCAGAGCGGCATACATTAAATCAAAACAAGGCACGCCCTACTTAAATTCTTATTCTATTATTATTATTATTATTATTATTATTTTAAATACATTGCACAAGTGGGAAAGGACATGCAGGAAAAAGGGAAATAAAACTCAGGCATTAATTTCTAGACGGCTGTTCCTATATTGAGCAGCTGGCACAGTTCAGAGGCAGGAGGTGGAGTGGGGCCTCTAACAAAGCAGATGCGATGAGCCCGGCTTCCTGTCTCTCCCACTGAGGCAGGCCTGATGGAATGGCTACTCCCAGATGATGGTTGAAGGGATGGGGAGACCTGATGGAGGTGGCCTGTCGCAGCAGAACTGATTGAGTGAGCCCTGCTTCTCCGCTGTCCCACTGCTGGAATGGCTGTCCCCAGACAACAGTTGAACTATTTAAAAAATATTATTCTAAGCAATCATGTCCCAATCTTTTATGAATGACACAGGTTCAATAAACCACTTGATTGAGGTTGCCACCAACCCAGCCTCTCTCTCGAATCTTCTGGCACATAGAAAATTTCTATGGTAGTGAGTCAGTCTTTTACTGTGTGCTAGTCTTGCCGAGAAAAATTATTGCTGCTTCTTCAAAGCCATGACTGAAATAAGTCTGAACATTACATGTGCCAGGGAGGAAATGAAGGCGCATTGTAATGTTAAAGCCATCGGTAATGCTAACCAAGGTTTATAAACCAATAGCAAACTGTGGCTTACAAGCATGGTTTGTTTGTGGTTAATAAACCATGGTTAAGGTGCTGGGCTGGACGTTCGTGTTAAACCATCATTTAGTAAGCAATTGTCTATAAACCGTAGCTTAGCATTATGTGGACCATGGCAGAGGGGGAATCCCAGTAAAATATTTAGACGCTTAAAGCTGTAGACCTGACCAGGGAACCTACCATTCAAATTATTTGGAATATACCTTTGAATGTCATCCCAAGGTACTTGAAACTCAACCTGGAGGTGCTCTTTCTTTTCCATTTTTGATGCCTTTATAATTTATATGGAATATTATGAAACAATTTTCTTGATCTAAGAAATATTCTAAACCGCCCTGTGATCCTTGGATGAAAGGCGGTGCAGTAATGTAATAAATAAAAATAAATGCTTCCTAAAGCTTTACAAGCCATAAGTTCTCAAGCTAACTGCACAACAAAAAAATACTTCCGTTGAACAGGAAATGTCTATGTTGGGCACAGAATGCCTCACCTGTGAGTACAAAAACATGGGGTTTCGGGGCCCACAAGTTTGCAGTCCATGCCAGTTGGTGATCTCCAGCTCACAAACAGTCTGTTTTGTAACCGTATAGGTAACATTTTTTTCTTGTACTTTTCATATTCTTCCGGTGTAAAAAGTTTCCCTCCATCATCTTCGCCTACAATTCTACAAAGAAGCATTGCATGTTTAATTACAAACATCAATGTTCTGATAACACACATACAAAAATGAAGACTGTTGAAATGGCTGTGGCTTGGGAGACAGGAGAAAGTGAAGAGACAATTTTGGAAAGCCTAGACTAGAAAATGTTTGCCGGGTGTTCTATTTCTGCTTATATCTATGTCCCAACATCGAAACAGTGCTACGATCCTCAGCATATTTCATGGAACATTCCCATTTAACTGCCTCTAACTGGAGGAAGCGGTTGAGGGCTTCATTCTTTAAAAAGACTATAAATCATAAAGTTTAAACATGTATACCATACGACTTCATATGCTAGGACCTAGTCACTCACACCTTAAACTAAGACCTATAATCGATTTCAACTCACCACAATTAGATTCGGATGGATTAAATATTCTTTCAAATTCTTAACAATCAGAGGCTAGCCCTGTTAAAGACACCCACCTTGTTAAAGCAAGACTGGTGCCCCACGGACAGCTCTCTTATGTGTTTTGCTCGCTGATTGATTGTAGGGGGAAAGAAAAAAACCTCAAAGCGTCTTACAAAGAGATAAAACAATAAAACCATGCCTAGCCGGCGCATCGCTCAAGAGGAGTATCACGCTTTGTAGTGAAGAAGGCAGGTTGCCAGGATCTGTGCGGAAAGACGGTCCTTTAGGTTGCTCGGGGTGAAGGACGTGCCCTTTGCACATGCTCAGAGGGCCCCTCGTGAGTTTTGGGTTTTCCGAGCGAAAAGACTTCGAGCCCCAACAAAAAGTAGAGGAGACCAGAGCGGAGCGTCCCGTCCTCTCGGCCCGCTACCTACGCAGTGGCGATCGCCGCAAGCGGGTGGGTGGCCTCCCGGTCCCCTCCTCCCCCCCGGCGGCCTTTCGCCCCCCTCGGTCCCGCTCACCTCTTGTATTCCAGGTATTCGTCTATGGCCGCGGCGGCCCCCGGTTGCAAAGTCAGCCGCTCCATGGCCGGGGCCGGCGCCGGGGTGAGCCGTCCCCGCGGCCGGATTTCCCTACCGAAAGAGGGAGACACGCGGCGGCGAGGACTGAAGGGCCTCGCGGGAGACAAAGAGGCGGCCCTTCCCTTTCCCTTCCCCGCCACCGGGAGAGGCGGCTGCTTCGCCAACCCTCGCCGTTTGTTGGGTCTCTAAGCGACGGTTCTAAGCGCGCCTTTCGGAGGCGGCTTTTGCTTTTTGCTGGCGGGGTGAGAACTCACGCCTCGCTAACTCCCCCTCGATAGTTCGAACTTAACCCAGTTTAATATTATTATATGCAATCCTAAGGCCCCAAATATAAATATTCATAAATGCACACGTATCTGAATATATAACCCATGTGTCTTGAGAGCAATCCTGAAGCCATTTTGACGTCAAATACTGTATTCCTCTGCGGTTAAGGGAGGCAAATGGGGAAAGCCTTCCCGTTTTCTCCCCACCCCCACCCCACTCCCCGCTTACAAATCCTGACAAATCCTGTTTTAAGAGCGTCTTTGTGTATGAATAGGGCGAGCCTGTGACCTGGATTCAGGTCAAGTAAAGTAATAGTGATCACAAAAGGATTACCCAGGCAATGCAATCAGGGACCATTCTTAGGTATCCTGGCGGACCGGAATTCTGCTGTAGACCCACCTCCTATGATATATGTGTGATGATTTTGGGGTGCACTTTGGCTAAGTGGGTTGGGCAATGTCAAAAGGTTCCTGCACACTTTTGTTCAGGGTCTCTCCCTCCATGGAAGGAGGGGAAGGGAACTCTGTTGCAACAGAAAACCAAGTATCTACCTTGCTTTCCGCTGGATCCTGCCTCCATCCATTCTTCTCTGACTGATCATGGACTTAGGGGACCCATGGAATCCCATGGGGAGTTGGGGCAGCAAAAGCCAAACCCCAATTTTTACATCAATACACACAGAGAGTGTTTTAATCCATTTTAAAAGATGGCTCACACTGTTAAGTTGTGGGTGAACATATCAGACAACACAGTGATTCTTCAAACAGCTCTTGTTTATTCACAGGCCAGAACTGAACTGAAGGGTTCAGCCAGCCTGCTTATATAGAGCTCCACTAGAACGCAACAGTAACCATTTTCTGTAACTATCCAATCACTGAATGTCACTTTCGATCCCTTATTTGCATATGTGGACCTGAACTATCTACAGTATCCCCCTGCTGGCCCAGGGTGAGAACTTTAGTACATAACACACACCACTTCAGTTGTGCTGCAGACTTGGAATTTTAAACTCTCAAGGTAACAGCAAAACACTTGGACCTGAGGAACGGAATCTGCACTCAGCTCGCTGCCCTCACTCATGGTTTTTGGACCCCAGGGATCTGGTGGCAACACCCTCAGCCTTGCAACCTCTTGTGTCTCCAGGTAGCTGCTACCACCCTTATGCACTGGAAAGAAAGAAAGAGAGAGAGAGAGAGAGAGAGAGAGAGAGAGAGAAAGCAAGCCCTGCAGCCTAAAAAACCTTGTAGCCATTTTGTGAGGGATTTTTGACTAAAGTGTCCTCTGGCTTGATTGCAAGGAAAATTATCACAGGGGACCGGGGTGGAGTTCCCTAACCCTGCCTGGCCACTGGCAGTGTTGGTTCAGGCTGTCCTTGCCCTCCTTGAGAGCATTCTTCACTCCAGATCAGATCCAGGAGCAGCGCTGGTGACAATGTCCTGCTACAAACATTTAGTAATCTCTCATTATTTACATTTGTTGAGACTAACAGCAGAAGACGTGGCTCTTGATTATTTTGATATTTCACCTTTTATATTAAGCTCTCCATACAATTCATTAATACACAAATAATATTGCCTCCCCCCCAAAAAAAAATAAAGCTAGAGAAAGAACACGGAACCAAAACATTAGTTTAGGTTTCTCTGTAACATATCCAGGAGAAAAGACAAGCTGCTTTTAAAGTAAAAAGGAGCTCGCCGCCTCGTGTGAGAGTTGCTGTGTGAAAAACTTTAACAAAAGTGTTGTATTTATTTTGCACACAGTTCTCTTAACTTCCAGTTCAACCCCTCTCTCATAATAGGCCTCGGCCCAGTATACCTGAAGGGGCATCTCCACCCCCATCTTTCAACCTGGACACTGAGGTCCAGCTCCGAGGGCCTTCTGGCGGTTCCCTCCCTGCAAGATGTGAGGTTACAGGGAACCAGGCAGAGGGCCTTCTCGGGGGTGGCGCCCGCCCTGTGGACCACCCTCCCGTCAGATGTCAAGGAAATAAACAACTATCTGACTTTTAGAAGACATCTGAAGGCAGCCCTGTTTAGGGAAGTTTTTATGTTTGATGTTGTCGCTTTTTTATTAATATTCTGTTGGGAGCAGCCCAGTATTTATTATTATTGTTATTATTATTTAATGTAGCTGAATGCTGCAAGAATTAGGACAGATGAAATAAAGTGCTTCTTCATCCCATGCATAAACTACAGAATTCACCCCACAATATGTGGTAACAGCCACTAACTTGGAGAATTAGACAAATTCATGAAGAATAAAGCTTCAAATGGCTACTAGCTATGATGGCTATGATCTACATCCAATGTTGTATAGCATACTTTCGGAATCACTAGTGGGAAAGAGTACAATGGCACTCAAAACCTCCTTACAGACTTTCCACAGGCATCCGGCAGAGCAATATGTATATGACTAGTGGAGAATGTCACACAGCAAAGAGAAATTCTGCATCAAATTTTCAAAGGTGGTAGATAAATGGGTAGACTCATTACATAATGTAACCCAAGGATTCTTGTATGTTCCCTTATCCTCATGTTAAGGGATAGACTGTCCCATAGCTTGTGAAAATGTACTTTGAATCAAGTCCCAATTAAATTTACTGACCAAAAAAAGTTTCAGGAGGCTTAGAAATGTATGTGCTCAAGAATGTAGCCTTATGATATAATCCTGTGAAATGTATACAGTGGTACCTCGGGTTAAGTGCCGTATTTTTTGCACCATAACACTCACTTTTTTCCTCCTAAAAAGGGGAAATGTCTGTGCGTGTTATGGAGGGAATGCCTACAGGTGGCATGCCTACGGATTTTCCTCCTCTAAAAACTACGTGCGTGTTATGGTCGGGTGCGTGTTATAGAGCGAAAAATACGGTACTTAATTCATTCCGGAGGTCCGTACTTAACCTGAAACTGTTCTTAACCTGAAGCACCACTTTAGCTAATGGGGCCTCCTGCTGCCACCGCGCCGCTGGAGCATGATTTCTGTTCTCATCCTGAAGCAAAGTTCTTAACCTGAAGCACTATTTCTGGGTTAGCAGAGTCTGTAACCTGAAGAATATGTAACCTAAAGCGTATGTAACCCGAGGTACCACTGTACTCCAAAGCTAGCCTCGCTGAGTTTAGCAAGGATTATTTCTAGGTTTACTTCTGAGTAGAATAGAATATACCATTAGTGTTTTTATTTATCAAGTCTAGCCTGTGATATGTGACAGTTAAAAGGAAAGCCGTTTAAAACATGTAGAAAGCAACCACAGATTTTCATTTTGTACAAAATCATGAATACACTCCTACTGAGGATAAGAACTTACTGGACACTCAAAACCTTTGACCATATATTTCACTTTATTTATTTTATTCTATCCAGATGCTATAATCATCTGCAGGGATAATAATTCAGGACGGTATATAATCTAGCACCGCAAATCTTGTTCTCCCTTTAAATAAAAGTTATTTTTAAAAAAACAAAAAAAACCCTACACAGCATATTTTAAGCATAAAATACCAAAACAAACCCTTTAGAGATCATTCCGTATAGATGCAAAAACTCAAGACTGGCACTTCGTTTTTATAATTTAGGATACAAAAAGCACACTGTGTAACATAGTGTACTCTTGCTGCAAATTCTCTGCTATAAGGCTAACATGGATATAAGGCAATGTTCACCTTTGCTCCCACTCAATTTAAAGTCCACCATGGAAGAGCTCGGGTTCAAATCCACCAGGATTTACTACTGTTTCACAACCAACACTCATTCAAAAGGCCATTGCAAAGCAGCAGTACCTGAGAGACTGTACTCCTCTAGCTCATCTTTTCAGTAAGTATCAAGGTGTCTTGCTTCCCTTCATCTAAATTCAGCTTGTCACTCTTGGTTTTCTTTAAAAAGAGTAACTTAAGAGCTAGTGTTACATTCATCATAGGCTGTAGGATACTCAAATATTCACCAAAAAAAATGGACGAAAAGCTAGCAGTGTTCAATACCTGGTAAGTGTGGCTTCTATCACTTAAGGTTTTTATCTTCAGTTGCTAAATACATACATTTATTTATTGTTAACAGCTATGTACCATCACAGATTATCTTTGATCATCTAAGCGTCCTAATTCTGTAGCAAGTGTGTGTGCACTTGGGCAGGTCGCCCTTTTAAGCTTTTACAAACAATAGTATTTTTAATACATTCTCTCTAGCTATTTCACAGGTAGTGCAAATAAAAGACATTCTTTGGATCACCATTTTAGGATGTTATCCACAACATGATATCAATTGTAGAAATCAATCAGCCAAAGGTGATGTTAAAATATACTTTACACATACATAAATTTCCAGCACTCATATTAAAGGCTCATATTATCCTTCATTGCTATGCATTAGTAAACCAGATCACAAGATTAAGCTAAAATTTCCAAAGATATGTTAGATTTATATTTAAATAGATATTTAGATATTAAATCTACCTCTTTTTCATGATCATAATCTCCATGATTATCATAGAACCTCACATACGGATGTACACATTATCTACTTGTCTTACTACACTAGCTATGTTTCCAGCATCTCTTTTAAATAAGATGTTGTACAGTGTTGTTTTATGAAAGAACTATCTTTAAAAGGTTTTAGAACTTGATATAAAAGAAGTTAGAACTGTATTCAGCGTTTCCTGTTGCAACAGGATGCAGACCTCCATGCCAACCATTGGTTTGTGTTTTTTTTCCTATTGTAACAGAACTAGACACGAGTCAGAATCACTTTGTTTACCCGTTTGCTTGTAGTTGCTGGCATCAAGTTCCCATTTGTAGTATTTGTTGCTGAGCCATTTACAACCATGTAATCAACCTTGTTTTCCAGTTTGACCAAGCGTTGCAAGATGTCATCTAGAAGAACTGCGATCGTTCGTTTTAGATCAGCTAGAGAAAAAACAGAAACACAGAAAGGAATCCTTTCTATTTTGCACTCCACAGTGGAACTATTAATAGTAAAAGAAGCATAGGTGCTCATACTAAAGGTAAAGGACCCCTGGACAGTCAAATCCAGTGAAGGGCAACTATGGGATTGCAGCGCTCATCTCGCTTTCAGGCCGAGGGAGCCGGCGTTTGTCCACAGACAGCTTTCTGGGTCATGTGGCCAGCATGACTAAACCGCTTCTGGTGAAACAGGACACCATGACAGAAACCACAGCGCACAGAAACGCTGTTTACCTTCCCACCGCAGCGGTACCTATTTATCTACTTGCACAGTTTGCTTTCGAACTGCTAGGTTGGCAGGAGCTGGGACAGAGCAACGGGAGCTCACTCTATCACGGGGATTCGAACCGCCGACCTTCTGATCGGCAAGCCCAAGAGGCTCAGTGATTTACTGTGTCAAAATAGCTGAAGAACAGGAATTACAAAGGGAGATGCAAGTCCCCCCACAACCAAATTTTTGTTTTATTGGTCCTAGACCCACCCCTTTCCAATTAGTGCATTTAGGCATTGAATAATATATCTGGTTATATTGATTATTTATTTATTTATTTATTTATTTCATCTAGGTTTTTTCTTCAGAAACAGTCACACAGAGAATGGATTTCTTATTCTTTCTCATTTCATTCAGTCCAGCTGGCACAGAACTAGCCATCTCTCTTTGTTTTTTTCTTCTTGTTGTTTATCCACACCACTGGTAGTGAGTTCTAGGAAATACTGTGCATAGCATATAAAAAGAATGACTGTGTTTTAACATATGCATTGATTTCTACCAGCTGCTCTCTAATTCTGATACAGTGGTACCTTTGTCCCGAACAGCTTGGCTCCCAAAGAAATTGGCTCCCGAATGCCATGAACCCAGAACTAAGTGTTCCAGTTTGCAAACGTTTTTGGGAAGCTGAACATCCAACGTGGCTTCCACAGCTTCCACTTGAATGCAGGAAGAACAGATTAAGTTGGAGAACCAAGGTACCACCGTATTCTACAGTGTACAGTTTTCAAAATTATATACCTAGCCAATTCTAGTTTTTTTCCAGTTTGATACCTTTACTACTTCTGTTAAACCTTTCCAGGTGTGGGATTTTCTAGGACTCCAAAATATGGATATATAATTCATATACAAATGAGTATTATGTGTATCCTAATACCCTCAATAAACCAATGACTTTTCTCGAGGATATAAAACACTGTGCATTTCTTAACCTCAGCTGAATGTGGGATTTCATAGCCATGATCGTTTCCATAACAGTTTCCCTGTTAATTATTAGACAATAGTTCTACAAAATAAATAAGAACTTTTGAAAGTATGCTTGGTATTGCATTTCATAATTCTAAAATTAAGAGTTAAATAGAGTCATGACCTCAAAGAAAGTTTATTATGTCTTACCGTATCCTGCCATCGAGACTCCATTACCACCATTCATGATATTCTTGTTTTCTTCTGCCAGTGCTCTAACATATCTTTTACTTAAGTCAAGTATTTGTTCACGCAATTCAGCACTGCTCTGCTGCCTTGGATGCTGAAAGGTGTAGCGCAGTAACATTATGCCCCAGATAAAACCAAACACCAGCAGAAGTAAGCTCAATTTCTGGGACACGTTTTTTCTCGAAAATGCAAAAAACATTTCTGAGCAGGCCAAAATGTCAACATAAGGAACCAAGGCTCAAGTCACAGTATTTTCATGGTAGTTAAAAAAAAAAAAAATTCACAACAGAGTTACCCTTCTGGAGAGATCATTTTGTAAACTTTTCCCAACGGACATGGTTGATTCCTGAAACATTATTGTAAAAAATATTATCAGTCTCAAGTCTTTGTAAGATGAGCTTTATTATGACCAACTTCTAAATTTAACTTCACCATTCATCAGAGACATGTAAATTAAACAAAGCCTATGATTTGCCACTGGGCAGTCCTTAAAGCATGTTGCAAGTCCATGATGCAACCTACAGTTCAACCTTGAACTTGTCTGGTATCTTCACTACTTTAGCTCTATAATATGGGAATAACAATGGTCTACTTTACACAGTTCCTGTAAGACCAAGACAACGTATATGAAGCACTAGAAGCACATCAGAAAACAGTGAGAGAGCAATCCTGTACATGTCTACTCAGAAGTAAGTGCCACTATACACGCCGTGGGAAAGCTGTAGGCTTCCAGATGTTGCTGGACTAAAACTTCCACCGTTCTGGACTACTGGTCATGTGTGGTGGGGCCAATGTTAGTCCAGTTCCATCTGAAGGGCCACAAGTTCCCCACCACTACTATGTGTACCTCCATGAGAGCACATCCCATAGAAAACAATGGGACTTACTTTTCTATGTATGCATGCACAGAATTGCACTGTCATTCCTAGGTAACTTTTAAGCTGCAGTCCTAAACACATTAGAATCTGCAAAGCAAGCACGTTGGACAAAGTGAGACATCTTCTAAATGTACAGGATTGTGCTTTAAGTCTTATCATGGTTGTTATAAACTAAACATGTTTTAATTAATAATGTGCCTTATCAGATTAATCCATTATTTAATTAAAACTAACAAATAAAAATGGCATATTATCAAAATCACAAAACAGGTGCATTTTGGAGATAAATATAATTTGCAGTTTATTTGCTTTAGTAAAACTATCATTTGAACTGGAGTAGCCCAGAACTGATCAACAGACTGCAAGTCAAAAATGCTAAAGGCAGTATAAGTTAACTTACATTAGTTAGTCTGATGCTTTCTTTAGTTATCAGAGCAAATAGCTCAACTGGCAGCCATTTAGATGATGGAGAATCTTTCAAGAGAAGAAGAAAAAGTGAGAGTTCATTTAGGTTGTTACCACTAGGAATTTAGATATAATTGAGAAAATATTATGCAAGATAAAATAATAAAATTTCATGGTTAATCCCTAAAACCACAAAATACTTAAAGTTCAAATTTGAAATTATTAATCATTTCCAATATAATAAATGACTAACCCACTCACCCCAATCAGTATTTGGTCTGTTACCTCTAGGTCACATCTATGCATGTAAAAAATGAATCCTAGCATAATCCACATTCTGCTTAAACCTCAATTTCTAATAATAAACAATTATTTCATAATACCTCTTATATTTCTTTTGTGCTTTGTTTAGCAGGCTTTTTTTTTTTTAATGGGCCTGGCTCTGTAGGAGACGTAAGGTTCAAAGTTACACAAAGCTCTTCATCAGGCAAATTTACCATTTTTGCTACAAAGTAAGCATTGCATTGAAAAGGAGGAAAGCAATTCCAAACCATTATGATTTATGAACTGGGGAGAGAATGATTACTTACGATACTCGCTATCCATCCATAGACAACAAAGCCAAGCTGCCTGATCTATACCAAATGAATACATCTAGCTAAAAAGTAAGGCAGATGGGCTACATCAACCACTTCCTAGGTCATACTGGAAGACTCTCTCAAAAACAGTGTTTCATTCACGTAGCAACATTTATGCAGCACTACTGTACTCCAAACTCCGGAGTTGCAATAAATCTGAATAAAGAGTTCCATGTAACACAGAAGCTTGTGTATTTTTACACCAGGCAGGGTACACCCATCTTGTACTTGAAAGAGTGCGATCCCATATACAGTATGTCTACTTAGTAGAAAGCACAACGGAGCTCAATTGGGCTTACTTCCAAGTAAATATTTATAAAGGATTGCGCTATTAGTCTCGGGCATTGACTTGGCCAAGTCTTTGAGTGTAACAGATTAAAATAATCATGAAAGGGATAGCCAAACGAAACATAACGATTCAGTTAAGTGTAAGTCTACCATCGGCAGGAAGTCGATCTAAAAAAGAACCTTGCTCGGTTTTGCAGCCTACAAACAGTAAGCGGAAAATAGAGAGAAATGGCGGGGAGGGGATTTCTGAAGGCACAGGAGGATTTAGGGATTCGGGACAGGAGAGCCGGAACACAACAGCCTCTCTTTAAAGAGGGGAAGTTGCCATTGCGAAAGAAACATGAGGTTTTGCCTGGAACGCGTCACCTCTGCTTCAAAGGAAACAAACATCAGATCTTACCTTGCAAGCACAGCTGGCTGAAAACGCAGGGCTGCCCAAGGGCCATGGGCAAATGTCCATCAGCATTTTAGGCTCTCCAGCCCACCTAAGCCATATAGGCAAGCGCGTCCGCTCTTCCGGCCCGCGATCTCCTTCTCACCCAGATCACGCTCTCCGATCCTCAACGGGGGTTACCATGCAACCCCGCACGCTCCGCCGGAGCTCTCCGCGCGCACGGCAAACGCCCCGGTTAAGCTCCGCCCGCCGGACGCCAGCCTCCGCTTACTGCGTTGTACATAGGAAGACCAGCGCGGTCGAGGCGCATGCGGACTTCACTTCCGGCTACTTAGGGGAAGGGGGGGGGGAGAGGGAGGGAAAGTCTCGGATATAAAACTAAACATCAGTGATGATGGACCGTGTATGTCTGATCTGACGTTCCATCAGAAGTTTTTACTCGTTGCAATCCGAAAGTTTGCATTTCAGCTTTCAACCCACGCCTAGTTTCGTTTGAAATGCCTAATAGGCTTTCCCCCCCTTACCGATAAATACTAATTTACTTAAATAAATAGTATATTACATGAATAGTAATTATATTGGCAGTATTTGTCAGCTAGAGGACTCCCACGTTGTGTCCTGTCATTTGGCCTATTTGTCCAATTATTATGCACTGTCTGCTTGATAATCTTGTTATAGTATAGGTTGCCAATAAATGTGCTGCTGGGTTGTGCTATGACTAAGGGAAGAGTTAATCTTATCCTCTGCAGCTGGTATATGAGACAGGTGCTATGTATTTCGTTCTCCAATTCCGTCAAGTTCATTGTGAGTCTTTTGACTTATAAACCCAATCACCTCTTTTGCTAACATTAAACCTTAGGATTCTAACTGTCCAGAATCCAGTTTTACACTGCAATCCAATTCCATCCCACTGAATTAACACCCAATTGAATATGTATATGATTTCAGTCTTATTTTAGGCGTATCCCAATGGAATTTCCCCCACTCTCTGAAGAGCACTCACTATAATATACTGGTAACACAAACTGCTTTTGAAACTCTTCTCACTTACAAAAGGAGTTTGCTGGGTGGCATTGGGGAGCTACTATTTTATAAACCCAAACCCAAACTTCCCTCATGCATGCATAATTTGTGAAGTAATTAGGCCAATCAAAATAGTAAACTAGCTTTTTTTGTCCAGAACTTGTCACGAGGCTGCATGTTAAGCAAAGAGGAATGAGGAGAAAGGTGATGGTTTGGTGTTCAAACTTATAAAGTCTGCATTGGTATCCGTCTTAAGTGTGTGGGAGGATGGGAAAGAGATGATTCCTATTTTTTTAAAAAGTATATATAATCCAGCATACTGTGACTGCTTGGGCAATGCATGCTGCTCACAAGTCAACATGTGCAGGCATGCCAGACAACAGAATAGGCCTGTGGTATCTGAAGAAGTGTGCATGCACACAAAAGCTCATACCAATAACAAACTTAGTTGGTCTGTAAGGTGCTACTGGAAGGATTTTTTTTATTTTGTTTTGAGGTCTGTTACAGGGATTGCAGAGGTGGTGGGCGAGTAGGGAGGGGAGATTATGTACCTAGTCGTAGTGTAGGCTGAGCCTAGTCCATGCCAGGGAATCGTTGGCCCGCGTCCTCAGATCCAGAGAGAGAGCAAAAGAAAGCACCAGGAAAGATCCTTCTTTGGAGGAAAACAGTTTATTCTCTGTGCACAGTGACAGCCAGCAGAATAACTTCTGGAAGACTGGCTGCCCAGAAATACGCCTCTGCAGACTTTCTTATACCTTGAGAAAGCTCCCTCCCTCCTCCCCCAAACGCCCTCCAAAAACTTCCCCAATCAACTGGAAAGTTTTTAACTTATTTTTTATATGGCATGGCATATCTATAATGCTAGCCCTCTATGCAGCCCCCTCCCTATTTTCCCTATACGTGTCTTTCTAAGCGTCCTGCATCCCCTCCTCCCGTCTCCCTCGTATGTGTCTTTCTTATCTTACATTCCTAAAGTAAGAAAGCGAGGGGCCTCTGGTTATTTCTAGCTTACAGTCTCCTTCATATGTGTCTTTCTTATCTTGCATTCCTAAAATAAGAAAGCGAGGGGCCTCTTTTGCAGAAGTCAAATTAGCTCAGAAATTTACTTAGATCCAAAGTACAGAGAATATAGAAGATCCTTCTTAGGTACAAGGTACAAGGTATAGAAAGCATATAGAAAGCAACCCTTCCCTCTCCCTTCACTCCCTCCTCTTCTTATGAACAACCTAATACTTAGGTTCGTTCTGGGGTAGGGGTCTATAATCTCTCATGAAAGCAAGCACACGAGGTCCCATCATGCGAGACATCATCTTCTCCATCATACTTTGCATACATTGCATCAAGCAGGGCATACAGAAGCAGAAAAGCAATAAAAGCATTATTGGACCTATCACCATAGTAAATATCCTCCCCATCCATCCACCTGGGAAGATGCCGTCCAACCAAGACATATCCCAGCCCTCCCAGGTTTGTACAGGGACATGTGCTACCTTTTCAATGCTTGCTGCCAGATCACGGATAGCCTCGCCATGGTCTGAAATGTTGAAGCAACATGCTCCACCTGTCAGGTTCAGGGCAGCACAAAAACCTCCTTGCTTAGCTAAAATGAAGTCCATTCCCAAACGCAATTGGAGAATAGCCGTTCGGGTTTCATCTAGCTGGGTGGCAACAAGACGGAGGGCGGTGGCTGTAGCATTGGCCACAACTTCCACCACTGCCTGGAGCCTGATGATTCGATTGAGATTGTAAATGGGCTCTCTGGCACCTGCCACTAACTCATCAGGGTTCCAGGAGGCAGGATCATAGTGGGCAATTATCCGCTCAGGTGGCCATTCGTCCTTTCCCCAGGTTTGTTTACTACCCCCCGCGATGTTGGAGATATCAGCAAAGCGGCGGTTACGATGGGATGGGGAAGAGGGTATCCACATTGGAGGTACAAGAAACGCTGGAAAGCAGACACCATATCCGTTCTGTGGATAGAGGTGATAAGCTTTTGTTCCACAAATCCAATAAATATTACTGCCGCGCTGAGAAGAGGTCCAGCTGGCTCGAGAACCTTCCACCATGAGTGCAAGGTTGGTACAAGCCCCGCCACATTCAGAGATGTCCAAAGGACTACCACATGTACATTTACATGATGACCGTCCTATAAACCTCGTATAGTTGTAGACGGTATTTCGGGTTTGATTAATACAGAACCATCCAGAGACCCTATAAACTCGTAAAGGAGCTGAATGGTTCCAATAAGGAGTTGGGCGGGATGGACTATGTGTATATTGGATCTGAGAACGATTGAGGGGTATGGGGAGCATGGGCATTCCTCCTCCTCCATCTAAGGGTCCAAGGGTACAAACTAAACAAGCAGTTTTATTTGCTTCATGGGCTACTATTTCTGCCAATTGAAGCCACTTGTTATAGAGACTCTGAGCCCCCTGTTTTCTCATTTCCTGTGTGGGGAAAATGCTATTACGATTTAAGACCTGGAAGCATTCGGCCTTGGGAATAGATTCTCCCATCATAAATAGGAGAAGGATCATCAAGGGGATGGAGGGGGATCGCTTCCTTCCAAAAAACCTATGGCGCTCGTGCCAACAGAAATACGAGAGCATCCATATGACAAGGGCGATACATATCACTCCTATCCACCAAACCCAATATCTCCATGGTTCCTCCCACCAAAAATCAGGGTTCATTTCTAGTTTTCTTTTACAGCTGAAGGGCCCACTGATACTCGTATTCAACTATTTCCTGGGCCTCAGGGGTAACTTTCCACTTCTCTGCTGAGGCACCTACTATACGGAGCAATTTCCCTACAATCCCTTGTGGGTGGACTGGGCTCTCGTGTTGTCTCTTCAAGATATTATACCCAAAAGGGGCTCCTCCCTCTTCATATATCAGCATGCACCCACAGGAATATGTCCACCCCTGCAATGGCCTGACACTTGGGGTGACTATATCAAGGGGTTCCGGACCCAATACCAAAAGTCCGATTGGTGCCTCTGAATTTGCTGGAGAGCAAGTTTCTACGTTGGGGACGCTGCCCGCGGGCGCCCCTCCCATCCAATTCTTCAGCCGTGCGTAGAGATATCAGCCTCCGGAGTGATATCAGCAGGGCGGTTGTCTACCGGGCGTCTGGAGATGGTCAGCCGAAGGGAATTCTCTGGATCTGGTGTTACTGTCCAGTCTGAAATGGCTTTCTTCACTCGAGTATGGTGGACCCACGGGGTGATGCCGGCAACCTTCACAGCAGTAGGGGTAGAGAGTAGCACAGTGTAGGGTCCCCTCCAGCAGGGCTGTAGGGGGGCTCGCTGCCAGTCTTTCACCCACACTTCGTCACCTGGCTCGAACTGATGGAACGGTTCAGTTAACACACATGGGGTGCGAGCCTGGGTCCACCTGTTGAGGTAAGAGAAAACTTGGGAGAGTGACTGTACATAGTTATTCAATTGTACATCTTGGCTAGCATATGGAGTTAACATTCTAACATATGGAACTGGTCTCCCAAACATAACTTCAAAAGGTGACAAATGGGTCCGTTTTGACGGGAGACTGCGGACCCTGAGTAATGCCAAGGGCAACATGGTCACCCAATTAGACCCGGTCTCCTGTGTCAGCTTGGACAGCTGATTCTTTAGAGTTCTGTTCATCCTCTCTACTTTTCCAGAACTCTGGGGTCTATAAGCAGTATGCAGCTTCCAGTTGATCTGGAGCGCTTTTGCCAGTCCCTGTAGGACTGCATGAACAAATGCTGGTCCATTGTCAGATCCTATGGACCTTGGCAGTCCATAGCGAGGGATGATTTCCCTAAGCAGGCACCTGGTTGCTTCAAGTGCCTTTTCAGTCTTTGTGGGCCATGCTTCAACCCATCCGGTGTAGGTGCACACTGCTACCAGCAGGTAGCGGTGCAGTCCACAACGGGGTAATTCAGTAAAGTCCACGACAAGATCTTCCATAGGTGCAGTTCCACTGTGCTGAATCCCTGGGGGAGCCAGTGGTCCGGCTCTGGGATTATTCTTTTGACACAGCAGGCATTTCCTGGAGATCTGGGCTGCCAGTTGGTAAAGGTGGGCTATATAGAAGCATTTTTCCAGCTGCTTGGTTGTAGCATCTGGTCCTATGTGGGTTGAATCATGGTATCTCTGAGTAACCTGCCGAGAAAGGGACTCTGGAATCCATATCCTGTCATCAGGGGTAAGGTACCATCCTTCGTTGGACAACGTCAACCCCTGAGCGTCTGCAGTGTCCCTTTCCTGCTTCGTATAAGCTGGCTTGTCAGTAGTGCTTAAAATCTCTTCTGGGACCAGTGCTCCAATAACCGAGGCGGGGGCCAGTTCTTGGGCTGCTTCCTTGGCTACTCTGTCTGCCAATCGGTTTCCTCTGGCCACTTCCCCTGGTCCAGTCTTGTGTCCATAACAATGGATAACTGCCACTGCCTCGGGCTCCCATACAGCATCCAGAAGGTTCAATAAGGCTTGTGGGTGGGCCACCTGGCTTCCTCTGGAGGTAAGCAAACCTCTTTCTTTCCATAAGGCTCCATGGGCATGTAAAGTCAGGAATGCATACTTAGAATCTGTATAAATGTTTATCTTCTGTCCCTTTGCCAGGCTCAGGGCTCTGGTAAGCGCAGTTAGCTCTGCCAGCTGGGCCGATGTTCCAGGTGGGAGTGACTTTGCTTCGATCACCTGGTCTTCCAGGGCAACCACTGCATAGCCTGCCTTCCGCTGTCCAGTCTCAACAAAGCTGCTTCCATCTACAAACCATGAAGGCCAGTGGGGGTTTGCCTCATCTTTTAGGTCAGGTCTGCTGGAATATACTTCATCCATCACTTCAATGCAATCGTGCATCTGCTCCTCACCTTCTCCTACCGGCAACAGGGTAGCTGGGTTGAGGGCGGTGGTAACCTGGAACTTCAAACGCGGGTGCAACAATAGCATCTGGCACTTTCTCATTTTTGCTTGGGAGAGGAAATAGGTACCCTTCATGTCAAGCAGAGCTGGGACTGCATGCGGGGTCACACAAACAGTGTCTTGGCCAAAAGTAAATTTGTCTGCTTTGTGCAGTAGGGTGGCTACTGCCACTACTGCTCTCATGCATGGCGGTAAACCTTGTTCTGTAGGCGTCAGGCGCTCAGATAGGTATGCCACGGGCTGCTGCCAGCTTCCCAATTTTTGGCATAGCACTCCCTTTGCTGTTCCCTGGTCTTCATCCACAAATAGGGAGAAAGGCTTCTCAGGATTTGGGATGCCCAGCGCTGGTGCTTGCTGCAATGCCTTTTCAGATCCTTGAAGGCATGCTGTTGCTCTTCTCCCCACACAAAGGGGTCCTTTTCAGTTCCTCTGGTTGACTCATGCAGAGGCTTGGCAATTGTGCTGTAGTCTGGTATCCATATTCTACAGAATCCTGCTGAGCCCAGAAAGCCGCGAAGTTCCCTGCGATTCTTTGGCTCTGGAATCTGGATGATGGCTTGCTTCCTTTCTTCCCTTAGGGTCCGTCGCTGATGGGATATATCAAATCCAAGGTATTTCACGGTGGGTTGACATATCTGGGCCTTTTCTTAGATACTCGGTATCCTGCTTCAGCCAGGTGATTTAACAAGTCCTTGGTGGCCTCCATACACGTGCTCTCGTCTGAACAGGCCAAAAGAAGATCATCCACGTACTGCATCAAGACTCTGCGCGGACTGGTGGGGAAGCTAGACAGGTCCGAGGCCAATGCAACCCCAAAAGGGTTGGAGAATTCTTGAAGCCTTGTGGAAGCCTCGTCCACGTGTATTGCACCCTGGTGCCTGTTCCCGGATCTGTCCATTGAAATGCAAACAGGGGCTGACTTTCTTCTGCCAGGCGGCAACAGAAGAATGCATCCTTCAAGTCCAATACGGTGAAATAACATGCGGTGGGAGGTATTAGACTCAACAGCGTGTAAGGATTGGGCACATTGGGGTGGAGGGTCTCCACGGCCTGGTTGACTAATCTAAGGTCTTGGACCGGGCGGTACGAGCCATCTTCCTTCTTCACCGGCAAGAGTGGGGTGTTCCACTGAGATTGACACTGCCTCAGGATGCCATGGCGAAGTAACCGTTCCAAATGTACCCATACTCCTTCCGCAGCTCTTCGGGGATAGGATATTGGTTCACAGCCACAGGGTTGGCGAATGGCTTGGGCTTGACTATTATAGGTGGGATGTTCTTTGCCATTCCGGGCGGGTTGCTTTCTGCCCATACACCAGGGTTAACTTCTTGCAGGAGGTCTTCTGGAATAATCCCCTCCTCTTCTTCTACCATCATTAAGCGCCAGTGTTCCCTCAAGGGTACCTCTAAGGAGAACTCTCCTGCTTGCCCTGTAGTCATTGTCACTTCTCCTGTCGGTTGGAAGGAAATCTGGGCTTGCAATTTTGATAGCAGGTCTCGGCCCAACAATGGGATGGGACACTCTGGTATATACAAAAACTTGTGTTGGACCACTTGGCCGCCCAGGCGACAGGCAACAGATTGCAAGAAGGGGGCTCTTTGTGATTTGCCTGTAGCTCCTATTATGTTAATTGTTTGCTTGGTGGGCTTGGACACTGGTACTGGCAAAACAGAGTGGGCGGCTCCTGTGTCAACCATGAAGGGGATGGTTCGGTTCCCTGTTTGTATTTTGACCATGGGCTCACGGGAACCTAAATCAGCTGGGCCCGGTCTGTCCTAGTATTCTTCCTCCTCCTCTCTCAGGCTCATCGCGGCGGGCTGTCTTTGGGCTGGAGGGTGCCAGGGAGGTCCCTGTCCACGTCCTCTACCCCTGCCTGTATTTGCAGATGTCCAAGGTCTCAGTTCTTGTCCAGGTCCCACGGGGATTGGGCCTGGGATTCGCTCTCCTCGTCCTCCTCCACCTGAGTGAGCTTGTGGGCATTCTCTTTTCCAGTGCCCTTCCTGCCGGCAGATGGCGCACTGGTTCCTCCCCAGACGGCCTTGCCCTCCTCCCCGGGCACTTCCTCTTTCCTGAGGGGTGGGTGCGGTAGCCTGTAGCGCCATCAACTTCTTTGCTTGATACTTCTCCTTTTTCTTTTGTGCCTCTTCCTCCCTCTGATTATAAGTGGTTTGAGCCAGTTCTAACATCCACTCAAGGGTGTGGCCCATGAACCCCTCGTGTTTTTGAATCTTTCGGCGGACATCGGGCGCCGCTTGGGCCACAAAGGCAGCCTCATCTGGGTCCACAGGAGTATACTGGCGGTAGGCTTCCTTCAGGCGTTCTAAATATGCTCCTGGGGCCTCTTCATTCCCCTGCACTACCTCTCTAACCTTCACAAAGTTGGTGGGTTTCCTAGCTGCCCTTCTCATACCATTTAACACATTCTGGCGGTAGGTAGTGAGGATGTTCTGGCCATCAACAGTCTGATAATTCCAATTCGGGGTGTTTTCTGGATATCCTGCTGCCATAGCTGGATCCTGCACTCCCTGCGCTCTCAGGTGTGCTCGGGCTTCAGCATGGATTCGCCTAGTTTCTTCTGTGGTTAGCAGCGCATCCATCAAATACTGCACATCATCAAAGGTGGGATTATAAGTTTTAAAAATCCCTTCAAACAGCTTTATGATCTTCGCTGGGTTTTCCTCAAAAGATGGGTTTTGATTTCTCCAGTTACAGACATCTGCACTTGAAAAGGGTATATGCTGGACCGTATAGGTCCGTTCTGCTGCTGCTCCATTAGTCCCTGGAGGTCCTGGTGGGTCATAAACCCTTCGGAGGGGCATTACTCCGACCCCACCCTTTTTCTGTGCCTCATGGGACTTATGGAAGGCTGCCCTGGTTGCTGCTTCTATCCATTCCCTCTGCCATTTCTTCCCTTGTGTTGAGGAGCATCCTGCTGCAGCCAACACGTGGGGCTAACATCCACTTCTTCTGCATAGGGTTGTACATACTGTTGCAATCTCAAAGACTGATACTGAGTCCACTCTCTTCCCTTCTTTGCTAACTCAACCAATCCCTTTACAAATTCCTCATCATCGTCTTCTTCTTCTTCTGATTCATTAGCCTTGGGGGGTTCAGGCTGGGGGCTAGCTCCTCCCGGTGCCTGGGGGCCTGGGTCCAGGGGAGGGGCAGTTGGTGGAGCATAGGGTGGAGGTGGTTTAATGACTTCCCCCTCCTCTTCTTCTGGGTCTGGTATCACTGGGGGCTTTTCTGACTTCCCTGTCGGTCGAACTGCACAAACTGTACTTTGTGGGCGTCGCCTCGGCAGGCTTTCAACCACGATGGGTTCTTTTCTACATTGGTTTTCCAAGTAGAAATGTAGGGGATCTGGTCTGGGTGGACGTTCAAGATATTTCGATACAGTGGGTTGATTAGTTGCAAATCGAAGCTCCCCTCCGAGGGCCAGTTAGTTTGTTGCGAGGGCCAGTCAACCTCACATAATGTTCTCATCCTCCGTTGCCTCAATTTGATTCCCCAATCATCATGCTTTGTGGCTGCTTTCCAGTTGTTTAAAAACATTCCAGAGGACTACATTGGCTTGCCCCAGACCCCATTTTCAGATACTCTGCTGCTAACAGGTTGTAAATTCTTTCACTCTACACACACTACAGCCCTACAATCGCTCGGCCAAGGGGGACACTAAGCCCTGGCCCACACTTGACAATTCAGTCACTAGAGTATCTGACATGCAACATACAACATACAAAACACATCAATATAATTTCAACATGTAACACACTAGACACACCAAAATAATTTCAGCATGCAATACACAAAACACACCAAAATAATTTCAACATGTAATACACAAAACACACCAAAATAATTTTCCCCTCTGTTCCCCCCCTTTTTTTTTTTTTTTTTTTTTTTTACCAAACCTTACCGGTGGCACACCACTGCCACGCCCCTTTTTTTTTTTTCCTTCCTGGCTGCACTCTACTGCATAACCAGGTGAGGCTGATCAGGCCTCCCTCTTTTCCCTTGGGCTCACGCCCACGCCCTTTCCCTTGGGCTTACCGTTTTCTGCTGCAGATTCCCTTCCCTGGCCAGTCCTCTTTCCTCCCTCGACCTGGGTCCTTGCTCCGGAGCGGTGTGGCTGGCTCCCCCCACAAATTGGCAGGGTGCGCGTGGAGCCTGCAATTGCCGATCCGAGCTGTCCACCAAGGTCGAGCCTGGCTCTCCCCAGCCCTCTGAGGTGGGGCAGATTCCCGGTCAGGGAACCAAGATGTAGGCTGAGCCTAGTCCATGCCAGGGAATCGTTGGCCCGCGTCCTCAGATCCAGAGAGAGAGCAAAGAAAGCACCAGGAAAGATCCTTCTTTGGAGGAAAACAGTTTATTCTCTGTGCACAGTGACAGCCAGCAGAATAACTTCTGGAAGACTGGCTGCCCAGAAATACGCCTCTGCAGACTTTCTTATACCTTGAGAAAGCTCCCTCCCTCCTCCCCCAAACGCCCTCCAAAAACTTCCCCAATCAACTGGAAAGTTTTTAACTTATTTTTTTTATATGGCATGGCATATCTATAATGCTAGCCCTCTATGCAGCCCCCCCTCCCTATTTTCCCTATACGTGTCTTTCTAAGCGTCCTGCATCCCCTCCTCCCGTCTCCCTCGTATGTGTCTTTCTTATCTTACATTCCTAAAGTAAGAAAGCGAGGGGCCTCTGGTTATTTCTAGCTTACAGTCTCCTTCATATGTGTCTTTCTTATCTTGCATTCCTAAAATAAGAAAGCGAGGGGCCTCTTTTGCAGAAGTCAAATTAGCTCAGAAATTTACTTAGATCCAAAGTACAGAGAATATAGAAGATCCTTCTTAGGTACAAGGTACAAGGTATAGAAAGCATATAGAAAGCAACCCTTCCCTCTCCCTTCAGTAGGTCATTGCATAGCCTCTGATTTGCCCATTACACACTTCAGTCACTTTCTCCAGCTCACTCCTAAAACAAATATAAATGGCTTTAAAAAGGAAGTCTCTCCCTGGTGTTAACAGCAATTGATGCAGTTGGCAGAGCCCTTCTAGGGTTGCCATGTGTCCTCTTTTTCCAGGACAAACCCTCTCTTTCAGGGGTAAAATTTGAGACAAATTGCATTTACAGTGGTACCTCAGGTTAAGAACTTAATTCGTTCTGGAGGTCTGTTCTTAACCTGAGGTACCACTTTAGCTAATGGGGCCTCCCGCTGCCGCCGCCACGTGATTTCTGTTCTCATCCTGAAGCAAAGTTCTTAACCCGAGGTACTATTTCTGGGTTAGCAGAGTCTGTAACCTGAAGCGTCTGTAACCCGAGGTACCACTGTATTTGCTTTGAACGGCCATCATAGCGTTCTCTTTTCTGCTTTTCAAAATATGGCAACCCTACCTCAGGCACGTCCAACTTCTAAGAGACTGTGATCTACTCCCACTATATATAAAAAAAATGGCAGTGATGTCCCCATTGGATTGACCAGAGTTGTTTAGCTTTTTTGGGGGGAAGAGTTGTTGAGCTTTTGGGGGGATGATCAACTGAAGTTGTTGAGCTTTTTTGGGGGGGCCATCAGGGTCTCGCAATCGGCTGGATCAACCGGTTGGATATCCCTGCTATACCTCATCCCATGACTTCACATGGAAGTGAGCAGTTGAGGGCAAATATGGCTGGAACATCGTTACTGATTTATTATGACTTACAAAATTTATAAACAGCTTAATTGCAAAAAAAACACCCCAAAATAAAAATCCCTAAAAGTGGATTACAGAAAATAAAAACAGTAAACTCAGGAAGAATTTAAAACATACTAAAGTTAAAATGGAGGGATGCGGGTGGCGCTGTGGGTAAAACCTCAGCGCCTAGGACTTGCCGATCACATGGTCGGCGGTTCGAATCCCCGCGGTGGGGTGCGCTCCCGTCGTTCGGTCCCAGCGCCTGCCAACCTAGCAGTTCGAAGGTAAACGGCGTTCCGTGTGCTGCGCTGGCTCGCCAGATGCAGCTTGTCACGCTGGCCACGTGACCCGGAAGTGTCTGCGGACAGCGCTGGCTCCCGGCCTATAGAGTGAGATGAGCGCACAACCCTAGAGTCTGGCAAGACTGGCCCGTACGGGCAGGGGTACCTTTACCTTTAAAGTTAAAATACTAAAACCAATTAAAATTACCTGAACTTTCTAAGCATCTGGGTAGGTTTGTCTAAACAGGAATGTTTTGGGCAGGTACCTGCTTGATCTCAAGAGGCAGGGAGTTCCAAAGTGCAGCTGCTGCCACACTATGCAACTGAGTTATTACAAAAGTGAAATAGGTATTATGTGGCACCTGCCATGGCCTTTAAAGAGAATGTGTGTTGTGGAGCTTCGAAGTTAAAGGGATCACCGACAGCATCTATTGGTTTACCAGCTACAGTGTATACAAGAAGGAATGGAAATCTGGAGATAATGTTGCGTGGGGATCCTGCCCGAACTTACACAGAAGTTAGTCCAGCCTAGAGTCAGCTGCCTTCGCTCCCAATGTAGATGCTGTGGAAATCCTATAATATATAATACATCCTTTATTACAAGCCCTACAGGGAAAGGCAGCAGGCAGGAGCCACATTCCATGCTCATATTCCTCCACAGATCCAGAGGAGAAGGAAGCCAAGGCTTTGAACCCAGAAACAAAACAGCTGTTAACTATGGACCTAAAGGAACTGTAATCACTACAACGTAAGCCTAGCAACGGCCTAAACAGGAGGGGCTGCGTGGACTCCACTGCGCTTGCGCCACTCCTCCTGCCTCCCGCTTCGCTCCTGACGGCGGCGTCGCCTCCATTGTGGCCTATGGGGCGGGGCATTCGGTAGCTCCGCCCCCTCGCCCAGTGTCGGGCGCAGACCTTACGAAGCGAGGCGCCATTTTGCGCTGCTGCTGCTACTGCCGCTGCCGCCGCCTCCGCCGCCACAAGAGGGTAGCTGGTTGACTGAGGAGGCAGCCTCAGGAGAAGGTCGCGGCGCTCAAGCGCTCCTCGCCCGGGTTCCCGCTCGTTTCATCCGCCTGCCGGGTTGGGAGGAAAGCGCCGCCATGAGTGACGTGGAGGAGAACAACTTCGAGGGGAGGGTGAGTAGTGAGCGCTTCTCTGTCCAGGCCGAGGTGTCGGAGGCCTGGCCTGGCCCCGAGGGCACGAAGTCGCTCGAGACGCGGGGGAAACGGAGCCTCCCAGCCGGGCGCGGAGCGGGGCGGAGCCACCCGGAGGAGAGCGCCGTTGTTTCTCCAAAATGGTTTCCTTCGCCTGAGGTGGGGGCCGCGCTGACGCCCGCGGGGGCCGCTTTCGCGGTTTCTGTTCCGGGCCTGGCTTTCCCGCCCTCCCATTTTTGAACCGGGATCTTTAGTCTTAAAAAACAAAACAAAACCCCAAAAAACATGATCCTGGGATTCCGGTTGTTACGCTCTCTCCTGATTCCTAGCCCACCCCCTTCCCAGTTTCCAGTTCTGAGCTCTGCTGTTATCGCTAGAACCCGATGAATCTCTCTATATATAATTTTTAAAACTGCAAAACCAGCCCCGTTTTCTTCCTTTCCAAGGCCCCGACCGCCAAATCCTGAGCGAAGTTAGGATTTGTTTGGTAGGAAGGGATCTCAACGCCTCGTGTAGATCAGGAAATCCGGCGCGTGCGGACCGAGGCGATCTTCTTTCTTAGGCAGAAAAGGCTGTTTTCCCTCCGGCTCAATTTTTTCAGACCGAAGACCCAGCTTTAGCCCACACATGCAATTGGGGACCTACTTCTTAATTATTTTTTTACTGATACATTCCTATGACGGTGGTTTTGTAGCGACCCAGCTTTAGGTCAGGGTTCCTACTCTGCGGTTGAAGGTCAGCGTCCTCCTAGGCAGCCTTCTTGTATCTCCAGTACGACTTCTAGTTTAAACAAGAAAAGCCAGAATCAATTTTTTGTTGTGTCTGGGGTGGCGGCAGACATTTTGCTCTGTTTAGGTTTGTTGTTAGTAACTCAACGGTTTGATCCAAAGCCCGCGCCTGTGCTTCACCCGCGCTGTTTTGTTATTTATTATTGTTATATATGTTGTAGGAAATCATTCGATTGACCCCTCGGAAGCTTTCTGAAGGAGAGGTGTGAATCCTCTCTCAAATGAATTGGAGGCATTATTTAGTAATGGCATTGAGATTCATGCCTGGGGAAAGTGCATTATCTTAGCTTGATTTATCAGGGTGTTTTATACTAGTGTTTATCTACCACTATACAGCAGCTTGAGAGACTCCCTTCCTTTCCCCTGCCCTCCAATATAAAGAAGTATGAGGGAATGATTCTGAAATACGTGTCTTTGGCACAGCTTGCAACTCACAATTTCCCATATAAATCCGAAAAGTAGCAATAGGGAGGTTTGGGTGAGTGTTGTAAGTCGAACAATTCCAGCCATTCTTGGGTGGAATACATTTATTTGACCCTTGGCAATTATGATCAGACTGGGCTGGATGTGGGACTGGAACAGCATTAGTTACACTTGGTGAATGATCTATACTTGGAGGTGAACAGGGAGAAACTTTTTTTGGACCTCTCAGCACCTTTTAGGTCATTCCATTCTTCAATTCCAGTTTGAACTTCTAGACAGAATGTCTGGGCTGTTGGTCAGAATGATTCCATGTTGTTTTTTAAATTGGCTACATTCAGCATAAGGATATTTGGAAGACTCGCTTAGTGCTGTGGGAATAGGGCCTGCCATATCAATATGCTGATCACATCCATCTCTATTCTCTTATGTAAGCATCCAGGAGTGACTGTCAGTGTTGAACCAATGTATGGTGGCTAAGACAAAACAAAATGAAATTAGGCCAAAGAAGACATGGGATCACCCACTACCACCACCTAAGTCTTTGGCAGGGAGGGGGTAGTAAAGTAGCTGGACGCAGATTCACTGCACGACTAACTGCAGTACTGTACTGTCTACTATGCTATATTTAACACATGCACGCATGCGTGCATACAACATGTCTTAACAGGAAAAGCACACTATTTGTTTCCATATCCATTTTTTACCATAGAGAGAATGCTTTGTTTATGGATAAGTAGGTAGTGATGGTCCAGGAACACTTTTTACCAGCTCCACTTCTCCACTGCTCTGTTTTTAAAAGCAGGGATGTCCACTTTTAGCCTGTAAACTTCTGTGCCCAATTCAGAGTTCCTGTGCTTGCCTTATAAATCTTTCATGGTCTAGACCACCCTATCTAGAACCATTTATATCTATATGCAGGGCTAGCCTAATATATTTTGGCACCAGAGGTAGATCCCCACCAGGGAAGAAGGGGTGAGGGAAAATCTACATCAGAAACAAGGTGAAGAGAGATTGACATGGGGATCTGCTACCCCAGTGAAGCTTGCCACATGAGGCAGTCATTTCATCTTGCCTCGGGTGGGCCAGCCTTGTCTATATGTACCCTAATTCCAGCTGTGGTGATTTGATCAAAGCATTCTGCGTATTCCCTCATTATATGAAGTGAAAAGTTGCCAGCTAGCACTGGAGCTTTCACATTAACTGGCCTGGAGCTCTAAAACCTGAGCGGTAGTATTTAATGCTGATTGAACATTCCAAGAAAACACCTTGCATTCTTTGTGCATTCAAATTTAGATTTGAATGTGCACAAAATAAAATAACATGTTTAACCTGTGATGATGAGTGTGTGTTAAATATATAGAGCCACATAGTTCTGTAGAAAGTTAGCAGGGCAGAGTATCTGTGTTCAACTAGTTCACTACACTTAGAACAGATCTGCACAATTCAATGCAAACTGCTGCATCAAAAGTGGTGTTCTATTACAGAATGCTTTGTAGTCATTTGTAGAGTGTATCTGTTTGGTTTTCAGTGCTTTGGTGCTCAGTACTGATAATGGGTTTGATGATAAACACTTGGTGCTCAAAAGAAAATTTTAAATAGCTTGTAAATGAGCCTACAAATACTTTGCTATACCTGTGTTGGTTCTTCTTCTTCTTCTTCTTCTTCTTCTTCTTCTTCTTAGCTTAACTCATTCCTTGCCTGCCTTCCTGGAGCCAGTTTTATCATTCTATATCTATATTAGAGTTGGGGCTTGGCTTAGGGCAATTTTGTATGTTAAATGCCCTAGTTCTGTACCAGAGCATGCTTGCTCTTATATTAGTAGTTTTTGTAGGAAAAGGCAGATGACTGAATACATTTGAGAAAGATAACTCATTGGGCTAGTGTTTCTCAGAGACAGCCAAAACAAAAAACAAAACAAAAAATATGCCAACCTGACAATTACTTGAAGGCTTCAGTTGTAGAAGTGCATTTTGAAGCAGGACTAAACACTACTACTGTTTCCAATAAATATTTGACAACTTGAGAGGTTCAAAGTTAATTCTATATTTTCTTAATCCTAAATAGTTGCATAAAGTATTGGGAAATTGCAGGTGATTGGATGTTTGATCCTTGGGGATTTAACAAAATATTGGTAGTCCTATGGTTGGACCATACCTAAAAAACATAGATGCAGACTTCTAATAATTTTTTTAAGGATTTTTGTCAGGCTGTATGTTGGATCTGTATTATAATTGCCTATGTTTATTGTAGTGTTCAAAAACACTGCCATGTAATGTCTGAACCCCTTTTAGATTCTAACATGGGAGCCGGTCTAGCAACCACACTCTTGGGCCTTGGAGGGCTGTTACCCTAATCCTAGAAGTTTAGGCCTTTGCTCCGATTATTTAGTAATGAAGGCAGTGCCCTCCTTTATTGTTTCTAAACATTTCAGGGCTAAACATGAATGCTTAGAAGAAATTCTAGGGCTGAGTTCTCAGCTTTGGATGAAATTTAAGGGAACTATATTTCTAACCTGCACTGGTGTGTTTATCCTGTCCATGCTTTTAACATAACAAAGGCAAACAATTCAAGTGTTAGCTATGTTACATTGGTGCTACTTCCAGTTATGCCTTTGAGCTATTGGGTTCTAAACATACATTCAGAAATGGACTCAGAATGTGTGTTCCATGTTGGAATGTTGATGTAAAGCAGCAGTGGGGAATCTTGGGCCCTGGGGGCCAAATCTGGCCCTCCAAACCTCTCTGTTTGACCTCTAAGATTCACTTCCAGGCCTCACTCCTCATCATTTCTGCTTTTCACTATCCTTGAGTGTTTTTGCCTGCCTAAAATTTGTCCTTGAGCTTTGATAATCCTTTTGCTAGTCTGGATGGAAGATAGAGAGGGTTGTCTGAGAGAGTGTGTGGAAACTATCCCAGCATGTGGTCCTTTGAAGTCTTCGCTTTCAGTGCAGGGCCATGGCGAGCAGCCCATAGGGCAAGCTGATGGGCAATCAGCTGTCCTCCAAGCCAGGTTCAGCACAGCTGCTTACAGTAGGAACCCCAGCCTGGCCTCAGAGAGGCGAAAAAATGTCTCCACAAAAGATACAGAGTTGTCTTCTGCACTATAAAAACAGCATGGTATATTGGTTCCCCAAGGACCAGAGCAGATACCATGCTGTTTTTATAGTTGCTAGGCTGCTCTAGCTCTTTCATGAATTCGCCTGATCTCCTTTCATGAATTCGCCTGATCTCCTTTTCTATAGCTTAAGGCAGTGTTTTTCAACCTTTTTTGGGCAAAGGCACACTTGTTTCATGAAAAAAATCACGAGGCACACCACCATTAGAAAATGTTAAAAAATTTAACTCTGTGCCTATATCGACTATATATAAAGTAATTCTCTTGAATAGGAATCAAATAAACACAAAGAAGCATGGTTTAACATTCAAGCATGGTTTAATATTTTTTTCTTTAATGGCAAACAAAAACGTTGCGGACCGTTCTCTGCTCAGCGGGGATCGATCCGCTAATCCCCGCTGAGCTGGCGGATGACAGCTCCGTCTCCGCACTGTGTGCGGAGAGGGAGATGTCAGAGCCCCGCTGCTCTCTATGGGGAATCGGATGAGAGCGGACCGCCTGTCTGCTCTCATCCGATCCCATCCGATCTGATCCCCACCCAGGACGGATGGAAAATAGGGTGGACACAGTCCGGCGCCCGCCTAGTGGGCGAAAAATTGACATTTTTTTTTAAAAAAAATCTTTCGAATTTTTCCCACGGCACACCAGGCAACATCTCGCGGCACACTAGTGTGCCGCGGAACAGTGGTTGAAAAACACTGGCTTAAGGCAGGTTTGGCCAACTCCCAAGAGACTGCGATCTATTCCCAGTATAAAAAAACTGGCAGTGATCTACCCATTGTCATTGAAGGGAGGAGCGTGCGTGGGGTGGGTGGATTGCCCAGAATTTTTTTTTAGGAGAGAAGTGCCCAGAGTTGTTGAGGTTTTTTTGGGGAAGATTGCACAGAGTTTTTTTAGCTTTCCCCCAATAACTTTTTGTACACGATGAGGATCCCGTGATCTACCACTGGTTGGACATCCTTGACTTAAGGCATTGGGTCTGAGTGATCTGTAGTTAGTACAAACTTGGGAGTGCTCTCAACTCTAGGGAACATGGGGTTCCTGAATTGGTGCTCATTGAGGATCCTGGAAGTACTTTCTGTGCAGACAGAATTGCCTGTGAACCAGATCATTGCCCTTCTTCACCGAGTGCCCCCTGCGCATACTGGTTTTATTTGGAGTTGATGGTATCTTAATTAGCTTTATTGAGCTTTTATTGCTAGCTGTAAAACTTCTATTTCTATAGCACTCTGGTGTAGAACTGCTTTACAATGCCAGTTCTATTCATCTTCTCTTATTCAACCTCTCAACAACCTTGTTAGGTTGAATGATGGTGAGCACAGAAATTATGTGGCTCATTAGGAATTTGGACCTAGGTCTTGGACTTCCCAGGGCATAGCAACCCCCCCCTCCCTACAGTAGGGTTTAGACTGGTAAAAAGATACCCCTGTTGTCATGAGGGGAAATGTAATTGAAGATGATTTTTTTCAATTGATCACACCTTTTAATTGATTTAATCTTGCAACTCTTTAGGCCCATTTTAAAGTGCTTGAGAAACTTTATTGTCCTGTCTTGTTGAAGGTATCAGCAAAATAAAATTAACTATTTTTAGATTCTTATTTGTATACATTTATCAATGTTATATAACAGTATCATTGTATTTGAAAGGGCTCATTTGACAAATCCTTTTAAAAAATAGTTTATTTTATTATTTATTTATTAAATTTGTATTCTGCCCTTCATCCAAATATCTCTGGGTGGTTCATATATCCCACGCATCATATAATACAGAACTTAGTTGTTTATCTACAATATCAGTGGTACCTTCCATTCCGCTTTGTTTATGGCAGTCTTCAAAGTTGAATGGTTGTTTCTCACAAGACTCTTAAGGCTGCACACTCAGGAGTAAGTCTTACTGAATTTGGTGGTACTTGCTTCTGTGTCAATATGTATAGCATTGTCCTGTAGATTTGTTTATATTGGGTCCCAAACCATCCCAGTCATCCCATCTATTTACATTTTGAATATTAAGAGTCACAAATTTTGGTGGACCTAGTGATTATTTGTGGTTTTCCTGACCTCTTGTCTGAGTCCTCTGCACAGAGAGCTCTGGGAAAGAGTCTCAAGTTGTGATTGGATTGGGCAAGTAGCTGCCAGGAAGAGATCCATGGTTGCAGATGACGAAATGACCACCTCAGGATTCAGTCACGGCTCCCCTATGGTTGGGTGTAAGTTAAACATGTGAATAAATGCTAGTCTAAAGGGTTGATACCTTTGATTCTGCTCAGAAAGTTTGTCCTGCATTCTTGACACTTTTACGTTATGAACATAGTTATCTGAAAGCAAGAGAAAGAAAGCTAAATCAACAGTAGTTGGGATCTGACTATTAAGTCTTCTCTTAGCACCTTAATTTAGGCTGTTATCCTTTACTCATTTACCTGTGGATAATTCCTATTGAATTACTACTCCATGGAGCTTACTTTTGAGTAGGCATGCCTAAGATTGCCTTGCCAGTGTGAAACAATTTCATATATGAAAAAAATTATTATGAGTTATATTTTTGCAGCCACCTTGTGAGAGTGTTAACCTGGCACTGCACAGTATACTCCTTCTTTACTAATTGATTCTTGTGGAAGTTTGCTGATGGGAAGTTTGGGTTAGAAACTTAGTCAATGAAGTGGGCTTTTTTATTTTTTATATGGGCAAGCATGAAAAGTGAGGCACCCTGCCCCACTTTCATATTTAATATTTTCTTTGGTTAAGCATTTTTCCACCATCAATTTCCCTGTCTTTCTTACCCATTCCTCCTAATTTTTTTTTTTTTTTTTAAAGAACATTGTCTTGTTTTGACAATTAGACACAGCTCCACAATATGGTATTTTGGTCAACTCGGGGAAAGTAATGGTGCTATTAAAATGTGCATGTTTAGACTACCACGAGTATGCAGATTCCCTTCTGAAAAATTCACTACTTCACTCTTCAATATGACTTAAGTATGGGAAAACAGGTCTGAAATGAAATGATAAAATGGCATCTTTAATGAGAAACAAAACAGTAAGAACTATAAGACAAAATGACATTTGGCAAAATAAATGCAGTAAGCAGTTTTCATTGGCTAAAAAGGGAATAAGCTGGACAGAGCAGTACAGATTGCTGTGCAAATGAGAAAAGGAGGGCACAGTTTTGATGTATCTTAATGTAATGTTCATGAGACATACAATGAAGATTCAAATTCAAATATGCAATATCTTTCCATAAAATTCTTGATCTGTTCTTTTAGTTTCCCTGTTTGCCCAATCACCTCATTTGAGAGTGCTTATTCAAATATCTTATTTTCCTGTATTGCTGTGTGATTCATCTGTTGTTCTGACAAGGAATACAGAATAACAGTCCCAGTTCTATAGGTAACTTCACATGGCAGCCACTACCGAAGTTGATTTAAGTTGTTACTGAAGAAGAGCCTTAAATTGGCTTCGTTTCTTCCCTACTATGCACATATTTTGTAGGTTTTGGATAGAATGGTTAGGTTTAGGAAAAAAAGTATTTTGGAATATTCAGATCATTGGCACATCTGTGGCCTGAATCCCAAGAACTGCAGCTAGTTGGACTTGGTACTTGTCTGTCATGAACAACTGCTCCCCAAGCTGCATGTTAAACTTCTTGAAGCTGGGAGTTTAAAAGTTTGTGATGCGGCCTGGGGTGATGGGGAGCTGGGCATTATATTAGGCATGTCTAACTCCCTGTTTGCATCTAGTGTAGCTCTTTGAAATCTGGCCTGTAAGTTTTGTTTGACATTTTTAACTTCAGACAATCCTAGTATTTAAGGTAACACTGAAGTCTGTGTGTATCATATGGAAGTTAGAAAAGAAGCAGAATAGATTTAGAACTTTTGGGAAATGTTGCAAGGAAATCAGTGGACTCATTTTTAGAGCCTATATGATTACACCAGTTAAAAGATTTTTTTTTGAAAAAATGCTTTTATAAATTAGTTATTTGCACTTTACCTGCTGGCTATTCAATTTTGGTAGATAAAAGTCTGAAACTCCAGCAGAGTTTTATAATCCCCACATGCTTAAATATACTAAATGTTCTTTTTCCATTAAGGTTAATGTTCGTGAAGAAATGGAAGAGTTTTTTCCAAGAATGTGGAAGATAAATCAAGATAAAAGAAGGCTAATGAAAAGTGTTAAAGATCAGAAAATTAAAATTGAATGGGGGAAAAAATTGAACAGAAGATTGGTCAGATAGAAGCACTTGAATATTTTTAAGGCTATAATGAATTGTTTGAATTGGGGAAGAATACACGAAGTATGAAAAATGAAAAACTCAATGAAGAATGAAGAAAAGTAGAAAGCAAGAGTGAAGTAGAATTAAAAGAATCTGGAAGAATGAATGGGTCCTAGGTTAAGTAAATGTATGGTTTATGTTCCAGTGTCTGTATGATCAAGTTGTAGATGAATTTGCATGATTACTTAGTTAATAGAGCATTGGTCATCCGGTTCAAGTAGGGAACTATTTGAGGAAATCGCGCAAAGTTAACAGTGGGTTAAACAGAAGTTTGTCCTGGAGGGTATTGCCTAACCACTTGTTTTTCAGGCACAATCAATAAAATATAGTTACTTTAATATAAGAAGGTAGGCATTTGTGCAACCACTACCATTTGTAATACTGCTTTTTTTGTTAGGAGTCGCGCTCCCAGTCAAAATCTCCAGCTGGGAGTCCTGCTCGTGTAAAATCTGAGAGCAGGTCAGGATCGCGTAGCCCATCAAGAGCTTCTAAACATTCTGAGTCACGCTCTCGATCAAGATCAAAATCCAGGTATGTGTCTGCTGTTATACATTCTGTCTTTGCATAAAACTTACTTATTTGGGGCCTTCAAGGTATTGAGGGTTTTCATGGAAGAGATTTTGAGTTGTACTTTTTAAGAATATTTTATATGGATTATTTTAAAACGTCAGACCTTGTTCTTTAGCAAGGTTGAACTGCTTCTCAGAGTAGCATAGAATTATAGGAAGCTCCCTTATACAGTAGACCACTTGTCCATCTCACTCAATACTGTGTACACTCGCTGCTTGTCACTACCCAGAGCTTCAGACAGCCCTATCGGGAGATGCTGGGGTTTGAAACTGAACCTTTGGCATGTGAAGCTTTTCCTGTGCCATGCAGCTACAACCCTTCTCCACAGTGAGGTTGTTGTACCTCCTCATGGCCTAGTTGCAGCACCAACTACACTATGGAAGTGCTCTGAAAATTTTCCACCATGGAAGTGCTCTGAAAATTACCCTGATAGCTATATGAGATATGAAAATTTTCCTTTCTGATGTCACAAGGCTTTGTGCCTCTAACTGGAGAACAGTTTGTAGATTACCATCACATAAGACAAAACATAAGACAAATCAGATCCTAAAATGTAAGAAAAGCTATCTCCTTTCTGTCCCCAGTGATAGTGAAGCTTCCATAAACCGGCATTCCATACAATGGCTTGATTTTCACACAACAATAAATCACCTAAGAAATAAACCATGGCATCCTGTGAATGAGAAACATGTGCGCACACTGCACAACCACTCCTGCTTTGCTTCATTCTGCCTGGAACCAAGAGAAACAAATCACAAGGCTGGTTTTGTTCTCCTTTAGCTTCTACTCATGATTTAACTTGGTTCCACGGCAGACCAAGGAAAACAGGAGTGATTGAGAAACATGTGACTTACCATGACATGTGAACCAGTTCTTTGTGATGTTTTATATGTTCTGTGGTGAACTGCTACCTTACGAAATTGTTGTATTGAAACACAATTACATGGCTAGCAATTACTCAAGAAATTACCTGCACAAGTAGTTAAGAAATTCAAATTGTAATACAATAAAATGCAATGAAAGAAATGAAGCAGTCAGTACAGTTAAATCAAGACCCTAAGCAATTTTCATGTGGTCCTTGTGGGGGGAAGTTTGGGAGCCCCTGGAACAGATAAATGTTGAAAATATTATTTACATTTTACAAAATGTTTATTTTAAATTACTTGATATTTTAAAACTGTGCCAGAAACTTACTTTGATATGCTTTCAGGAGCATATATATATAAAAAAAATGCATGAATTTATGAAAACTTCAATATTTCTATGGTGCTTCACAGATGTTTTCATATAACAAATAAAATGTATCATTTGAAGGTCCAGGTCAAGAAGGCATTCTCACAGGCGTTACACTCGCTCTAGATCCCATTCTCATAGAAGGCGATCACGAAGCAGATCCTACACTCCAGAGTACCGGCGTCGAAGGAGCCGCAGTCACTCTCCAATGTCTAACCGAAGAAGGCACACTGGCAGCAGAGTATGTAGTGTAAGCTTGTAGGGAAATTATTTTAAATCTCACTATGAATATATGTATAAGAAAAGCTAATCCATTTAACTAATTTATTTTTGTTGATTAGGCATAACATCCACAGCTTGCAGGTTTCTGCGGTCAAGAATAAGAGGAGCCTTGGCATTTTCTGCTTGTCAGGTCTATTAGCGTTTACCCTAGCAACCAGCAGTATGAATACCCCACAGTACTTTCCCAAACAAGGAAGTGTAGGGGAGAGGAGCACCCTGATTTTCTCTTAAGGGGCGGGGGGTGCTGGTGGTGGAAAGAACTGGTGGCTTTATGGGAGGAGGCCCCCCCCCCCAACCAAACCCGAGAGGTGTGTAGTTCTTTACAAGAACAGACAATTTTGAAATCTAATAGCTTTCAAAAGATTTACAGTTGGGCATGGGAAATGAGATTTAAATCCTTGCTGGTATGAAGATATTTGGGTAGACTAGATCAGCTGTCCCCAGCATGGTGTCTTACAGATGTTTTGGACTACAACTCCTATCAGCCCCCACCAGCAGGAATCACAAATACAATTTCTTCAGAAATTTTGCATCTATCCTGTGCCAGTTTAGGGAAAGTTATATGTCAGAGGCATATCATGATCAACAGTTGATTGACTTCAAGTGGTCAGGCAATCTCAGTGGTTATTTTTGGTCCCGCCTTCCCTTTTGAAATTGAGGTTTGGTGGTAGCAGCTGAAATTGGCAAAACCCCTCTGATAATTATGGGCATAGGACTCTGTCTTTGCCTCTATTCTGGTTTTGCTATGCCGCATCCCTTGTGGTAGGCTGGCAGGATACTCTGAGTTATTAAAATTTACATTAAAATTATTTATGTAAATATTGAGGCATTATGGGATGCAGGAGTCTTTGTAACTCACTCCCATTCCAAGCCACCATTTTGCCTGCTGGCTCTGGCAAAAAAAAATAAAAAAATCCTGCAAGCCAAAAGACAGGTGTTTCTATATTTGCTATACTGTATATAGAAATGATTATACATTTTAAAATTATGAAATTACAACATCTTAAGGCTCCATTTGTTAAACTGATCTGATTTTAGGAGTGGGAAAGGAACTTGAGATCCTTTCTACTCTCCTTGGAGAGTTTTGGAGCATATGTGCGGGTGGTACAAAGCAGGTAGGTTTCCATTGTATGGCTGATTAAATGTTCCCTCTTTTGCAATAAGACACTGAGGAAATTAACAAGACCTGTTTGGCTGCTTCAAGGAAGTTGTTCTTGAACAGAAAGGAGAATTGCAGGCAAATGTCTGAAACATGAAACCAGAATGCTATATCATTCCATCTGCCCATCACTAGATGGTAAATACATTTTTTAAGCTGTAAAAGACTAAACCATCATGACACGAACAGAATGCAGCATTTTGGTCAGATTTCAAAGACGTAATTCTCTTGTTTGCAGCAAACATGCCCTTTGCATGTTGTGGGCTGCAGTTTCTATCATCCCTAAGCTTTGGTCATGCCGACTGGGGCTGATAGAAGTTGTAAGTTCAAAACATCTGGAGAACCCCATGTTGGCTACCCCTGCAATATAATCTTGTAGCCCAAAACATCTGGAGTGCACCATGTTGGCTACCCCTGCATCTTGCCATAACTGCATTAGAAACCCTCTAGCCAGTATATTGTCAAACCTCTGTAGGATTAGCTGCTCTGTAGTAAGTCCAGCCAGTTTGCTGTACTCTCTCTGCAGCCAATCTGCCCCTCCCCCTAGTCAGCATAATGAAGCGAGACCTTCTGAATCCTCTTTCATTATGAGAATTGGATCCAGTGGTGGAGTAGGCATAATAGATCTTCCTTTCCCTTCTTGTGTTACTCAGAATGCGCAGTTATCTAAAATACCTTGCTGCCTATGTCAGTGAAAGAATGAGTGAGTGTGCAACTGGCACTGTTCTAGACATGCTTTGATACTTGAATTTGGTTCATTTTTTAGGCTAATCCAGATCCTAATACATGCCTTGGCGTGTTTGGCCTCAGTTTGTATACTACTGAGAGGGATCTTCGTGAAGTCTTCTCTCGTTACGGACCTTTGAGCGGTGTCAATGTGGTTTATGATCAACGAACTGGACGATCAAGAGGATTTGCTTTTGTTTACTTTGAAAGAATAGATGATTCTAAAGAGGTAAATTTATTAAGTTGGGAAGGTTGCAAAGTTTACCAGTGATTATGAGGCTGTAGAGGTTTCCCCACAGAGTTGAGATTCCCTGGAGACTTCCAGGTCATTTGAGAGGCCTGGAGGAGTCACACAAGGCTTGGGGCCAAGGCAGAACATAAGAATATAATGAAAGGCAAATTCAGCACTCTCTCTCTCTATCTATCTCTCTATCTCTCTCTCTCTTAAAAAAGTTGTAATAGTACTGTATAAATCTGTGAATCAGCCACAGTTGTCCAGTGCAGACCTACCTCCTGATTGCTAATAATAATCAAGACTAAGTGAAGACTGTGAGAGTGTACACTCTGTGCCCACTTGTATGTAAATTCCCTCTTAACCACACTGTAGGGTTATACCTGATAAATGTAAACTAACCAGGATTTCAAACCAGGCATTTGAAAAAACTGCATTTGAGAGAGAAGAAGCATAATAAGCTTCTGAAAAATAAACTGGCATTAAAAGTTAAATTTCAGTTTTTTTAGCTTCAAATCAGCATAGTAGTAATATAGTTTTAATCAAATCATGTGGCTGCTGTAATACATAATTTTGACTGAGAATGTTTCCTTGTGTTTAAAGTACACAATCATATATAATAAGAAATTTGATCTGCTGGTTACTGTAATTCTTAAATCTACTTGGTTGTGCCTCATTCATGATGGGGAGGATATACTTCAGGCTTTTTTAAAAAACAACAACTATGCTATGTCATTTGGGTCTGTTTGATTCCAGAGACTACGTTGATGATGTGTCAGTACTTATGTGAAGCTGTTTGATAAAAGTATGAAATTTGAATGGTAGTCTTTGTTGATGTTCCTTTGCATAATAGCATTTTCCAAATTGTCTTGGAGTAACTATATATTGGTATGACTAGTGCTATAATCTATGATGCTTTGATTTTTGTAGTGTGGACCTTTTGGTGAGAGAAGATTCTTTAAAATAGTGTTTGCTGTGTTTCAGTGATAGAAAGAAATCACTAGGTGGCGATATAGTCCACATTTAATCACATTCGAAGTACTGAATTGAAGTGTAGAATGTTCTAGTTTTTATTTTTAATTTCTTACAATGTAAACAGTAACCATGTGGAACTTGATTTTCCCCTAGTTGAGGCCCTAAATTATGAATAAGCCTTTTTTCTAGGGCTGGAGTTAAACAAAAATCCAGTGCCAAGAATGTAATACAATCAGAAACCTGAAGTGAGTGTTCCGGTTTTCGAACATTCTTTTGGAAGCCGAATATCTGACAAGGCTTCTGCGGCTTCTGATTGGCTGAAGGAGCTTGCTGCAGCCAGTAAGAAGCCACACTTTGGTTTTCGGATTCTGTTCGACTTCTGAGGTACAACTATAATGTTTAGGTTGGGTCAAAAGCTACCATTTTGTCCAAAGAAGGGGTTGCTTGCTCACAAAAAGGCATACGGTGGCATTCTTGAACAACTGCAAGCATGACGGTTGCTGTAGAGCCTACCTGTTGTAGATAAACAAACTCTTTGCTAGTACTTCCATAAGCATTTTTGGCAAAGCAGTGCCATATATTTTCTCCAGTCCAAATTAAGCAAAAAGAGAAAAAAAGGGGGGGGGGGAAGAAAAATATTTGCATCAACAGACATGGAGTAGGTAGCAACCAAGAATCGCCACTACAACCACACACACAAAAGGGAGCAAGGGTCAAACCTTTTAACAGGATTTATGTAAATTTGCTCATGGATTAATAAAATGGGGGTAATATTTTTCTTTGAATGTATTTTAGTGTTTTTATATTGTGAACTGCCCTGTGATCTTCAGATGACAAGGATGTATAACTTGCTGTTGGAATGGAATACACAAGATGAAATGGTTAAATCGGCTATGATAAGGTGGGCACAGGATATTGGGTATAATATTATGTTTGAGGACTGGGAAAGGCTGTGGAGTAATGGATTGAAATTTACTGCATGTAATGCTTTGAAAGAAAATGTAATGAAAATGATTTATAGATGGTATATGACCCCAGTCAAACTCGCAAAAATTTACCACCTGTCTGATAACAAGTGCTGGAAATGCAAAGAGTGTGAAGGAACGTTCTTCCACCTCTGGTGGACATGCCCTAAAGTGAAGGCGTTCTGGGAAATGATTTATAATGAATTGAAAAAGGTATTTAAATATACCTTCACTAAGAAACCAGAGGCCTTCCTTTTGGGTATTGTCAGCCAAGGGTGGCAAAGAAGGACCAGACATTTTTATGTATGCAACAACAGCAGCAAGGATACTACTCGCAAAACATTGGAAAACCCAAGATCTACCCACACTGGAAGAATGGCAGATGCAACTGATAGACTATATGCAACTGGCTGAAATGACTGGCAGAATCCGTGACCTGGGAGAAGAGAGAATCGAGGAGGATTGGAAGAAATTTAAGAACTACCTACAAAAACATTGTGATTTGATTGAATGCTGAATAAGATGCTGGACTAAATAACTGAGCACCACTTAACTTAGAAATTTTTAAGGAAACAAGAAAAGTTGTGAAAGTTTAACTCTTTATGAGAACTTTAAGATTATGAAATATCGAAGAGATATAAGAATTTAAATAAGATGATAAATTGCTGACAAAATGTTATAATGATGAAGGTGGGAGCGGGAGATGTGAGGAAGTCCAAAGAAAATGTGAAATTATGTTAAGACGAATGCTATATTGTTTATTACATTTATTCCTATTGTAAAACCCAATAAATTGCTTTAAAAAAAAAAACAAGAATCGCCACTACAACCACACACACAAAAGGGAGCAAGGGTCAAACCTTTTAACAGGATTTATGTAAATTTGCTCATGGATTAATAAAATGGGGGTAATATTTTTCTTTGAATGTATTTTAGTGTTTTTATATTGTGAACTGCCCTGTGATCTTCAGATGACAGGTGGTATAGAAATTTAATAAATCATCATTATATCATCTGATTGTAAATTATTGATGCTGTCTAATTTGCATGATTAAGAATAGAGCTAAAAACTCACTGTTAATTGAGGCAAAGCATAGAACATCCATGAGAGTGTGTTGGAGATAGAGCCTGATGTGGAGTCAGTTCCTTAATGCATTGTTTGAGTGAACTGCCGAGTGGTGAGTGAGTACCGTATTTTTCGCCCTATAGGATGCACTTTTCCCCCTCCAAAAATGAAGGGGAAATGTGGGTGCGTCCTATGGGGCGAATACAGGCTTTCGCTGAAGCCTGGAGAGCGAGAGGCTCTTGCTCTCCAGGCTTCAGGAAGCTCTGCGCAACCCTCCGGAGGCCGGCGCGGCTTGGTCAGTTCCTTAATGCATTGTTTGAGTGAACTGCCGAGTGGTGAGTACCGTATTTTTCGCCCTATAGGACGCACTTTCCCTCCAAAATGAAGGGAAATGTGGTGCGTCCATGGGCGATACAGGCTTTCGCTGAAGCCTGGAGAGCGAGAGCCTCTCGCTCTCCAGGCTTCAGGAAGCTCTGCGCGACCCTCCAGAGCCTGGCGCCAAGCCGTGCCGGCCTCCAGAGGGTTGCGCAGAGCTGCCTGCATTTCGAAGCCTCTTCAGCGCGCCCGGGCTTCGCACAGCTGTCCGCAAGCCTGGGGAGACCGGCGCGGCTCCCTAGGCTTGCGGATAGCAGGCTGTTCTGGGGGCTGGGGTCGAGGGAAGCTCGGGCTTCCCCCGCGCCAGCCCCATGCCTGGGGGGGAAATAATTTTTTTTCTTTATTTCCCCCCCCCCAAAAAACTAGGTGTGTCCTATGGGGCGAAAAATACGTTAATTAGGAAGTTGTGTAGGCTGAACCTGCCATTTTACTAAGCTCTGCTGGAATAGGTCCTTGTAAGTGAGATGGTAGGAGACAGAAAGCATGAAATGGCAGCTGAACAGCAGTAGTAACCCAGCCATGTGCACCCTGCAGGAAGCCACACTAGTGTGCGGTCCCTTTGCTTCAAGGGAAATGGCTCCCTGTTTACCTTTTGGGGAGCTTTAAAGGCAAAGTGTCAGGAATGAATCAGCTTCTTAGCAGGGTGCTGGCTTTAAAAGGGATCCTATTTCACTAACTTTAATGCCCCAAGTCAGTGGAGACATTTTAATTCTCTCTGCTAGAGAAAAGACGGTCCACTGATTAGCAGGATACTAATAACTAAAGACAAGCTGATTTTGCTTAATGAGAATAAGCACTAATTTCTCGTTACTGGAACTAAAGTGTCTGCCTTCTTTGCAGGCAATGGAACATGCAAATGGAATGGAGCTGGATGGCAGGAGAATCCGGGTGGATTATTCTATCACAAAGAGAGCACACACGCCCACCCCTGGAATCTACATGGGCAGGCCAACCCAGTAAGGAGTTTTCCTGGCTTAATCAGAAGAACTGCATTTTAGAGTCTGTGATTCATAAGAAACTATGTTGTCAATAAATGCAATAGTTCTGTCTCTTCATAGGCTAATCATGGTCTTACTCGAGAAATTCCTTTTGAAAATCCATTCATTTCATGTTCTTTAAACTTACTTATTTTCATTATTTCTATGCCACCTCATAACTCACTATTGCTGAGTAGCACGCATTACAGTGCATGAACAATAATTGCAAATACAATTAAAGACAGACAGTTCTGGAAAACTTAAAATGTGAACTCTGCCCGTTGAATGGTCTAGAGAGCTATCTAATCCTGTATCTTAAGCCAGTGTGGACCCGAGTTATCCCTTGAATGGGAAACCCTGCGAGCTGCAAGTTTAAATGTTAAAAAAATTTTTTTTTCTTGAAATAAGAGAAATCCTAATGTTTTGCATAATGCATCTTGTCTTCCTCCCAAAAAAGTAGTGGAGGTGGTGGCGGAGGAGGAGGAGGTGGAGGAGCTGGCCGTCGCCGTGATTCCTATTACGACAGAGGATATGACCGAGGCTATGACAGATACGAAGAATATGATTACCGTTACAGGTATGCATTCTGATTTAAATGAAAAGGCTCAGAGGAAATCTTTGTCACAAGCATGAACATTGCATAGGCATAGGCAGACACATGGGCAGGAGCTGGTTACAGAGTGAGGCTGTAGTATGCAAAGTTGGAGAAGAAGGTAAAAGAAGAAAGGGATCGTGTGGCCCACTGAGTGTGAGGGGAGAGTGAATGGGAAAGATGGGCTCTAAAGCAGGCATAGGCAAACTCCGGCCCTCCAGGTGTTTTTGGCCTACAACTCCCATCACCTGTAGCTAACAGGGCCAGTAGTCAGGGATGATGGGAATTGTAGTCTCAAAACATCTGGAGGACCGGAGTTTGCCTATGCCAGGTCTAAAGGGACAAGCAGACTGAGCAAAAAGAAAAGGAGAAGCCTTGGGTTGCTGTAGAGCCTTCTGGTTCCTGTGCTTCTTTGTCTTCTGGACACACATACCAGTCCCCCCTTTATTCCTGTTTGGTTTGCTGGCAAACTAGATGAAAGGTTTATATTTCAAAAGGGAACTAGGGAAAGGGATAAGAGTGGGTAGCTGTTTTAGGAAGAGGAAATAATGTGAAAGGAACACAGAAAACGGATGAAACATGGGTGGTTGGGATAAGAATATTAAAAGCTGCCTTCACTTACCCTCCCTGCTGCAAGAAGATTGCTACGGCATAGGATTGAGCTGTTTCTAAAGAAGGGTTAAATGTCAATAGAAAATGTCTGTAATTGCCAGGCAATTTTGCTAATCTCTGGGTTCATCCTTCCTCATTTAATTGCTGGCTCCATCCTTCCACTACCATTTTGTGACTGGTGGGCCCCACTAATTTTAGCCCTCAAGTAGCCCCTAGGGATAGAAATTTTGAGATAAGTTTATAGTCTTCAAAAATTCTGTTAGTTCATATAGTGATCTATAGTTTGTATAGTGATTTATGGTTTGTTGCAAATCAGATTATTGCTTCCATATAACTGCTTTCCAATTTATTAAAGCACGTTTAGCCTGTTTTACAAACTCTGCAGTAGTCTCAAAGCATATAACAATAAATATTTTGAAACGAAATAATTAAAGCCAAATCAGCCAAGTAAAATAGCTTAAACATCTTAGAACCGAGAAAACAAAAAACCCCAGTACCTGATAAAACAGGGAATTAAAACTATTCCATATAAAAGCTAACCTATGGTCAACAGTTTACAGTAGCATGTTGTAATCATATATGTGTTTTTTTCACACCAGTCTAGTTACATCTCTCTGAAAATCAAACTTATCCAGCATCTCTTCTAACCAGGGAGCTTGGATAGCAAGTTGTGTTTATGTAGTATTACAACTTAGTGTGCCATATGACGTTGGTGTTGAAATGACTGGGTTGAGGAGGACTAGATTATCTTTGTAGTCCCTTTCAACTCCAGGTTTCTTTGGCACAAGAACCACTATTTGTTGCAGCTGCAGGAGCACGTTTGAAGGTGAAAATAACATGCCCATATGAGTATGGTACCCAGAAATTAGTCTGCCTTGCATTTGGTCAGGTATAACAGTAGATACTTATGAGAGCTTAAAGATACAGACTTATGTGAAAAAGAGGTGTGTGTGTTTTCTTAATCTGTTAATGTCTTATGGTTTGTAAAAACAATGTTTCCATATTAATCAGCACCTTAAATCACTGTGGAATACTATTTAAAAATAGGTGTCTTTAAATTTGTCCAATATGCTGTGGGGGAGAAAGAAACCATGCAAATGAAGCTTGGTTCTTCCATTTGGTAAAAACATATATGCTGTACAAATCATTTGACAATATTTTTTAAACTCTTGAATAGTACAATAGCCACGTGTACTAGAGCCACTGCTAAGAAATGTATTTGTATACTTTCTTCAAAGGAGGCGATCACCTTCACCTTACTATAGTCGTTACAGATCACGGTCAAGATCGCGTTCCTACAGCCCAAGTAAGTATAACAGCAGTCTCACCAGAGTGGTTACAGCAGAAGAAACATCAAATCAAAGCACTGCCAGGCTTCTCGCCACGCCCCCATCCTTCCAATTTGCCTTATGGATATTCTCTAGTGATTAGACAGTAGCAAGGATACCATCTTCAGAGCTCCTTTTCCATCTGTGGCTCTCCCTCTCTGCTTGCAGACAGGGATCCACAAAATCCTATAGTGTGTGCAACACCTTCACAGGGACCATAGGATTGCAACCCTAAGTAAACCATTTGTATCTAGTAGAAGTTGTTTTTAGCAAAATGAAGTGTGACCAAAGGGGAATTCACTGATACTGGGTGGAAGGAGAAACAAATGAATATGGAATTATGAGCTGATGGTTACAGTGTTCTCTCTTCTTTCTTTCAGGGCGCTATTGAAGAAGAGAAGCTAGTCACAGTTGCAAATACAATTTTTAAACAGCAAGTTCCGAACTTCGCTTTCCCTATAGATCCCCTGCAGTTATCTGAAACCCTATTAAAAGGTCCTTGGTTCATTTAGACTATATGTATTTTCAGTTGAAATACCAGTTTTCCATCTCTTCTTATTGTAATACTCCAGGTGTAATTGTTGTAGCTTTATGTACTTAAATATCTTTAAGCGAAAACTAAATAGGAAACCCAAAGTGGTAATACGTTTTGTGAATTTTTTTTTAAAGCAAGTGGATTTTTGTTGAACGTAATGGGGAAGGAAAACAGAAGTGTGTTAAAGCCCTGCATGTTGTGTTTCAGTAGAAATCTACTATTTTAATGAACTGTTCATCTTTCTGCCTATTACTTTTGAGGAAGAAAGTGTTGTTCTGTATCTTCAGTTATAGCCCAAGTCAGTGCATGCTCTTAAACCAGAGCATTTTCACTCATTTTCTCAATGCAGTGATTTAATAATAATAAAAAACATTGGAGGGAAGTCTTTGAAAAAAACAAAATTCTCGTATACTACAAATTTCACCTTGGCATGTGTTTAATATAATCACAGTGCTAATATGGATGACATTTGAAATTTGGTTAATATTAAATTGACTGGAAAACGTTCTTATGTTTGCCCCATAATCAGGACAGGCCTAATTTACTGGGCGTAGAAAATATTTGATCTGTTCTTAGCAGTTCTATATGGAAATAAAATTATGGTTAAGCAGGTTCTGTTTGGTACTATGGATTTCAAAACTATTATTTTGCTTCTCAAAATAAATTTAAATTCTACCAGTGCAGTGTTTCAGCATTTAATACAATTGGTTAGATATGTTAAGTTTCTTGCAAGGAATTAACAAGTAGTATTTCCTGAAATCTTGGTATTGGATCCAACCTAGGTTAGCTGCTCTTTAAGTCCCATCAATTTCAGCTAAATTAGACTGGAACCAACCCTTAGATTTAGAGTTGGGGTAGCGGTGTGCACAATAAAACATATGAGTCTGCTTCTGGAGAGAGATCCAACAGCATCTTTCCTAAAACTATGGACAATCTGGAGACACTGAAATTTAGCACATGGAAAAAGAATTGAGGAATTAAGCTCTGGTGTATCACTCCCTGTATTAGTAAAGTGAGTGTGCAGATATATCGAACAGCAAAATGGATGGAGAGATAGGGCAAGATAGGAACCCAATAAATGGGAGAGAGCCTATGGGCATGCAAAAAATAATTATTATTAGTTCGTTAGAAGAGAGCTTCTCCCCAGAATCAACAGGAGCTGTGTATGTGCATAGCTCTCATTCTGCATGCAAATATGGGTATCAGAAAACAGCATGGAGGGGTTGAGCCCTCAGCTGGCCAAAGACAGGTCCCACACTGAAGAGAAGCAGGAATCACTGGGGCAAAGGGAGAACTGGCATCTTGGTGTGTGTTACATCCTTGGTGGGAGCAATTGCCATTGCCCCATACACTGCAAGATGCAAAAAAAGTCGTGATGCCCACATCACCTCCTGCCTCACTTTTTGGTTTGTCTTGCAAGAGTACCAAAATTCCAGGAAAACTCAGTATTTAAAAACAGGCAAACATTTTCTTTTCCCTAGTTGTCCTTTCTGGGAGCAAACACCACTTTCTGGTACAACTAATGGTCAACCATACTACAATACTGTGTGTAGCTTCTGGGTTGAGTAAACTTTTCAAATCTTGGTGTAAGGAATGAACTGGAAGGCACCCACCACAAAACTTTAAATAAAAAAAAAGCATTAGAATGCATGATATTTACTTGGAAAACAAAGAGGGGCAAGTATGTACAACCCAAACTTTCTATCATTAAGCATCGTTAGGCTTCAGCATAAGTGCTTATACAATACATACTTGCATAACTTAAACTAATACACATATATGTGGCCAAGGAAGAAAAAAGTACTTCTTTCTTGACAGAAGTTTTGACTTCATCTTTTTGAGTCTCATCCTGTGATGTGGAGATTTCCTTTCATTTGTACACACAAATTGCCTCCCTTTTTCCTCATTTACTATCTCAAAGGTGTACTGGTCTGTGCGGATAATGTTTGATGTGCAGAATGGTTTGGTATATAATTTCAAAGCATTCAATATGTAAGACAAATGTTCCATATCCTGCCTCATCTGAAATTTACAGGCACTTGGAATGATTGAGAATCCTCACCATTTTTAGGCATTTGGTTTGAACTCACAAGGGGCAAGCAGTCTGTCAAGCCCTACCCCCGCCCCCAGTTACACTGCATTGGCTGCAGAGTGTGCCTGGCTAATGTATGAGTGTCATTAATCTGAAAGGGGCTGCTTTACTCGCATATTGAGGATGGGAGACCCGATTGATGAGTTCCTATCCCTATACACACGGAAACTGCTTAACACCAATTGCACATTAGCTGGGGCTCACCCAGTTCGCTACCGCTTGTTCTTTTGCATGTTAAATGTGAATTCCTGAAGAGGAGTCATACTGCAGACTTATGAATTCTGGAAGAGTAGTGCTGTTAAGTCTGTTGCAACAGGTAATCTCATGCCACTATAAATTTAAGATGCTAAGCAACTTTGTTTCCCAAAAGCGATAATGTTAGGATTCCTATTTCCTAAAGTTTCTTTTTCATCCAAGTGCTCTCCTTTTGTGTGGTACTTAAAAAGCATGCATTGAGTTTATTTGTTCACATCACTAATCAATTTACATGCCCTTGTCCTCTGATATTTCTCCACTTTTATTTTAGATAGATAGGAAGGATTTTTAAATCCTGCCGCTTTTGAACCTAAAATGCATTACTAATGGTTTCACATTCATATGATGTCATCTAAATATTATTTCAGGTGTAATTTGCATGGGAGTTGAATGTATCTGTGTAGGTGTCCTGACACCAGAACTACTTGGTATCCATGTGGATGCATGCATGTGTCACAGGAAGAGATTCATTACTACAAAATACTGTACATTTTATAGTAGTCTGTGGTGGAGCTCATTGTGAATCAGTTTTACATCTATGTTAACGGAAGTTAAAACTAACTCTTACTGGGGGGAAATTAAGGGTGGATCTAGACACAGGTTAAAAACGCTATAAGCAAGTCAGAAACTAAATTGTTACAACAAAAGGGGGGGGAACCTATACAACAATCCATATAAATTCCTTTTTGCTCTCTGGCGTTATCTGGTGTTGGATGTTTATAACACATTCAAAAAGTATTATTGTGACGAATGCAGCTGAGTCCTAAGCCATGTATGGCGGGGAAGACAGTTGATGAGATTTTTCTCTAAGCTATATCCCTGTTCAGATGTTTATAAACTTGTGTTCTCAATTATGCAAGTGGGGTACAGCAGGTATACACATACTAAGCCCACTACATCACATCACATCACATCACCATGACATCACCATGACAGGCCCATCTACATTGTAGGGCAGGCTTCCTCAACCTCGGCTCTCCAGATGTTTTGAGGCTACAATTCCCATCATCCCTGACCACTGGTCCTGCTAGCTAGCGATCATGGGAGTTGTAGGCCAAAAACATCTGGAGGGCTGAGGTTGAGGAAGCCTGTTGTAGGGTGAAAGTTTGTAGTGGGAGCTGGTCATCCTCAGGCAGCTCCTGTGATTTAGAACCTAGATACTAAATCAAGTGGGGAATCTGCACGATTGCATAAATTCAGCCTCAACATGTGGAGTTCTATGGGACTGTCAGGAATGGGATGGAGGAATAGAATTAGCACATCCCCACTCACCTAGTGGAGAACAAGCAAGTTTAAATACCTGAACAGGGCTTCTGTTGTGTGGTGTTTCCTGTGACTATGGAGACAGTAGTCATGGTTGCTCAGCAATTTGCTTCTGATCACTTCCCTGTAAGGTGGTAGTTTATTTCTCAAAAGACAGGTTTGAACTGGCTAGTGTTCTCCCCAAGGTGAGCAGAATTGTATCTAAAAACAACACTCCCTTTCTAGTTTTCATTATTTTGTCATCTTTAACTCATAATTTTTTGCCATCTTGCTCTCTGCTTGGACAGCTTTGGGGTAAAATGTTTTGATCAAAGTGTTTATCACTCTCTGACTCTTGTACTGAAACATTCTATACTTGGTATCGTCAAATTGTTCTTGTTTTGTTTTTTAGATCCTTAGTCTTCAGGTTTAAAAGAACAATCTGTCATAAAGATCATTGGGAGAGATCAATTTTCTTAAATTCTTGTCTCAGTATGTTGAACAGCAGGAACAGCTCCCTTTGGCTAGAACGTTATAGATCCTAGCGCTTTTAAAAAAATACTCCTTTCTTAATTTGATTCTCTGAAGGTTGTTTGATACCAGGTCACAGTGGTATGCAGGAAACTCATACTTATTTTGAGGCCAATCCATAGGAAACTAAATGTAACACTGAAGCAGATTATTACCCCTGTTGCCTTACAAACCAACCAACTAACCCGCCCCCCCCAGCCGTTGCACAGAAAAACTTCCAAAATAGAAAAATTAGCTTCAGTTTGCTGAAAGAAACAACTATGCTTCCTTCCCGTTTTTGGTGATAGGTGGCAGTCTGGAGTGGAGAGAAAATAACTGTGGCCACTCCTTTGTTTTCTTGCTCCCTCTGCTTGACTACAAGAAGTTTAGAGAAGCTAATGTACCACTTTCTGGCTGTACTGCAGGTTTTAGCACCTGCTGCAGAGTGCTGAAAATGTATTACTTCCTGACTACTTAGTTTAAAATAGCATGCATTCAGAAAAGGATGAAGGCTTTGTAGTGCCTGTACCCTACACCACCTGGCTGATGATCAGCGTTCACCGGTCTCCACAGTACTCCCTGTTGTTACCCTGGTGCCGTTTTATCCTTCACAAAATGTATTCGTGGATTAGAGACGACCATTAGAGTAAGCTGTTGAGTGATGGTTTTCTGTTGCATATTTGCAGTCCATATATCATTGTAGTGTAAGCCTTGGAAGTGGAGCCTGTTACATTAGGTAACTATTTTTACACCAGCGGCTCTGTTTCAGAAAATGTGTAACTGCAATTTAGCCTGGGATGAAAGGTGAGGCAGCATCTCACAGAGGGGGTCTTGTCTCTTAAGCCTTTTAATATGTAAAAAGCTTAACTTGAAGGGTCCTTCGAACTACATTTAAAATAAAATAAAAAAGAAAATGAAAAAGGTATAGCTCAATTTACTTGAATGTTCACCTCTGCTCATAAAGACACACCTTTTTAACCTGGCTTTTGACACTTGAGATGTATGTTTTTAGATGTAACGAGATGTAAGCTGTTTAAAACTTTTTTACGCTGTGTTTAAATTGTTATAACCCACATTGGGAACTTAGGATGAAGGGTGGGTGATTGAGAATAATGTGCCTATTGTTTGTCACACACACAATTTATTTGTTTGTGCATGTTTGTGTAATGCTTGGAAGAACCCGCTGGGAAGAAAAGTAATGTTACGGGCAACAAGAGGTTGCTACGTGAGGAAGACTCACTAAATAAGCTCAGAAACAGCCTGTCCTGATGTGCATTTCTTTGTATCTATTATAGAAGCATAGAGTTCATCTGAGGATCATCTATGTCCCGTATAGGGATCGAACTTGCAGCCTTAGCATTATCGGCACCACGCTCTAACCAACTGAACTATCCACTTGGATTAGGAAATAATAAAAGGGTTAGGTTACATGATTTGTTGAACATGTCTGCTGTTACCACTTTCATATCCCGTTCCACAAACAGTTTAACATTTAAAATACTTTGCCTCAAAACAGTAAAGAAACGAAGCATTTTAAAACAGTCGACATATTTTACACTACCACCAATCAAAGTCTGAACACATTGGTTTAGGATGCATTGATAACCTTCAATAAGGCCCAAACTAGATCTGGCACTAGTCATGTGGTCATCCCTAGCATGTAGGATTTTTAAAAAATCACACTGCAGACATGGGTCTCTGATCCAGAGTAAGAGCACAGCATGGGTGGAAGGGGCCTTTAACTCTTCTCCCCCACCCACCCACCAAATGCGATCCTGTTTCAAATCAACAGACCCAGTCGTGCGACTTCAGGGAGCTCCCCAATCCATTTGATCCTCACAACCCTGCGAGGTGGTTGCTGGGTAACTATTGATAGCCGCCTCCTACTTGCTCACATTTTAGCGGGTCCCATTAAATGTACTGAGGAATTCGGATTACACTCGGATCACTTTTGGTGTGGTGTCTGTCTCCCATTCCCTTTACACACAACCGTCCCTTTCACAAAACTATTACTGCTTCGGCAGAGGCAGCAGCCTGTAAGCCTGCATTGTAAGAGAGGCTGACTGTGGGAGCAGAGAGTTGATGCAGCTATTTTATTAATCCAAATAAGGTAAGTAGTGGTATTGATGAAAAACTGATAAAGATGTTGGAACCAAATCACTATGCTAAATGTGCCTGCATGTACAGGCTTTCAAGTTCAATGGAAGCCTTTTCATACAACTTTTAAAACTGTTCAAGCCATGGGTAAGCAAACTAAGGCCTGGAGGCCGGATCAGGCCCAATTGCCTTCTCAATCCGGCCCGTGGGCAGCATGTTTTTACATGAGTAGAATGTGTCCTTTTATTAAAAATGCATCTCTGGGTTATTTGTGGGGCATAGGAATTCATTCATCCCCCCCAAAATATATATATATATATATATAGTCCGGCCCACCCAAGGTCTGAGGGACAGTGGACCGGCCCCCTGCTGAAAAAGTTTGCTGACCCCTGGTTTAAGCCTTTTGAGCTGTAAATGTTTAACTGTATAACCAGCTTATAGTGTAAACTGCTATTCTCAGACACAGCCTTAGGTGGCAGTATTTCTTAACAGCACTTTAGCTGCTGCAGCAAGGAAGCGGGGAAAGTACTTCTTCCTAGTGATGTGTTGGCAAACATCATTTGCCACTCCCCTAGGGAGCAGGTTAAAGGAGAGGGATAAGGCCTCTCCGAAGCACCCTGGGGTACATCCCAGTTACATTATACATGTGGTGCCTGTAATTGCCTTAACAAGAGTACATCAATGGAGCTGAAATACAACTTTGAAATTGGTACTAGCTTCCTGAATGCAGAGGGAGCAGCACTGAAATCTACACTGAATCTACACTGAAAAGTCTGGTGTGTCTTAAGAACATGGGAAGCCATGCCAAGTCAGTACACTGGTCATTCTAGCTTAATATTGTATGCATTAACCAGCAGTGGCTCTCCAGTGTTTAATGGGTTTTCTGGGATCCTTTTGCATGCCAAGTTTTAGATCTGCTGTGGGGTTTTTAATGCTGTTTTTAATGTATGTGTTATTTATTGTTGTGAGTTGCTTGGGTTACTTTTGTTTAAAATGTTTAACCCTTCTTTAGAATAACTGAAATTCAACTGTCAATGCTATGTTAGTTTGTGCTGTTTGATCTTAATCCAAGAACATTGCTGCAGAAAATTCAGGCAAAATGGGTATTTCTGTTAGATGGAAAAAAGGAGAGGGATAGAAATAACAGTTGATTGTCCTTTGGCAGAAGAAGAATCAAGTCTTCTAAGAACTCCCCAGAAGGGTTTTCAATACTTCCAATAAGCCAACTCTGATTCCAGCACAATATCCATTTAATGTGACACAGAATTTCTCAATTTTTCAAGAACAGGGACACCAACTTGCAGTTCATCAAATATCCATGAACTTCTGTGTTTGTAAAATATGGAAGTTGCTTTGTGATTCTTCTTCTGTCTGTTGTGTTTCTTTTAACCTGCCCTCCCAGTGACCCTGAAAAGTTGACCCTTCAGTCTTATGCTTGAGTTAATAATGTGTCATATCTTGTTGATAGGAACAATTTCTAGCCAACATATTGCATTACTTTATCCCATAGTTCTCCAACTGCCTTGATTATATCAATTATTTTGCCTGTCTTGCTGTGTGCCTGTCTACCAGTGTGGTGTAGTGGTTAAGAGCGGTAGTCTTGTAATCTGGGGAACTAGGTTCGCGTCTCCGCTTCTCCACATGCAGCTGCTGGGTGACCTTGGGCTAGTCACACTTCTCTGAAGTCTCTCAGCCCCACTCACCTCACAGAGTGTTTGTTGTGGGGGAGGAAGGGAAAGGAGAATGTTAGCCGCTTTGAGACTCCTGAAGGGGAGTGAAAGGTGGGATATCAAATCCAAACTCTTCTTCTTTTACAATTATTGCTGGAAAATTCAGTACATGAAAACAAATGTTGATATTTTATAGAAAACACCTGTATATATGTACAGTTCTGGTCACCGCACCTTAAAAAGGAAAATGCCAACTGGATCTCCATGTAATTAACTTCAGGACACACAATTGAGCTTAAGTCATTGGATTTTTTAATAAGCTTTTTGGGTGACTAGATTAGCAAAGGTGCTACCTAGCTTAAATTTTTCACATACCAGCACCCATTCTTCCTGTGCCATTTAACTTCATATACCGTACCCCATCTCTGCACCACCTGCGCACTATTAGATGAAATGCTTAGTTCACATTGTGATCTTATTCAGAATCCCTGTGCCCAAACACACAGAGTATTTCTTGGGCAGCGGGTCTGGCTCCAAAGAAAAATAGCTTGATTTTAAACACTTTCCGCAGTTCTGTTTTTTCTCTCTTTTGTGAGCTCCTGTGTGAATCGTGGTGATGGTGATGATGATGATGATAATAATGATAATAATAATAATAATAATAATAATTTATTATTTCTTCCCCAGCCACTCTGGGTGGCTTTCAACAGAACATTAAAAACTATAGAAGTTCAAACATTAAAAACTTCCCTAAACAGGTATATAAAGCTTATATAAAGCTTCTAGCTTTATATGATACGCATGAACAAAGCTGCTTTTCAGCAAACCATTGCTTGCATTTTGTAGCCTTGTATACCGGAGACTCTCAAGAGTCACCTAGTAGCACATGTGTAAGGCTCCTTGATAGCGTATATCAGCAATTTATAGTAACAAACCATATTTTGATCCACTCCAGGGGACCAGCAGCCCCGGAGCTACAGAGAGCCAAGGGCAGTTCAGCAACACGAGAAAGAGCAGAGCAATACATCGTGGTAATAAGGAAGCAGATAGTTCTTGGCCACAACCCAAGTGACAGCTAAAGCATCTCGCTGGCATGATTTACATCAAAGCAGTTTTGAATGGGTAGCAAGCTGAAAACAGGTGTTTGGGGTTTTTTGCCTTGCAGACCCACTTTAAACCCCAGACAGCTCAGCAGTAGAGCAAGAGACTTAATCTCAAGGTTGTGGATTTGAGCCCCATGTTGGGCAAAAACATTCCTGCATTACAAGGGGTTGGGCTAGATGACCCTTGTGATCCCTTCCAATTGTACAATTCTTTTCAAACCAGTACAGTATCTGAATACCAGCTCAGTGCATACACATCCCTAGAGTTTTAAGTTGCAAACTATAAAAGGGCATGCAGTACTCAACCTGTAAATAAAACTCAGTACAGGCAAGCCCCTTATCAACCATTGTTATCTCTAGAAAGGCTGTGTCATATGGTACACATTTCCTACTTGGAAAGCACTTTGCAGGGAGGGGAAGCATCTACCATGACACATGCTGATTATCGGATGCAACGATAACGTATGTGCCTTTTTTGAGTTTGTAGTCACGTCGGACTGTGGTTGGCCCTGGCTTTCCAAGCATGCGTTTACTGTGAGCATGCATACTGTCACATGTGGATGATTGGCACAGGTGATGATGCATCTGGAGGTTTCATTCTAAATCCTACGCAAGAAGCCTTCCAGCCCCTCGCAAGCTGCACAGAACAATAAGCCTTTTTAGTCCTGCAATTCAACAATTGATATCACTGTAGCAAGGGCAGTGGGGAAGTATGCATAGTCAACAACTAAAAAATGAAGCTGCTAATTATTTGGCTGCCTATATAGTGAGACCATTAGGAGGGAGCATAGCAGGGTGGCAAAATATAGGCTTTGGATTTACAAGGTCCTAGGGACGCGGGTGGCGCTGTGGGTTAAACCACAGAGCCTAGGACTTGCCAATCAGAAGGTCGGCGGTTCGAATCCCCGCGACGGGGTGAGCTCCCGGTGCTTGGTCCCTGCTCCTGCCCACCTAGCAGTTCGAAAGCATGTCATAGTGCAAGTAGATAAACAGGTACCACTCCGGTGGGAAGGTAAATGGCGTTTCCGTGCGCTGCTCTGGTTCACCAGAAGCGGCTTAGTCATACTGGCCATATGACCCGGAAGCTGTACGCCGGCTCCCTCGGCCAATAAAGCGAAATGAGCGCCGCAACCCCAGAGTCGGTCACGACTGGACCTAATGGTCAGGGGTCCCTTTACCTTTACCTAGCTTCAATGCCTGCTATCGCTAGTTTAAAGGAAGAGATAGCAACTGGTTACAAGGAGCTACTGGTAGTCAAACGAGATAGTAAGGATCTAGACCAGTAGTTTTCAACCAGTGTGCCGTGACACACTGGGGTGCCTCGAATGATGGTCAGGGGTGCTACAGGCAACACTGGCCTCTGCCCCCCTTTCCCTCTCTGTAATGCACTCGTCTCTGCTTCCCAAAGGCTTGTGTAGCTGTTCATTGCAGCAGGCCTGGCTACAAGCTCCCCAGGTGAGTGGTGCCTCGGAGGCTGGCCAGGGGGTGTGGTTCCCAGGCCCATGTGGGGTAGTGAGGAGGCACCTCTTTTGGGGGCAAGGGGGCAGCTCAGAGACCAGGGGCCACAGCTGCGACTGCCCAGAGGACTCCCAAGGGGAGGG